CCCCCCCCTGTTCTCCTACCGGCTGCCCTTCCGACCACAACCGACGACGAGATGGCAGTTTCACCTCCGGAAAGGTCGGCTTCAGGGTCCAATGTTCCAACTTCAATAATGGGCACCCGTTTCGAAATGGATGCGCGAGCATGGGATGAACTCGAATGGGGTGTTGACACCAAAAAGAAAAAAAAAAAAAAAAGAAAAAAAAAACCCCCCAGTGGCTTTGCTTTGAGGCATGAAAAGCACGAGTTGAGTCTGATGACGCTCTGGACTCAGACGAAAGCTGCGAGACCATCTTGATTTTTTCTTTCCCTTTTGCTTTTCTGCAACTAAACTCGCCTTCCACCGCCGTTGGTGGCTGCCGCTGCTGTACGTCAAAAGCCAAGGCGGGCGAGTGGGTGGATTTGGGTGTTGGGAACGATGTCACAGCATTTGAGGTGACACGAATCGGTCGCAAGGTGATTTCCTCGGATAGTACCTAGGCACCTACCTAGGTAGATACGTGCAGACGGTGCCCGCGTACACGTTGTGCGAGTTACCAAGCACCAGCTACTTGTCAGGAAGAAGAAAGCTCTTGGTAGGGAGACAAAGGGCGGTGATGCCCAGCCGGCGGCACAATCTGAGACAATGTTCATGGGTTTCTGTTCTTTCCTTTTCTTTTTCTGGCTTGCGCCGTACTTTATCTTTCCTTGCTCTAATCCCCCCCCCCCCCCCGTCCCCGTCCGTATGTGAGATGTTCTGCATCGAGAGAGAAGGCGGTAGAGCGCCGGACCGAGGAAACGATCTTGAGAGCCAGCCAGCCACCCCTTTCCGCCAATGTAGGAGAGCGGAAACGGATAGTTTCGATGTCACGCTCTTGTCACATGTGTGCGGTTTTTTTTCTTCCTATTTTCAAGGCAAGATACTGGTAGAAACAGCTAAGAATCTGAGGAAACCTATGATGAGCAGGGTACAGTGCCGGCGGTAAGGGGCCTTGCACGACACATCAGGCCTAGGGTTATATCAATTATCCTGAGTTCCGATCTGATTCAGCAAGTTACAAAGTTACTGTACTCCATAACTACTTACAGCTACTTACACTACAATGCCCAGGGGGGATTGGTTGTTCAAAGTCGGAGCTTCTCCTCTTGTTCCAACTTCCATTGCGCAGATCTTTTCTGGGGATGTACATAAGCCGAAGGAGCCAGGGTCTCAAAGTCCCGTACTCCGTAGACCTAGGGGGGTGGCAGCGGCGGAGGGGAGGGTCGAGAAAGAGCATATCGCAACGACTTGCCATCTACCGGTAGCCCGAGGCCCTCTTCCATGTCCCTCCCGACTCCCGTGTATTGCCAATGCCAGTATGGAGTACACAGTCCCGCTTACAAGTCTCCTGTTGACTAACTATTGATAAATCGTGGAGATCATTCTCCAACGATGGCTTGTCACCATGTATAATGCGCCAATGGACGCCGAGGAGCAGCTGCCTGCCGTTGGAGAGCGAGAGAGAGATACTTCGAGACTGAGAAATGTCGAGAAGAACCGCGGCTGTAACGATGAAGGTTTGAAGACACGCCCCCCGGCCCAGCTGAACCGGATGGGCAATGTAGCAGACCGCCATCCATTAGCTTCGGAAGACCCAACAAGTTAGGTCTTCGCAGTAAGGTGAGATTTTGGAAAACCTCTTTTTCCGCGGACCAATAGGTTCTTCCGGAACTTCTATAGGGGTTGAGGGGGGAGAAAGGGGGGCACGCGAGCAATGACCTCGAACGGTCTACGTGGGATATGATTGACGATTTCAAGACAAACCGTTCATGGCTTCTTCTGAATCTGCGCCAAGTCGAAGCTTGCCCCCCCGGGAGGATGGATACCTAGATACATATAAACTCCATTACAAAACCATCAAATCGAGATGCTTGATAACATCCCAGCTCCCCCTCCCGACGCACTATATCACGAGGTAAGCAACATAGACGCGAGGCTCCCTGGTCACGTTCACACGGGAACACGTTCGATGGAGGCAAGTTCGCCGTCACACAGCAGAGCCAAGAGTTCCAAAACCGCAACGTAAACGATCAAAAGGCTTACACACATACAGACGAGAAGGTCAGACCTACATCTCTTACGTCGAACGAGAACTTGCCTGCCGAAACAAGTCGTCATAGACGAGGACAAGAAGAAACCCACATTCACGGTTCCGGGACCTCGGTCGTATCTCACTCTCACACTCCCGCCAGACTGGTAGACGGGGTTTCTCTCGCTGCTCTGTCCAACATCTCAAGGGTCCACAGCCTGTTCCCAAAAAGGTCACTTGTAAGACGGCAACAAAGGTGCGGCCAAGCAAGACGTTGGACAAGTCAGGGGTCGCGATTGGGTATTTTGCCAGCAACACGAACAGCATCCAGTCGCGTCGCCGAAACACAAGAGACCCTGCAGCATGCGGTGCTTATAGGCTCAGCCAGCTTCTTTTTCTTCCTCAAGGTGGAAGAACGGCTGATTGGGAAACCTATCATACCTGTGAAGCAAAGCATTGGATAGGAAGTGGAGGTAAGGAAAAAAAATTAAGAACTAAAAGAAGGAGATACGTGTAATACGACGAGAACCAGAAACGGCATCCCGTGGAAATGGGTTGCAGACTGCAGTCCTTGGTAGCTTGTACATACACACGGGAGGCCCACTGGGAAGTTGGTTCCGCGGCAGCCCTCACATTTTGTTGTTACCCTCCTCCCTTCCCAAGAATCCCGCCTGCATTCGGCTAGCTGCGCCGAGATGGGGAAAAGTAGACTTTCAAAGTGGACTTTCGCGGCACGGTAACCTAGTACCGTGCCGGGGTTGTCGTTCGTGGGTTCGGCTCTTGGAGCTGGGGGGGTTTTATCAACCTGCATGGCGGGATAGTAGCGGTGAAGGGGGTCGGTGTACAACATGCCTGTCTGGGGTGGTTTAAGAAAACGGGTCCCAACTTGCTTCTCTTATCGTTAAATGGCCCTCCAAGTTGTGAGAAGAAAAGAAGAAAAAAACGAGGGCATTTGAAGGAAGGGGCAAAGCAATCCAAACCCCGGCCGGGAGGTGAGATATTTTGCCCCGGAAAACCTTCTCTGCAAATGGAAGCATGGCAATGAATCGCTGCGTGCATCTATGATGCGACCAAAATACAATATAGATGGGACACAACAGCGAGAACGCCATCCGGAGAAGCATTGGCTGAGAGTCCTGTGACTTATATCCAGGCATGTCTCGAAGGCTGTACTCCCGCGATCCGGCCGAATGGGAATACACCACATGGATGCCGCTTGAGATGCTCGCCCACTTCCATCACGCCCTCGGTGTAGAGGTTGCCATGCAAGGTCGGGATGGCATAGGTTCTAGATAGGGCTTTGCTTCTTTGCGCCAGCGCCAACGCCAACAACAGCGGGCTAGCGAACCCGAGAAATCGCAGTGCAGCCGGAAGCAGGTTCGGGAATCCCCTTGCTTCTCGAATCGGTGAGCCGGGTCAAAGTCTTGACCGACAATGTGGACTTCCACATGGGGAGTCTCCGACGCAGCAAGCGGACGCAACTTTACGACTCGCCTTGCAGTAACGTCTTCCAGCCTCCGGAAACCATACCCGGGAGACAAGAAGAAAGAAAAACGACGTTGCGCAGAGATGCAAGTCCCAGACCCCCGGTCCCCGGCAAGCGTTTTGGTTCGCGTAGGCGGTCCAACGTGACCGTTGGTGATCTACTCGCCTCGCATGGCTCGGTGATACAGCGCCCGGCTCGGCTACACACACCAAGCAGTCGTAAACGGAGCATCCTCTCATCGTCCAATACGCAAAGAACGTCTTCTCGTCTTCTCTGCGGGCCTAGGCCTAGGTCAAGGGGGGCGGAAGAGACGGGGGCCCTGCCACACTTTCTCGGGAAGCGATTATCGCTGCGGGAAGGCCCGGTTCGTGAGAGTAGTGTGTCGATGCGTATGTAGTGGATGCCAGGCCGTAGGCTTGGACCTAGTTCCATGCGCGGTGCGGTCATACTTTTCGGGGACGGGCCGGAGGAAGTCGGCCGTCAGTGTGGTCCTCATGAGGAGACTGTGACATCGCCGCCCGCCCGCCCCGCCGCGGCGAGGGCGGGGCGAGCTCGCCTCAGAACTTCCTAGCAGCTACCAGACTTTCTGGATGCATGTTGGAGACGGTGTACAAGCGAAATACTTGCCGTGCGCCTGCCATTGGTATTACTGGGGGTTAGATCCTCTTGAAAGTGTATGCGGTGCGCGGAAAGACAAAGTCTATGTGACTTGTTGGAAGATCGAGCAAGGACCTTCACCGACAAGCGGTCGAGATATGAGCTGTCATCGGGCCCTTGGCCACCCGCTTCGATGGCGGTACCATGGCTCGGTGTTCGGAATAAGCTGTTAAACTGGAGTAAGGAATGAGTGAAAATGCCCAGAAAAAGACTTTAGTTATCAGACAAGTTGGCTTGACAGTTTGAGACGAATTGTGAGTTTGATGAGAGTTGAAATTGTATACGATGCTCCGTTAACGGCGTTGGTGATCCCCATTCCACGTTGCTGTGTTGCCTTGTAAGTCGCCTGGAGTATCATCCATCTCACACGAGACCACCGAAAGAGGAGTGGATCTCGATGGCTCGGATGAATGCGAGTTGATGTTTGATGGTCGTTTAATCATGTCTACCTAGGTATGGAAGTAAAGTACACATAGTCTGGCGGATAATATGGAAGCTTTGGGGAAGACGGGTCCCTCATTTTCTGACAGAAGGAAAGTGGGGTCGGCAGCTTTTGGTGTGGAGGGGGGCGCTCCTGCTCCATGGGAAACTGAGGTGGAGTGGCCCTCCAGCGGCAGGTGGCAGTCTCCTCCAGGTTTTAGGCGGCTCGTCGTCGCAAAACCCAGGCCGGCCCCACGTGCCCGCCGCCTGCCAAAACCAGAAAACCCCTGCATGATTTCAGCCTTGCGCACCAGTGAGCACCGCCAGCTGCTGAGAACCTGAAGCTTCCCCGGAGGCGGCTCCAAAAAAAGTCAGCCTTGCCACCAAAGATCACCACTTTCTGCGACCGCAAATGCTCAATTAACCACAGACACTGCGCTTTTTGACATTGATACCCGAGACTTTGCTTACACGTATTCTAATCAGTATGTATCTGGATGCTAAAGCAGATATTCTCCCTGCTAACAACGGACTCCAGGCTCCCACTCCACCGCGTGCTCGACACTTGCCTTACGTAGCAGCTCCATCATCAATCGACCACGGTAAACGATACAACCCTTCGCTGCCAGGATTACCCCCAGTGACACTACTTCGTATCACGAATCACTTGCTGCAACCAATACGAAAGCCTCTCCAGGCGCATCCTTACTCCGAAACCTTACACATACACCTAGCAGATCAGCAAAGATGAGCCAGACGCCGTCAACCCCAGTGAAGGTGCCACCTTCGGCCGCGAACCACTCAGCTGCCACTCTAGACCCAGAGCTGAGATCACAAATCAACACATTACTGCTTAAGGACGGTCATGTCACAAAGTAAGCCCCCACCCCCTCATCCTCCATCGAACCCACTTGGCGCTGGTTGGGAAGAGAACATCGCAAAAGCTAACCATCTCTAACCTCTCCTTTCCAGAATCCAGGAACAGCTCCTCCACTCCCTCCACGCAAACCAAGCAAACTGGCCCACGCTGATCCAGAACCACGCCCTCAACCTCCTCCGCACAGGCGAAGTCTCAACCTTCCCAGACCTCCTCCGCCGCGTCCTCGACGACGTCCGCCAGGACACCCTCGACCCCTCAGCCCCCTCTATATCCCCCTCAACAGCAAAAACAAACGGCGCAGCCTCGGAGAAGGATAAGGACAAGGATAAGAAGACCAACGGCACCGCCTCCTCTACGCCGGCGCCCGGCGGCGCAGACTCTAGTGCCCAGCCGAACCTGGCCATCCCTTCCGCTGTCATTGACGAGGCCATCAAAGTCACACAAGAAAGCCTGGAGGCTGTCTGCGAGATTGATAGTACCAGCTGAAGATGAGGTGTGAGCTTGGGAGATGGGGCTGGGCAGAGAAGACGGTGTTACCACGGCAATTACGACGGACGGGGAAGAAGGCTATGGCAGCAGGCCTTTGGGAGAAGATGGTCATGAAAGGTGGCCGACGATGAGCACCGCCAGAGGTTGGGAGGTGACGCCTCTGCGATGTTCACAAGACGTTTCGCACAGCTTTGAGATGCTTATGGAGCATCTCTTTGCTGGCTGGTTTCGAGCAAAGTGCTATTGTTGATGATAAAAGCCATTGATGTCAGATAAAGACGATGCCGAGGCGGACATCGTGTGTACACATAAATCATATTCTTGGGAGAGTCCGTTCCGCAGAAGGGACGAGCACACACGAGATTTCACTTCTTTACGTAGCCGACTATGATTGGGGGGGCAAAAATGAATAGGTCGACCAATATGCTTCATCCTGAGCATCTATGTACTATTCAATCCCATTCTGTTACGAGTGATTCCCCGTGCGCAGCGTACCATTCTTGCAAACTTGGAGCTCCACCTCGCAGTAACAACGACCAGGTGAACTAAGCCAAACAGTCTTGTAAAGACATGATCTCGCGACATATCACACAGCGATCTGGGAATTAGACTTGATATGGTCAACTTATCATGGAAACTACCTGTCTACCAACTCCGTCCGCCCCCAGATTTCCGTCGATAGGCTCGAATTTCTGTGACTCGGCCCATCATCTGTACGCGTGACGACGCAGATGCATCGGAGAGCAAGGAAAAACTAGAATACAACGAGGGCGTGCTTGCATTAAGTGGCACTCTAACCCACCCATCCCTTAGTCGTAAAGATCATCATCGTTGCCTGCATCGCCGAAGCTGTTGGCAGCCTCATTTGCGGCACCCTCGCCCTCGGGGAACTTGAAGTACGCGCCGGGACCAGCGTTCTTCATTTGCTGGGCAAAGGCCTCGTACCGGCGAATCTCCACGTCGCTGACGGAACGGCGAGCCATTTGCATGGCCTCCTCGAAGTGGCGCTTGGTGAGCTCGGGGACGGGGTCCTCCTCGTCCTCATCCATCGCCTCCTCGCCTGCGGCCTCACGAGCCTTGGTCTTCTGGATGTCGGCGGTGATGGCCTCCTTGATAGCAAGCTTGACGGCACGCTGGGTGATGAAGCCAAGATCGGCACCGGAGAAGCCGTGGGTCTTGGAAGCGATGAAGTCGATGTCGACATCACCAGCAACAGGGGTCTTGCGGAGCTGAGCCTTGAGGATACCAGCACGAGCGGGCTGGTCGGGCAAAGGCACGTAGATGAGAGAGTCCAGACGTCCAGGACGGCACAGAGCAGGATCAAGCTGCTCAGGTCTGTTGGTCGCGCCAATGACGAAGACGTTCTTCTTCGAGGTCATACCATCCATCTCTGCAACGGAATCAGCTCATGTTCGTCTCATTCTAGTCTTTAGTGTGGGGAACTTACCAGTGAGAAGCTGGTTGACAACACGGTCAGAAGCACCGCCAGCATCGCCCATTGATCCACCACGAGCCTTGGCAATGGAGTCCAACTCATCGAGGAACACAATACAGGGAGCAGCAGCGCGGGCCTTGTCGAAGATGTCACGGATGTTGCTCTCAGACTCACCGAACCACATGCTGAGGAGTTCGGGGCCCTTGACGGAGATGAAGTTGGCAGCGCACTCGTTGGCGACGGCCTTGGCCAACATCGTCTTACCGGTACCGGGGGGTCCGTAGAACAGGACACCTCTCGACGGGGAAAGACCGAACTTGAGGAACTTCTCGGGGTGGTCGACGGGGTACTGAACGGACTCCTGCAGCTCGGCCTTGACGGTCTCGAGACCACCAATATCCTCCCAGCGAACGTTGGGCACCTCGACAACGGCAACCTCGCGAAGGGCGGAGGGGTTGGAGACACCGAGAGCGAAGCGGAAGTTCTCCATGGTAACACCAAGGGAGTCGAGGACCTCAGCGTCAATGGTATCCTCGTCGAGATCGATAAGGTCCATCTTCTCACGAATCTGCTGCATGGCGGCCTCGGAGCAGAGGGCAGCGATATCGGAACCGACGTAACCGTGGGTCTCGGAAGCGATCTGCTCCAGGTCGACATCATCACCAAGCTTCATGTTCTTGGTGTGAATCTGGAGAACCTCGAGACGTCCGGTGGGGTCGGGGATACCAATGTCGACCTCACGGTCGAAACGACCGAAACGACGGAGGGCAGGGTCGATAGAGTTGGGTCTGTTGGTGGCAGCCATGACGACAACGTTTGAGCGAGCCTTCATGCCGTCCATGAGGGTAAGAAGCTGAGAGACGACACGACGCTCGACCTCACCGTTGGTCTTGTCACGCTTGGGCGCAATAGAGTCGATCTCGTCGATGAAGATGATGGCGGGAGAGTTCTTCTCGGCCTCCTCAAATGCCTTGCGCAGGTTTGACTCTGATTCACCAGCCATCTTTGACATGATCTCGGGACCGTTGATGAGGAAGAAGAAAGCACCAGTCTCGTTGGCGACAGCTCTTGCCATCAACGTCTTACCGGTACCGGGGGGACCGTAGAGAAGGACACCACGGGGAGGCTTGATACCGATCGACTTGAAGAGCTGAGGATGACGGAGAGGAAGCTCGACCATCTCGCGAATCTGAGCCATCTGCTTTCTGCAGCCACCAATGTCGTCGTAACCGACCTCGTTGAGGTTGCCCTCCTCCTCGTCACGCTGGATAGGCTCGCCCTCGCAGTGAATGACGGTATCTTGTGCGACAATGCCGTATTCGGGGGGGTCGACCTCGACGACCTTGAACTCTACTTGTCTCATACCACCGCGCACGATGAAGAGGTCGCCCTGGCGGACAGGTCTGTAGGCCTCACGGAAGTAGGGAGCGAGGAAAACGTCGAAGAGGGAGCCGGTGATACCCTCAACGGTGTCGGCGATGGGAAGAACAGCAATGCGCTTGGCCTGCGATGGCGGTCAGTAGCTTTTTCTCGAAGAAGCGGTGTCCTGTTGGCACATACGTATTTGATATCCGGGCAGGGGTGGATGGTGATCATGTCACCGTGCTTCACCCGCAGGTTGTGGCGAACGACTCTGTTGATGCGAGCGCTGCCATCGTCCAGCTCATCGTCGGCGAGGACGATCAGGACGGTGTCCTTTCTCTTCTTGCCGCGCACGAGCACGGTGTCACCACGGAAAAGCTGGAGAGCCTCCATGGTGTTCTCGGAGAGGGCAATGATGGAGTTGTCATCGTTGACGGCATCGGTAACCCTGCATCAGTTAGTGTCATGAAGCTTGCCCCACGCTTTCCAGAGCTCACGTACATCAGCTGGTTGGGCTTCTTCTTCTTCTTGAGGATAGCGGTCGCGGTGTCATCTTGCTGTTTGCTCGGTCAGTATCAAAACAATCATCACGATATCCGGTTGCGTCGATCGAGACTCGGGGAGACAAACATCCTTGACCTCAGCACCCGAGGCATCCCTGGTAGTAGATATCGTCAGCATAGTTCCTTCCTTTTGCGAGCCACTTCATGGAGTAACAACGATGGATTTCTACTCACATAAGGTTGACCTTCTTCTTGTGCTCGGCGGGCTGTTCCGACGGAGGCGCCATCTTGATCGACTGTTTCTGATGATTCGGGTATTCGTATGCAGTCGTAGTGTGAAGGTGAAGGCGGGATCCTCAGCTGGGTGGGGTAGCTGTCAATGGTAGAAATTCCTCCTCGGCAGGAAAGCAGAAAGGAAAGACGATTGTGTTGGATTTTATATCCCTTCCTACGGTGTGAAGGAGAGAATTCGTGGTTGGGGCGGAGATAGGGTGGGAGGTTTGCAGATGGGAAGCTTTGTTTCGGAGACAGGCAGGTGCAGCAATGGAGGTAGTAAAGGCCAGCCAGCAAGAGCAGGAAGGTGTGAGGTGGTGACGGGAGGCGGCGGCAATCCCTGGGTCTGGTCCCCAGACAACCAATGAAATCATAGAGTGGGGCGGATTAAGTGCACTCCGGTGCATTCGGTAGCTTAAGTAAGGCACCGCTCCAGGGGTCGAATCTGGCCCAAGCTCTACGATTCAGGTGGTGACGGTGTCGTCAGGGCAGTGGAAAGTGTTGGAAGCTTCCACTCTTGCTGACCTTGAGGGTCCGACGGTCTTCAGACAGGCAAGCAGGCAGCCTTTGGGCCACGCACTCTCTCAGCGACTCGGTGTCGCACGCACGGCCTCCACCTAATCCACTAGGTACCTATGCCATTGGAATCCACCAGTAAATCCGTACCAAGTCTTATCGCCTTTCTGCATTAGTGAGCTTTTATCGATATGGCAATTGCACACCTTGAAGCTCACCGAGATCACATCACATCACCATAATATGGGTCTTGTCATTAACTGCCTTGTCGCCTCAGATTCGCTTGAAATGGGTTTTGCGGTCTTGCAGAAGGATACGTAAGAACATGCCTACCTTATTTTCCTTACAAAAGAAGCGTCTCGCGTGGCGGGCAGAGACAGACGGAAGGAGCGAGCGACTTCTTTGTTATTTCTGCTACAAATCATCCAAAGGAGCGGCGAACCCGGACCACCAGCTGAGCTTCTGTGAATCCAAAACGTTTGTTTTCTTTCCTCCGAAATTCGCCATCCTGGCAGCCCCATACCCAAGCAAGAGTAAGACTGGGCGCTCGATGCATCCGGAGGCAAACGAATGACGGCTGGCTGGAATGCCAGCCCACTGCAAACAAACGGAGACACCTTTCCCCCCTCCATCATCCACTTCTCCGATTCTGCTTCTCTACAGGCATCCCTGAAGAACGAGTCATCCGGCGACGGCCTCCCGCGCCATCATCCACTCCCCAATCAAACGGCAAAGGTGCGATTATTCATCGCCTCCTGCTGGGAAAGCGGCCATGTCGCCACCTTCTGCCGCCAACCAAGGTATCTGGCGCCGCCGACCGCCGCATGGTCAAACATTGGCAACGCGTCGGCGTGCCGCATGGTCGGGAGCAGGTTGATGTGGTGCTCCAATAGCCCGAGCCCGAGGATGCCGACTCCGGAGCGCGGGCTGCCGACGGCGATCCTCGCGGAACGGTCCTGCGTCTGCAGGAACGCCTCGGTCAACCAAGAGAGCGCAGGGTAATTGTTCATACGGCGCCCGATGCTATGGTCGTGGCTTGAAAGGTCGGCCCGCCTACGCACATTGATTAGTTCTACGTACACTCTCACAGCTTTTCCACTTCAAAACCTGGGGCGGGCTTGCTTACCCCTCGGGCGGACTCCCGGCAACGGAGCCAGTCTCCACCGCAACGGACCTGAAGCTCATCTGAAGTGGGGTTTCGGCGGCCTCGTGATGTGACGGGACGGACCGAGCTGTCGACAAAGCCAAGGAAAGTTAGCTTTTGGTCGTTCGTCTGGATTTGCCTTTCTTGTGAATTTGGAGTATGTCGATCTGTTGAAGGTCGCAACTCTCTTGTTGTCTGTGTCGGTGCAAGGGTAAGGGACCAATACCACATCCCACGCTGGAACCTTTCCAGCAAAGTCGCAGGCCAACAAAGTGTTCTTATATCGGTACTGTACGACTATCCATCCGCCCTACGGAATCTAGATGATCGATCACAGCTCAGCGTCCTCCCGCTCTCGTTGGCCTCCCATTTCTTCATCGTCAGGGGTTATAGTGAGGCAGGCTGCCGCTGCAAGATGGTCTGCAGCCCCTCTAGGCTACCTTACCTTACTTGCAGATTTGGGGGCCATATGGCTGTATAAGCCCCCCCGTGTCACAATCCCATCACACGACACCGCATCGCTAGCCTGACGCTTCCAAACACGCTTGTCCACCATGCCTCTTTGTTCTCATGCTCTCTTTTTCAATAGCTTCCTTTCCATTCCTGCACAACCGTCATTAGTACTCCATAGACGTCGCATCGATGAGATAGTCGCTGTCACCGACATCGAGTTCCCAAGAAGTAGGTAACCAAAACCTGGTGCAATGGAACCGCATGAGCCTCCAAGCTCGATAATTGCGACCCGATCTGGCCAGGGTAACAGCAATGACGAGACAGACATGTCCCACTAGGAGGCTGGCGGTTCCTCAGCCTCAGCCATGGCGTGACTTCCTCCCCTCCCCTCCCCTCCCCGCCGCAAGACAGAGTTGGGAACATTCCGTCGCGATGGCGCATAGCTGCTAGTGCATTTCAACAACCTGATATTGGCTGCCTGTAGCAAACATCGTCTTTACACAGCCCCTTCTGGTCCGTCTTCTGGAAGACCCAAAATTTCCCTTGTCATCCATCTGCGGGTTCGTTCTCCATAGTCCTCTCAAGCCCAACCTGACCCCGCCGGAACCTCCAAGTGCACCTGGGTAGCAACACACGACCTCTTGGCCCGTGGTTCCCGCTACCAAATCTCGAGGTATATCTAAAACCCCCAAATCTGACACTGTTGTGCAACTGCTTGCTGTGCTTTTGATGGACACCCTTACAGCAAAACCTCGTATTCGAGCGCCACGCCCACGATCTGTATCATGATACCTAGGAAGGGCTGAGACTGTTGAGGTCTCCCGGGATGCCCCGTACGTCTACTCCATTGTTCATGAGGCCACCCATCAAGTCCAGGGTCAACGTTTCTACAAGTCATATCCCAAAATCATATTCAAAGACCTTATTTTTGACCAGTCTCTCATCACAGCCTCACTGTCTGTCAAGCTGCACTTCTTCTTCTCCCCATCCCCCACATCCACATTTTGATTGCTGCCCCGTCCGTCAGCACTAACACCACATCTATTGATGCAAGCGCTGCACCTCCCGGCCCCCAACGCAACCTTCACCTGCCATCCCGATCTTCTGTCTTGCCCCGAGTATCCACACGGGGATCCGGCCGGTTGCCTCTTCCCACGTCCAGCGATTGCAGCGCTCATGATGAGACCTACATGGATCTACCACACAGTTGGTCTTGGTTTGCGCTTTCGATGCTTCGTAGCCCACAAGACAACACCGAGCGCGAAATAGCAGCACGCAATTGATAAGAAAAAACCGGGCCATGCTCGGTGATAGCTGCTGCTACTGGAATATCATACAAGATCATGTCCACCGCTCCCCCCGATGCGGATATAATAGAAGGCAGGCTGTGCGCAAACTCCTCTTCCCGTATGCTGTCCCTCCTCCGTCGTGCGATAAAAAAATGCCTGAACAATGCAGTTGAAAAGACTCGCTTTTATGATCCCTTTCCCATAAATAACTCCTTTGTGAATCACCCTTTTCCTCGTCAGGGCAGAAATCACTGCTCCTGAGAAAGCGCTGGCTGGTACCGCATTTGAAGAACCCACTTGTTGTCAAAGTCAATGCCTCTCCGAATTTTGGTACCTGCCTTCTTCCAGACTGTCGCGCCGAGACCCATGTCGGCAATGAATAGCTTCCAGTCTTCATCTTCAGCCACAGCACCATGACCGTCAGCCGCTCCGGCACCGTGAACATTCGAGGGGTCCGTTTCGGAAACAGGGGCCATCGCCTCGAGTAGTCCCTTTTTCGGCGCGCCCATCGCCACCACATACCGAGGCTTGACATACAAGCGCCCACCGTCGATGATGCTGACCTTTCCAGTGGACGGGTCGATGCCCGTTGGCACATCCACCGCAAGAACAAAGGCCTCGTTTCGGTTGGCCCATTCTATCAATTCATATACAGTGGCTTGGTCGCCAGTTCGAAGCTCCTCAAACGAGATCGCCAGGCCTAGCAGAGCATCGATGATGAGTGTTACCGATGTTGCTGGGGTGGAAGCTGTCTTGCGAAGCTGTTCGAACAACTCGATCTTGTTGTGCACGCGACCTCCAAAGTTTCTGTATATTCTCACTTGCTGTCGCATGTCTTCGAGCAGATCTCGCTCACGCTCGATGCCAACGACACAGACTAGTAAGTTGAGACCCTTGTTGCGTAGGTGCCGGGCAGCCGCAATGGCTCTTATTCCGGATTTGTTGTTGCCGGCGAGAATGACGACGGTCGCAGAAGCCGACAAACTGTTGCTTTGAGCATTTGCGCCACCGGTTCCGAAGCGGACTTGAATCGCGGGGTCCTCCAGAGCTCGCAATGTCACCTCAGCGATTCCTCGGCCTGCATTCTCAGCCATCATGTCTTCCGTGAGCCCGACCTCGTTGGCTGCGATGTTTTCCAGGTTCAGCATTTGAAGAGCTGAGACGGTCTCCAGTCGTCGATTTGACGGTTCGAGATAGAAGCCGGACTGTGAAACGTGCTGTAGGTGGTTAGTACCATGAAGACTTTTGGGGCTGTCTTGGGAACGAAGCAACGCTTGGGACTGTCTGTTCAGACGTACGTTGGAGTTGACGCGATTGAGGGGCTGACTGGTAAGTTGCGCGCTCGCTTTCCGCGATTGCGACCTCCTTGCAGCCCCTGGTTTGCTGTCCGCCCTGCGGCTACTCTGAGCACTCCGGACATCACGACCGCTTAGTCGATCAACTCCATTAGCGGCATCGTCAGCCTCGCTGTTCCAAAAATCCTGGCTCGTCTTTGCCGATGCGGCTGGCAGGTCGAGTACATTCTCAGAATAGTGGAGGTTCTTCCCTCCAGCTGTTCCTGGCTTGGGCAGGCGGTTGTGCGAAACCAGCCGGTCTGCCTCGTCAACCAGGTCCTCCTTTCGCATTTGGTCGAAGATGGTGCGCTTATCAAACTTTGCCAGATTGTTCTCGAAATCGAACTCGACCATATCTTCAGTAACGTCTTCCGAGGCCCATCCGTTTTCGGGTAGGTCTTTCTTGCCCTTAAGGCCCCGTTTCAGTGAGTTGAAGGGCTGGAAGGAAGGCGAGCTTTGCAGCATCGGGGTTTGCCTCCAGCCCTTCCCACGATTAGTCGCGTTACCGCGGATCGGGGTGATTTCTGGTATCGTTTCCTCCGTTGCGCCGTTTCGAGCCTTTTGCTTTGCTCGCCGCCTACTGCTCTTCTTTTGTGGTTGACCCTGTACTTCACCAGCATCCTGCGACACTGTGCTGTTTCCCACAGCAACAAATCGTTGTGCGTTGGGCGTCGAGTCGTCCACTTCCAGCTCTTGCAAAGTCTCGCTCAGGCTGACAATGTCGTCCTTCAGACCTCCGGTGAGATGAACGCCGGACAAAACTCCTGGCTGCCCCGGCCGAAGGTCCCTCGGCGCGCCTGCAGCCTGTTGGGGTACAGCTTCCGGGAGTATCTGGCTTTCGCTCCCACTCACGATACCGGAGTCGGGCCTCTTTCCCATACTGAGGATGGCGGGGTCCGCAAAGGCGGGTTGCGCAGGTTGATTGACGACGGGAGCAGGAACAGGACTGACGCCCGGCGCTGTAAAGGTATTGGGCGCAGCATCTTCCTTGAATTCGGAAAGCTCGAGGACGTTGGCGGCATCGATGACGACCCTCGGGAGCCAGTGGTTTGTTCCGTGAGTGAAGACTACGTAGGCGTTTGTTAGTGGGACTGGGCATCTAGTGACGTTGATGGAAACATGAACGTACCGTTACTTAGTGTGAGGCTGATGCCGGGCTCTATAGCGCTGACAGTGCCCTTTAGCATCGTACCGTGAGGCTGCCTCAGTGTCACCAGCATTTGCAAGCCGATGAACTCCATGGTGACGGATGCGTCGCAGCGTGTGCGTGCTGAGTCGTTGACTGTATCAGGATGCACCAGAGCAGCGTTGGGTTGGGGCTTCGTCGCAAACACAACTTGCGCGAATTGACCGAAGCTTGAGCTTTGGAGATATCGAAAGTGGCCAAGAAAGATCGCAGGATGGAAGCGGCGGCAGTAAGGTGCTGTTGGAGGGCAGAAATGAGGTTGACGTTGGCAGTGAATATGTGTGTTGACCTTGGATCTCGACGAATGACCAGACCAGAGAGCTTGCTTCCCCCAATTCCCCCCTCGGGCACATTTACCTGCTGGGTTCAGGTTCCCTTAACTTTTTCCCAATGCTTATCGATAAGGCAAGCGCAGGGGACTTAAGCGCAGGGCAGGCGCAGGTCCCAGGTGCAAGGTCACGGGGATTTCTGCTGGTGGCGGGCAGCTACAGGCCACAGCATGCCCTGCCCAGGAAGAAGGGACGAACGTCATGGACACAAGCTTCCGGGCCCATCTGGGGTACGAAGTGACCAACCCAAGGTACCTCAACTAGGTACTCAAGCCTACAAGGTAAGTACCTCGAAAGGTCGGTTGACTCTAATAAAGGAACATATTGTGCAGACAGTTTTCATCAAGTGCGCAGCACCTCACAATCAATTGGATTACCTATGTTTCAACGCACATTGTAGGCGTCGCATCCAAGGTACATAGATTATTATGACTCTTGACTGTTCTCCATCCATCTGTTGAAGGTGGCAGCATATGCAAAGTTGCTCTAGCTGCAACGATTCTGCTCTTGGCGTTCCTCAAGGTTGCGGGTGGATGCTACGACTACCCTAACTTACCTTAACTTACTTGCAACTACGACAATGAATTAAGTGGCCAAATACAAATGCCTTCTAATATTGTTTTCTCTTATTCATTCGCTACAAGAGCAGAGGTATTTCCGTCCCACCAAGACGTGCGTTTCAAAGCGAAACCAGAGCTTGCGAGTCCAACGCTATCCATGTCCAGACAACCTGAAGACTAAATGAACCCCTTCCAACCATGCATAGACCGGCCACTCGAGTAGAATCTTTGATGACGACGTGTCTCTGAAACGCCGTATTATGTTACTGCCAAAACACTTCCTGGGTCCCATCTTAAAACCCGCCGTAGCTCGCCATTGCCTCCTCCTCCTCGTCCAAGTCGATCACCTCAACACCTTTCCTCACAAACGATTGAGACCGCGCGCTCACCCCAGAAGCACTCCTGGCGGGTTTTGTGTCCTTCTCCTTGTGTAAAAAATCAGCCATACTTGGTGGCTTTTTCGCAATGGCTACGTCGGCACTGTAGAGCTTGTTGTAGAACCCTACGACCCGAGGGTGAGCCATCACTTTGTCCTTCCGGAAGTTCAGGACCTGTAGGCCTTGTTGACAGGTCGCTCGACTGAGCGCGACATAGGCCTGACCCTTTTCGAATACTTTGCCCAGATCGACCTTGACTCGTTCCAATGTCTGACCTTGGGCCTTGTGAATCGATAGTGCCCATGCCAGAATCAGAGGCAACTGGCTTCGACTAGCCTGCACCTCGCCATTAGGCAACTCAACCTTCCAATCTTCTGGAACGCAAAGGATGGTACGGGTACATCCATCCACCGCCGCGAATTCCACGACAGGATACTCGGCTTTGCCCTTAGTAGCCTGCTCTACTTCTCTGCTGAAAGCTTGGATCTTGCGCCTGGCCCTTGCTTCTCCATCCTCGTCTATGTCCTCGACACTCTGCATCATGAGTGCTGGATTCCAGTGTTCAAAGTCGTCCTCGCTCATGAAATTGACCACTTTTCCAAGGGAACCATTGACAAGTGTGTCGTCCATGTTTTTGATGAGCATGACTTGAGCACCAACCTTGAGCTCAATCATTTTGGGTGCCATCATATTTTGGAGTAACTTGTCGCGTATTTGGGGGTCTCCGCTATCGCCTGCGTCGTACCGTTTGGGTATTCCGGGCAATCTGCGCAGTCGACCTTGGTTGGCGTTCTCAACCTCATATCGTGTAGGGAACAGCTCTGTGACCTCCAGGCCATCTGTGGCGGGAATCGCCCTAGCCAGGCTTCTGAATGTTTGCACGGTCTCGTCGGTAATTCTGCCAAGACGCATTTCGTTCAACATATTGGCAAAGACTGAGATTGGTTAGCTACTGCGCCGGTCTACAATGTCCAGACTCGTGTTTCATTTCGACATACCTGGATCCCTTTGACGGAACACCTGCGTCAAACCAATCGTGTGGTCAATCGTAGTGTTCCAAGTTGCCGCTTCGAAGGCAAATTTAGAATCCCTGCCTTTATCACCATCAGGTACCGGGGGCAGCTGGAAGAAATCCCCCGTAACTACAAGCTGGATTCCGCCCCAGGGCTTGCCGTTGTTTCTGATGGTTCTGCCGATTTGTGAAAGCTTGTCGAACAGGTCGCCGTCCACCATTGAGACCTCATCAAGGACGAGGATCTTGGTGCGAAGCCAGCGGTTCTTCGCTTTGGGGTTTCGCCGGATCTTCTTAACCAATGCCTGGACGTCTTCCTTGCCAAGGCCAATCCCAGAAAAGCTATGTAGCGTTTGGCCTCCGATATTGCAGGCTGCGAGGCCTGTCGATGCTGTGATAGCTACCCTTTCCGGATCTCTCGCCCATTTCTTGTTCAGCTCTGCGATAATCGATCTCATCAGGACCGACTTTCCAGTTCCGGCCGGACCTGTAAAGAAGACACTCTGGCCTTTGTTGACAACGAGGTCTTGGACGTGCTTTTGCTCTTGAGTGAGAGCAATCACTGATGCCTTGGGCTTGGGCTGGTTGCTTTTCGTCACCTCTGCTCGAATTTCGTCCATGGACCACTCTTCCTCATTGGCGGCTTTTTTGGATTGTGTTTTCAACTGTTTCTTCTGCTCCTTGAGGGCACTGGCAGTCATATTCCAGGTCTCTTTCTTCTTCTTGGGAGCAGGCGTGACACCACCATCCGCCCATCGAGAGACCTCCGGCTCGTCTTGTGGCACTGGGATAAAGTCCTCCTCAACTTTCCATTTTGTTGGCAGCTTGCGCTTCTTGGGCTGCGGCGCCACTTGAGACTCGAAGTTCTCCGGGGACTCACGCTTCAGTGAGCTTTCGGCAGATGTGGTGCGCGATAGTTGAGGGTGGACGAAATGTGATGCGGGAGACGAGGACCACGGTAAAACTTGTGTCGAAGGTTCCTCGGGCGGCGGGTTGCTAGCCTTCTTTGCGACAACAGGGGGCTTGGGGAGTGATGGTAGAGCCGACGGGGCTTCGAAGTCCAGGTCAAGCTGGTCGTCGTCACTGAAGTCATCTTCGGCAAAATACACAGCGGGTTTCGAGTTGGCCTGCCCACTTTGAGTAGAGATATTATCCGGTTCGTCTCGAAAAGAGTCAGACCTGGCGTAGAGAGAAGCGAAAGATTTGCCGTTAGGCGCGGATATAGAATCGAGAGCAGACCGATTGCTGCTTGCGAAGTGCGTTACACTTGCAGTCCTGCCCGGCGGGGGTCGTATCCAGTTCGTCGTCGCGGGTGGCGCCGTGGTCGTCGGGGTGGTCTTTTTGAATTGGTCTATGATATTCCCATTCTGAGTGGCGCTGGGGCTGCTCGAGGGAAATAGTTGCTTCGCCAAGTCGTTCTTCTGGGGTGGCGGAGCGCTGGCCTCGTAGGCCTTCTTCGCTCTGGCTAACATCGAATCGGTATGCGGACCTAGATCCGGATGGGAAGCAGAGGTGTGGACATGAGCGACACGAAATGCTGCTCTGTGGGTGAGTTGGCGGAGTATTGGCGGATATCGAATGGGAAAGAGGCTGGTGATTCCAGCCGTCATCCGAGGGGCTGTCTTGTTGACATTTGTTGTGTGACTCTGTACGTGAGAGGCTTTGCTGTGTCGCACGCTGACTGAGGAAGGAGAGAATTCGATCTGCGTCTATCCTGGAAGGGCAATCCCGATTGTGGTCGGGACGCGCCTGGACGCGTTAAGCCCCTCCTGAGTCTCAGCGCGAAAGTTGCTCCAAATCAACTTGGCTTAGTCATCCGCTTAATTACCATCACCCAGTCTTGCTCACAATGCCACCACATTCAACCTCACTCTTCCATGTAACGCGTGAAACCGTCGTAGCCGCGAATTATGCCACCTCTTTGTACGACTTATCCCCGATGATCATTCGCCATTTGCCTGCCTTTTCTACAATTGGAATACGCACATACGCACTAGAGACTTATTCCACTTCCTTTAGGAACAACTGACGGACTACTGGCTACCTCGACGGACTATTCAAATTGTCCAATAGCATGTTGCTCAATCACCGTCATTGGCTGCGGACCGTCCACGTTCACCATGTAGCTCCTCTCTTTTGCAGAAAGAGCCTGCGCCTCGATGCAATGTCGTCGAAGGAGAAGCTGTTCGTTCGCCTCATGTTGAGCGCGGGGGATTGACTATCTGCAGTCGACCCCAATAGCAACCTTTTAGGCACAAAGGTTGGGCAGAACTCCTCCAGCTGGACCCGGCACTACTTATTCAAGCTCTCGCCTTCCATGTTTGTGCTGTGCTACCTCGGCGTCTCTGCAACCTGCAAGCTGCATTGCCAGATTTTGTTTTCACTGGGACGAGGAAGTTGCTCACGTTGTCAAACTGATTATTCGGATCTCTCATTGGTCAATTTCACTATGCTGCCCTCTGGAAAGACACTGCCTGTTCAACTTTTGTTTCGACTAAAGCATTAACACAGAATAGTTTCATTCTTGCCGATCAATGAGGCGTATAGCTATCGACGACATCCTCAAGCGTGGAAAGAAACCCCGGAAAGGATTGCAAACTTGGGCTACCCTAGTTGTGGTACCTCGCCCCTGATCGCCCTAGCGGTTCAAACGGATTGTCATGGTGCCGGCTCATGTACTGTTTTGCTTGTCGCGCTCTCTCTTCGTACGTTTCCTCGTCTCGAAACAAGGCGCCTCTTTCTAGAGAAGACCGACGGAATCGAGTTTCCAGTCGTCGCCTCCGTGTGTCGGCAGCCAGCTCCTCCTCGCCCACCCGTCGATCTTCAAATCTCACTTCATCACGGATCGTCAATTTCCTCACATTATCCAAATCATCTTCATGTCTTGCACGAACAACCTCTTCCGAATCAACAATGCGGAAGCTGGGTCGCCTGTGGATGACACGGGGCGGAAGCACAACTGGTCGACGGCGGCCGAGACTGTTCAACAGCTCAATGTCTTCCAGGTCGTTGTTATAGGCCGTATCTGCTAGCCGCCGGGGCCGAAATGCCTCATGCTCGAAGCGGTCGACTCCGCCAGGCATTATAAGTGGTGGGGGTGGAGGTGAACCAGGCATACGACCGCGAGGAACATCGTAATCAAAGAGGCGATAGTCCTGCTTCGTATGGTATCGACGGTGGCTACGGCTACGGCTACGGCTTCGACTGCGACCGCGACTTGGATGACGGCCGCGGCGGTGATTATGCCTGCCGGAATCGGAGGACCCAGTGACGGATGTACTCGGCGTCCGGTCCGACTCGCTCCAACTATCGTCCGAACGCGAGCTTCTAGAGCTTCCTGAGCTTCTAGAAGGGATGTCATAAACCTTGGTTTTGCCCTTCTCTGTCTTGATGACTTTGACGTCGGCTTTCTCTTTGCCAGGCTTCTGCAACGGGAACGGAGGGCGAGGCGGTACAGCCACTGGTTGCGGGTGAAGTCGCAGAAACTCTTCCTGTTGCTGTCGCATCGCCAACTCATGGCCTTGCTGCCGTGCCAAGAATTGATGATCAAGATGGTGCTGCCGCTGTTGGTCACGCAGGCGTTGTTGATATTCAATCTCCCGTTCTCTCTCCTTGAGAATGGCCTTTGCATCCTCGCCGAAGCGCGGCTCTCGTTTGAAATACACCGTCATCGAGATCGTCTCCAGGAGGTTCTTCTTCGATTTCCTTTCTTTAAACTTGGTTACCACGACCTTCTTAGCCTCTTTCCCAGCCATGTACTGGCGGTACTCAATAGAGTCCTTGCTAAGCTTCCTGATCTTGGTGCTGATCTGCTGCAGTGTGTAATAGAACCGCTTGTCAAGGTTATGTGCGTCGAGATTGTTTTGCGCCTTTTCGATCTGACGCTGCTGCGTTCCTGTGAGGTCTAGCTTCTTCTGCATTGCCGTCTTGCCTTCGGCATCAAGTTGACGGATGGTTCGGGTTATGGCCGGCTTGGGGAGGTCCTGGACCTCTGTGCGGATGACATTCTCCCAGGTCGATCTGACGGGGTTTCCTTCGTCGTCAATCTCGTTTGGGTCATGGACCTTTTCGAACCGGTATACGACATACTCGGACAAGGCTTCGCGTGCATCGGCATCGGTCATGCGTTCGTTGCGAAGATCTGATCGCTCAACGAGACGCTTGCGCCGTAGTTCAGGTGGAATCACGTCGTTGGGAGGCTGAACCGGCATGGGCCGAGGCATCATCATTGGGGCTACCATCGGGGCTGCTGGACGTTGAACGACATGATGAGCCGGCGCTCCGTGGACGGGAGGCTTGGGGGCCGGTGGAGGAGGCGGTGGATGCGGTCCGCCTTTCGCCCCTTGAGGGTGTTTCGGCGGGCCGGCAGTGAGATTGATAACACCGGCTGGAAGGGGAGCCATGATGGAGACGAGAATTGTAAGGATGCTAGGACTCGGAGGGTATCCTCGAGGAGGGTTGGGGACAGGTAAGGCACGTCTTATATGGTGAATCCGTAATCGACGTCCCATGAAACTGACATGCAATAAAATAGGAGGGAGACAAGTATGCAGAGTGGAATGTCGTACCAGAAGAAGTCGAGAGGGTTGTGGCTGTCTCGACTCGGAGACTGTGCTAGACAAAGTGAGGCGAGCGCAGTCCTTTGTGGAAGGGTGTATAAGACAAAATGAGCGATAGGAGGGTGTGTTGGTACTTATGCTGTTGGTCTGTCTTGATCTTTGTTCCTGACTGTAGGATGCGGTTCTGGGCTCGGCGACAAGAACGGAATGGCCACCATCAACAACTTTGGCCGCAGCAGCACGTATCTGACCTGCTTTCTTTCCGATGATACGAGCCTTGTCCTTGGAGTGTCCAGGTCAGCTATCCGGCTTCTTTCGTCTGTTGAGGGGAAGAAAGAAGATAGGAGAGAAGGGTGGGAAATAGTGGCCGTGAGAAGAGGGGGCGGGCGTTGCGAGCTTTCAGGAAGCCAGGAAGCTGACTTTCACCGCCAGGAATATGCAACTGTCTACCATACGCGCAACCTATCACTCAACCCAGCAAGCCACCTACTCATAAAATACTTCGTCGCTCTCGAGGCATCCATTCGCACCATCCCTGTCGCTTCGGTGAAGTGGTGGGCACCGCCCAGTCGAGCGCCACGTTCCTCGCCTTTGGATTGGCAGCCTGGTCATCAAACGGCAATTACTTCAAATGCGATACTTGAGACGCCTGTCTCCCTCGCCTGAGCCAGAGAGTTTGACCTGGTCGATGGATGAACTCGACAAAACGAAGCACAGTCTGAAATACTACTCGGAGTCCAACGGGCCCCGGCGACTGTGCATTATACGTACCGAATATGCCTGAGTCGTCTGTATTAGAACTACACTTGGATTGGAAGCTGTCACCATGTCTTGGCAAACACCAGCCTCTACACTACACACCGAGAGCTGCTCGTTTACCGTCTCTACCGATGCTCATTACCCCGCAAGAGACTGGCTTTGTCTTACACGGGCACGGGCGGATTTGACGGGCGGGAGGGAGGGTCGACCCGGAAGGCGAATTTTGCGAACAGTGGGAATGGTCCGCGCCGCACGAAACAAGGCAACCATCCGGCTGAATATCTGTCAACCTCGAAGCGTTCACCGAAGACGTGCCGCTTTTTATTGAGGTGTGTGGAGGACGCGCATTAAAGAGTGTGTCCAGCTGTGTGGCTTGATCGGCAAATCCACGCAGGCTCGCGGTCAACACTGTCCAGGGCCGGCTCAATCGGGTATAGGATTCTTACACTTCTGGGTGCCATCGTCGACCCCAATCAACGACCACGACTCCCCCTCAAAGACGACTCCAATTGGTGAGGGGTGCATCAAATGACTCCGATAAGGAACATCCAGCAACGACCTGCAGAAATAATGTTACACGGCAGAAGCCCTAGGTGCTTGACCAATCAAGCTGACACGACACGAAGGAATGGGCAAGAATACAAGATTCTTGTCGGTCATAGGATGCGAATTCGAGATGCCAGCGATCGAGACATGCGTCCGTCTTTATGCAGGACGTGAGAGAGACTATTCTGAGTCCGTAACAACCGAGACATTAAGGCTGTTCGTCGACGAGGGTGGTGCAGTCGGTACCGCCCTCGGCTTCGTATCAAAGATAGGATTCGAAGTGCGCCTCTCATCCAGGTTGTGGTCTGGAACGTGCGAGTTCTACCTCGATCTTTGAAGCTGGCCTGGTCGGTGGTCCATCTGACACTTCGACAAGACCATTCTGAATGGAGCATCTTACGTGGCCGGTCTTCTGACACGAGTCCAATCCAAACGCCAATCTTTCGCAGGCGCCTATTTCCTCCCATGTCCAGTCGTTCTCATGGCCTCACAACATTTCAGAGTGCTCGAATGATGTGTAGTGACGGAGAAGAATGAGACAATAATGCCAACTGGTCTCAGTTGCCATTGCAGAGCCGCACCTTAACTGACGTGACTGACAACTGCTCTGATCGGTTACCTGCTTCCTTTACAAGCACCATCCATGCAATAATGAAGGATCTCTACCACCTCGCGAAGGCTCTTCAACTCCTTCGATCTTCAAGAGACAGGGGAGGCCTGTCCACACCGCCTGTCAGTCAAGCTTGATGATATTCAGACGCCGCGGCTGATCAGCAGAAGCCTAGACCAAGGCTGTCTGCTGTGTCGGTACACAACATCCACGGAGCTAGCACGAACTCGCATTTCCTGACGACACAGAAGTCTGACCTCGATGACTTCGATGCGTGTAGTCCCAACGTTCTACTCATCGGCACTGCACGTCGAGAAGCCCGGGTCCCACAGCAACTGAAATCGTCTTTGTGCAGGGCCTTTGCGCGACGTTGGACACGCAGATTTTCACATCAGAGGTGATACAAGAAAAATCTCCTCACGCACCCTGGGATCTGTCTTCGTCGTAGCCATTGCAGAGATGCCTAATGCCACAGGGACTTCCCTGCTCTCCTCATGTACAACGCGTACAATCGAGCGATCTGGCGGCTTTCCGTCAAACTGCGGGTCTTTTCTTTGTCCTTCAGAAGCCGAAACGCTGTACTCCATGTCACAAACGAGAGGCCTGGCTCCTGGGTCTCACCGTCTACAATGCCGCCGCCATCTGTATATATGCCCAACGGTCGAGGGAGGACAAGAGCTTTCTCCTTTGAATTCTCAACTGATCGTCATGCCAGTACGTTCAAAAAGTTTCGGCGAACTGGGACTATCCTCGAACGTTGAGTGTTTGGTGTAACCTCTACAAAGCACCTGGCTTGAAGAGGGATCAGTCAGGATGCTGACAATCCCTGCAAGCAGAAGAGCCCTTGGCTTCTACACAACAAGACACCACCCCTCATTCACAAGTGCCAGCCTGCGCCCGGTTGCAACACCAAGGGTGTAGATGGGTGCAGAATTTCCAGCTTCTCTCGAAAAAGTTTTGCCTATTCTCAACGAGGCTAGCCAAAGTGCGGTTGCCTCGTCTCTCTCGGCTGACGCGACTGACTGGTTTTCTTGCACTTTGTACAGCGCTTTGGCTGGTCATCTACGGCGTTCGGCCTTCCTTTTCCGACTCCTTACTCGCAATCCATCTCCTGCCTACCTAGTATAATCGGAGATGGCTGGCTCATCTGTAACACGGCGTCAAGTCGATGCCTCTCTAAAGAATTAATCAGCAAGGCAGCAGCGAGGTGATGATGTGCCAAGATACATACTCGGTATGACGCCAGACGTTGAACACGCAAAAGGCGTTCCCTTGGCGGATAGAGCCTTTTGAGACAGCGGCTCGACCCGAGGACACCACCACACATGTCTCAACTCGCGCCACTTATCCGTTCGGACAAGTCCGAGGTCAAGAGATCAGTGCCTTCCCGAGAGTGTGTGTGCTTACGGCTTGGATGCCTGGCTCAGCCTGCTGTGCGAGATGCTGGCCCCTTTTCGTCCTCTGCGGGGGAACACACAGGTTGTGCCACCACTCACCTGGCACTTATTCAGATTCAACATTAGGGAAACATTTGCAGAGACAATACTAGTATCTCTGAAAGGGGTGGTATTCTTGGTCTTGGATCGGTGGATAGCTTGGGTACTTCACTATTGTAAGATGGTTCTGTTGCCCAGACGCCTCGATGTTTAAGGAAGACAGCTTCGTCGATATGATGAATTAAAGTTACGGTTTGTATGGAGAGAGGAATCGAGTAACGAGACTCAAGCCATAAACTTGAGGTAGAGGATTTAGAATAATATGTAGCGTAGTCGCCTCTCGGACACATCGCCCCGAGTCGTCAGAGGTAAGTAAGTTAGGTAGGAAGATCTCCCATGCGTAATCACAACTAAGTTTCCAGAAACAGGATTGAGAACTTTTGACCAAACTCTTAAGAGGGATTGTTTCAAACAGCCCGCCAATGAGGGTTCTGACGAAGGAAGCAGCCTAGATAGGTCGTTGCATTGATCATATTGAAGCTGCACAACACACGATATTCCATCCCTTATTGAAGTTATCTCGCTTACCAGCAATGTTGAGACACAATTCCTAGTCGTGGATATCTCAGGAGCATACTTAATTGTCCATGGTGCAACAATTTAAGCGATTTGCAAACAAACTTTCCGTGGCGTCTTTTTGTTTGCTTCTGCTCAATGGGCTGGAGGCACCTTCCCCCTTAACCCACTCCTGCCCCCTTTTCACTTAAAACCGTGATGGTATTCATCATTAAATTAAAACTCGCACACCGCCCTCGCCTGAGTGTGTATTCAATGAGAGAATCATATCAAAAAGACGAAAAGTCCCTTGCCCCTCCCTCTCTTGGAAAAATATCCTCCCACAAACAATTCAACTCCACGAAAGTCTCATCGACAGTCAACAACAAACAATCTCAAACCCCCTCTGCACCTTACATCACAATATCCTATCCTGATCTCAATCATTCACTCACAATCACCGCGACGATGAAGAGCATCACCATCATCACCTCCTTCTCCGCCATCTTGGGCGCGATCGTCACCTCTGCTGCTCCTGCTGAGCAGCCGGTCAAGGCCGATATGGCCACCATCTGCGAGACAACTGAGGCTCCCTTTGCCAACGCTATCTGCCACCCCTTCACAGCCTCCGATGGCAGCGTTTTCGCCGTCTTTACTCTCGATCCTGCCAAGTCTAATGAGGGCACCTTCGACGGCATGAAGACTGCTGTCAACTCTGGAGCCACCACCTGGATTCCCAACAAGATGACTGGCAACGAGGACTTCTGCGACAACGTCGATGGCCTTCACTCTGGCCACATCAACCCCTACATGCCCCTCGTCTCCGACTGCCTCGCCATCAAAGATTGGGCTGCCTCTAACGCTGGCCACTGGGCCGTCTCCAAGGCTGACTTGGACAAGCACCGCTGGGTCGCTCTCTCTGTCGTTGGCACCTGCGCCTTTGTCGTCGGCGCCACCAAGGAGAACCGCCCTGAGGCTGGTATCAACATTGGAAACCAGGATGCCACCGAGATCATTCAGCAGGCCATTGAGAAGCACAGAATGATGGACCAGGTCGAGGTTGCTGGTCGCTCTTCTTGCATCGCCTCGGGTGGCAAGGTCGCTGCTGACTGGTACATCGCCAATCCCGACATGATCAAGTGGGACAACTGAGGAGTGGGCATGCCTTACGAGACTTAGCTCTCGAGAACAAAAATCGTTACAGGGTCGATATAGATTCACAAGAAACGGGTTGCAGGAGCGGGTAGCCACATCTTGGAATTCTTTGGGGTCACATTGGAAGGAGGATACTTTTAGTACCAATACACCGGCTTCATTACGAACACTATGACTGGTCCCATGTGAACGAAATACTCCCTACAATGGCCAATTCTGGCGCCTTGAAAAACAGAAGATGGACGTAGCCTCAGGTGGACAGAACATCTCACCTTGGCCCGGCGATTCTGTGTTACACAGCGGACAGAGAGTGAAATACTTTATATCTGGGCCATGTATGTGAATGTTGTATTTCCAGGTCCCTTTATTCAACGATTATTATACCTAAGGTATCATGTTTTCCTTTCTCTCTTCACCTCACGCTGCTCCTCCGTGCCTTCCCCTTCACGACTGGCGTTTCTGTACACCCACAATTGCACCTTCTCCCTTTGTTTTCCTCCTTCATTTACTATCAAGCGAGAAAATACCCAGATTTCAAAGCACCTTGTTCACTGCCTCGGACTTCCAGTAAAGCAATTACCATCCGAGACCTACTTGCTTTTTGTCTTCTTCACCTCTTCCCACCCGCCCACCCCTCGACTGCCAAATACGACGACTTCCACAATCAGAAGCAGACAAAGTTCTACATTTTCTTTACTCCAAGAGACAGCTTCCATCTGTATCACCAATCGAGTCTCCCACATAACAACCCTCAAGATGGCTGTCATAGTCCGTCTTCTCGCTACCGCTACTGCTGTGATGGCGCTTGCCGTCGCCGTCAACCCGGTTGCCCAGGGTCCTGGAATCATCCGCGATCCTGCCTGTGGCTCTCTCTGCGCCTTCACTGAGCCGCCTTGTCCCAAGGCTATCTGCCACGAAGTCCTTCTTGGCAACGGCAAGTGCAAGGCCATCTTCACCGTTCCGAAGGTCAATAAGGCCGACTCCATCGATGTCGAGGGCGCGGTCTCCTCGGTTGTTGAAGTCAAGCAAAGCAAGAAGAGTGTCGACAACATTGCCAAGGGTGACATCAACGCCGACGATTCTTTTCTTACCAGAGACACCATCAATCCCATCATCAACCACTTCAGCACCTCTTCCTTCGCCAAGCGTCACATTTTTGAGAAAAGCGAGAAGTCCGCGAAGGTCTGTCAGGGTCAAGGCGTTACCTGCTACAACCGCGACCAGAAGGCCTTGGCTAAGGACTGCATGGAGATATACAAGCATGTGGGCAAGACATCCGGCACCTGGACCTTCTCTGACCTTGATCTTCGTGGCACCAAGTGGGTTGAGTTCATGCGCATCGGCACTTGTCTCATCGCCTTCGGTTCTGAATTCGCCAATGTTCAAGGTTCTCCGATCAATGGCATGAGTTCCAAGATCGGCAACCTCGACATGTATGGCATCTTCGCTCAGAGCTTCCATCACTGCGGCGAGGACAGCATGGAAGTCAGAGGCAGTATCGGCTGCAAGGAGTTTCCACTCAGTTTCTGGATCGTCGCAACGGACAAGTACGACTGTTGCAAGTCCGACCCGCCTCTGAAGCACGATTAGACGTCTGGAATCACCAGCGATGACTGAAAGGTTGCAGAAGGGTACAAGGGAATACTCGGGAAGCTTGGGTTAGCTTTGGGTCACCATCATCAACTTTGAGAACACCGCAAAGGAACTCTGCCTCTGGTAGTTGCAGTCCACTGCGTAGCTATCAGTAGCCAGAGGAATCAAAAATCGCGGTTCATCCGACACAATACCTGTCTGTCTCGTTGTGACATGTGTTAGATGCCAGGAAGGGTTGACGTTGTTCCATGTTGAGCCTCATCCTCTCCATAACCTTCGTGAGTCAGGCACCGTTTGACCTAGTCCTCTTATCTCGTCGGGACAGGATCCCCTTCAGGACATAGAGTTTACCTCACAAGGGACGACTCAGTAGATGTGCAGAAAGCACGCATCAGATGGCGAACATGACGGACGGTCTCCGTTGTTTCGCCGTCCTTCTTGGCGTCTTGCCACAACCGCAACAACAAAAGTGTAAAGAGAGACATGGAACGATAGAACAACCAAACGGTGCTGCATGGAAACAATAGAAGTCAGATTGATCCATGTCGTTTCCCGACGCCGTTGTCGTTCATCTCACAACGAGCTTTCTCATCTTGGCCAGACCTTCACGTTTTCATGCCCTCGCTCTTGGATGTTGACATGGTGTTACATCAATCCACCCCGCACCGATCCGAGTTCGTAAATCATACTCGAGAATGCAACAGCAACGGCTCCGATTACGACGTTTTGCCAGAATTTCGGACGTTCGGCAACCGAATAGCACCCAAAACTTGTCCTACAAGCCCCAACGACACCCACACCATCAAGTTCTGGTGGAGTGAGGGTTGCAGTGTCAAACAAGAATCTACCGGCCCGTCGGAGTAATTAGAAATCGAAGTTGCGCCATACGCGATACCTCCACGTCGTTTGTGTGTATGACTGTCGCGGGCCAGGCGAATGAGCACGGCGCGCGCGAGCGCGCGAGAGCCTTGAGTTTTGAAACCTGAGCAACCTTTCCGCCAGCCTGCTCCTGGCTCGGACCAGAAGCATCGGCCTCCGCGCGATCTCATGCGCCCAGCCTAAAACTCGTTCAGTGCCCGCGTCCATCATGCTTCCCTGCTCGGGGTCTCTCTTGTCTGCCATTACAGCCCTGCGGTCTTCCCGGTAGAGAATTCACTCTAACACGGATAGGCTGATCCCAAAGCTTCGATCGACTCTGGTGCCTGAGCTTTTTTCCAGGGCCCCGCGGCGAGGATGGAGGAGGGCCAAGTGTGTCGTTCTGAGTTACGAGGAAGAGCAAGACTTGGGCACCTAGTCGGACCGTGCCGACTCTTCCTTTCCCGCTCGCCTTGTTGCTTGGGAGATCCTTGGCCTGCCTCTGTCCTGTTCACTCGGCGCAATGGACAGTCCGGTTGGCTTAAGTTGAGCGGATGTCCCTGGAACTCTTTTAATGTTGAAGTGACTGCCGCCTCTTTTGTTGTATTTCCAGGTTCAACATTGCTCAGAAGGAAGAAGCAGACAGTCCTACCATCCATTCCTTTGGTTTTGGTTGTTGATTTTCTCCATGTTTGTATATATGGGTTCCGATATTCTTCTCGGCGAATTGTCATCTCGGACTCGGTGTAAGACGTCATGCCCGCGAGAGCGCTCGCTCTGGTCGCCTTACTAGCTGCAGCTGTTTCGTGCGTACCGTCGACCCAGGACCTCAGGACCGACATAACTATCATTCGAGACAATGACCTCCTTGGTGAGTCGCAACCAGTGTCACATATCCAGAAGCCTCTGACTGACAATGGCAACCTTCCAGACTCGCAAAGCCCAGCGGCCAATACAAGCGCTCTCTTCCTCAGGGCGCGGGTGCCTTTACGAGAGGCAAAGTCCATGTGTAAAGATCTAGGCGAAAAGCTGTGGGAAGCAGATTCAAACTCCACGCAGAGGATATTAGACATTCTCGACTATCAAGAGCCCGATGTTGACTTGTCAGCAATCTGGGTCATGCCCAAGAACGGCGATGATCCCCAGACGATCAATCTCAAAGGCGAGGTCTCCTCTGCCGACACATCCGACACGAATACCGTTCTGTGCACGCAGACGGCGCCATACTCCAACGGTATAGCCCAGGATAGCAGTCCGAGGTGGCAGACTGTGGTCTACTCCAACAGAGAAGCAGTACTTGGCTTTCGCGATAGGAATAGCTTCCGCTTTCATGGTATGCGTTACGCTACGAGGACGAAGCGGTTCGCATACCCTAAAATGTATCGAGGCTCTGGCGGTAATGCTACCGCACTCGAATTCGGATCCCCTTGCTATCAGGGGTTCGGCGGCACAGAAGATTGCCTGTACCTGAACGTTTACACGCCGTATCTTCCCCGTAACAGACGCATCGACAGCGGTCTCCGGCCGGTCATGTTTTGGATTCACGGTGGAGCTCTCACGAGTGGCTTTGGTAGTGATCCCCTGTTCGACGGGGGTAATCTGGCATCCCGTGGCGACGTAGTCGTCGTGACCATAAACTACCGGCTTGGGTCTCTGGGCTATTTGGCCATCGACGATGGCGAGATAAATGGCAACTTTGGCCTCGCTGACCAGATTCTGGCGTTGGACTGGGTCCGACAACACATCCGAGACTTTGGCGGAGACCCAAGCAAGATCACCATATTTGGCCAATCCGCCGGAGCTGCCTCCGTCCGCGCGATGATGGCGTCTCCAAAGGCTGCTGGGAAGTTTGCGGGCGCGATTCCGCTCAGCAATCTTGGAGGCTTGGCGTACGGGACGTCATACTCCAAGTACTTCTCCATCGAGGAACAGCTAGACCTCGTGGGTAACGCCATCCTCGGCACCACGAACTGCACCAATGCAACTTCGCAGCTCGACTGTCTTAGAGACGCGCCGCTTGGAAGTCTCGGACCAGGAGCGCGGTATCTCGTCAACGACGGTGTCTACCTGACGACAGATGAGCTGCCCCTCAGGGGAGACTCTCTCAATGTCAACGTCATGATGGGCATCACATCTGAGGACGGCTTGCCGTTTCTGATTCTCCCGCGGAATGGGACAGTACTCAACGATACCCAGTGGCTCACATCTCAGGGCCTCCCAGCTCCGCCACAGCGTCTTTTCCCTCCGACAGATGTCAGAAACCAGACGCGGGCGTCATTCGGGGTGGGAGCCAGGCTCGCCACCGACGCGATGTTCCGCTGCGTAGATCAAGCTACGGCGTACGCGGGCTTGGAGAACGGCGTCCTCGGGTCCAAGGTGTACTACTACGAGTTCGAGCGGACGTACCAGACGCCCGAGTGGCCGAGACTCGACATCTGCGAGGCACCCAAGTCAAAGGCTCATCCGAATGGAGATCCCGAGTCGCCCGCCAATAACCTCCGATGCCACTCGGGCGAGTTACTTCCGCTATTTGGCAATCTCGTACGTCAGGGAAACCCGCTCCGTGACGAGAACGACTTGCCCTGGATGCAATATCTCGTCGACACGTTCACCTCGTTTGCACGAACTTATGATCCTAATCCAGATAAGGCCTTCCTCAGGGCTAGAGGGTTCGGCAGCACGTTGAGGGCGTTAGAAAAGTCCGGGCCCTGGGAGCCGTCGGTGAAAGGCGACATGAAGATGAGGGCCATCGATTGGCCCGTGAAAGACCACATGATGAGAGGATTCAAGGATGTCGAGCAGTGCGAGTGGCTGAAGCTGCCGCTTGACTTTTACGTTTGAGTAAATAATTTACCATGGCCGAAAGGGAGAGATGCACATACAAGCATTCAGGACCTACATAATTAGATGTTTAGTACACGACACCGCGTAGAAGGGTTTTATACAACCCCTAATAGATGCATTCTTTGTTAGACATGAATCGGAAAAGATCACCTCACTTTCCAATACCCCCATTTGATAGCCAACGTCTGGTTAATAAGCAACTCACTACCATGGGTGATACTACGGTCGGAAATGGAACCAACTGCATGTGCAATCAAGATAGCTGTGGCGAAGTTATCTGCGGCGTCGTCCTATTGGGCCACGACTGTATGGTCTCATGTATGGTCCGGGAGGGGTAAATCTGCCTGACAGCCTCGTCTCGCTGACCTATTCTTGCTCGTCAGTAGAATATTGAATTGCTTCGTCCGTCTCTCGTAAGTCTCTTGTGAAGGTTCGCGTCTTCTCGTGTCTCCTGTTAGTTGCGGTTCCACGCACCTAGTACATCGCCCTCATCATCCATGGAGGCAGCTATCGGAGTGATTGGGCTCTCATTGCAGCTCATTGACTCTGCCATCAAAGTCAAGAGAGTCGTTACAGCTTACCGGACTGCCTCGGCGGAGATCAACCGATTGGCACTCAAGATCGAAAGAGTCGAGGTAGTATGCGGTGCGATCAAGGACAGTCTCGAGGGAGACGCATCTTCGAGACAGTGCTCTGATCTAATCAAGACCTGGGGTGTCAAGGACAGTCTCGAGGGAGACGCATCTTCGAGACAGTGCTCTGATCTAATCAAGACCTGGGGTGTGTGTGTTCTCAGAAGCATCTCATCGACGCTCGCCGAGATTCATGCCATTATCACAAGGCTGGAAAGGAAGGGTGGAAAGAGGCGTCCCTTTAACACCGCGGGATTCACATTTCTGGAATGCAAAGATGATATATCTCGGTTGAGCAAGTGGCTGGATGATGATCTGAATTACCTGCAGCATATGATGACCGCGGAGATACTGTGCGCCCTCCAAGTTCCACTTCTGAAAGCTCCTGACTGACTCAGGAAATAGTTCTAGATGCAATATCGTTCAGCAGCTGATCATTCACCACGAGGTTGAAGCATCTGAGTTATCGAATTTGAGCCCTGTTCTCAGGCAGTCCGCTTTGCAACAAGATGACAACGACGACCTACCATCCGAGCCGAGACATACAACAATGGTGAAAACAGGCAACCAGAAGATGATAAAAGCATTCGGCTTTCGATTTCAAAACCAAATCTGGACAGTACGCAAGAAGTCTAGCTCTCACAATGCACAGGAGGTGTCCAGAACAAGCGAGACAAAGACCTATACTTTCGGGCACAGCAGTTTTTCTTACAGAATAGAACTGCATTGGTCCATGAGCACGTTGACCCCCATAGTCTACGCCCTCGCTGTCCGCCATGTTCTCTCTAGAGATAAAGACGGAAAGCTGGTAGAGAAGATATTGAGAATTTTGGGCTTTGGAGACTTGCAAGCACTGCAAGACCTACTTTCTACCAGAATAATCACTCTAGGCACCATTCTTGGGGATAGGACGCTCTTTGAGGTAAGATCTGCTGTTCAGTACCCGATGGAGATCTTAAGAGGGCTAACTTCTGGTCGGTCATAGTCGGCAGCGCTTTGCCGCCAGCCGTCTCTTTGCCGCTTCCTCGCCCAACAGAATCTTGATTTGTGCATAGATGAGAAGTAAGAACGTACATATAGCCATATCTTTTCCAAGTGTGCGGACTAACAAAAAGGCTAGCATCTGTAGGCCTGATCATTGGGCCGGGTTGTTTAGTTGCCTACATGGACCTTCTGATGCCCGGCGCCGTCTTTTTGAAATAGACGAAATCATTCGACTCACACAACTTTCCAGACCCATGAGATTTAGGCTAATGGCCTACATGGACCTTCTGATGCCCGGCGCCGTCTTTTTGAAATAGACGAAATCATTCGACTCACACAACTTTCCAGACCCATGAGATTTAGGCTAATGGCCAGCTGTGTTGAAGATCTTGAGTCTCTGATTGCCGTGTACAGGCGGTGTAGAGTGCCTGCCCTGGATGAAATGGAGAAAAGCCCTTTCTTCGATGCTGTCTGGGACATGGCAGTCCGCCTTCTGGTGATGCAGGTTCATCACCATCCGTTTTGGTGCCGAGAAGATCGGCGAACAAGAATCTGGACTAGCCTTTTTGTTGAGTTGGTCAATGAGGGCGTGGATGTTCACAGAATCTGCAATCTCCAGCCTTACTATGCATTTAATCACTCTCGAGGGCACAAAACCGTGCTTTCCCTTCTCATACAAAGCTCTCCCTGCCACTATGAAGTCGAGGCTGCTCTTTCACACTGGTTAAGGATCCTACTGGTAGCTGGAGTTGATGTTGCCAGGTACTTCCAACGCGAAGAACCCAGTCTTCGGCGACACGTCGACTGGATGATGCCTTTCCAACCGCCCATGGAATGGGCTAAAATAGCAGGTCCGACAAAGATTGCAGGGCTTGACGCTCCTCTGTGGAGCCGGTATGTCTACCCGTACAGCAAAGCATACGACGTCAGAAATGAGTTTAAAGACTTTGGCAGCTCTATCAAAAGTAATGTTTGGCCCGATTTAGACGACTTGATAATGGTGGATAACGCGCATTTTCAGCAGCATGTCTTGTGGAAATGTTGCGAACTCTCTGAATCCCAAGAAACTGAGTGGCCATTTGTTTTCAACTTTGTGCGGGACTATGAACCAGACGGGCGGGTCTTTTTTGATTGGAACCATCGACATACCGACGACAATCCTCCTGCAAGTTTCCAATACGCTCAGAAACTCATGCAGGAGAGGTTCAACAGAGGGCAGTTGAAAAAACTCTACCGATCTGGATATCTCAAAAGAGAAAAACGTCCGTTGAAGATACCGGGAGCTTGGCCAGATTCCGCATGGTAGTTTAGAATGGCGATTACGAACCTAGAAGCTTTTGAAAGATAATTTTCATCCTTCTCTTCAGACGTTGAATTTGGAAAAGAAAACCGATCACACATTCACGAGTCCAATTGCGCGGCTCATTCATAAACTTTACGCGTGAGAACCGCTACAAATCTGACGTCAACAGAAGCAAGAGGAAGTTCCATCGACCAGGCTGTCTCAAGAGACACAAGAAACCGAGAGGCTTACAAGACGACCGGCGTTGATAATTGAGAGAGGGAAGGTAGAACAGACTCGAAATTCACAGGAAATTCATTTCAACTCTCCTGTCATGGGGCCCAGGGTCCATATGTAGTAAATCGGTACCAGTCAGGTTCATGTGAATGTTTTCTTCATTACAAGATCGGTAATTGCCAGGCCAATGCTCCATCATGCACAACCGCCCTTGGCTCGGTTCATGCGGATTAGGCGCCTGTCTACGCCCAGAAAACAGTAAAGACCACCTTCTATCTGACAAACCCTCTTACCGAGGAGGATTGGGCAGCGGCCTGGGCCCGACAATCTGTCTACGACCCGCCCCAATGCCCTGAGCACCCCGGTTCTGGTTGTCTCCCCCAGTGTATCCCGCCCACTGGCTCACATCCCAGCGGCCTCCAATACCACCGCCGATACCGTCAACTCCGTTGCCACTGGGAACCGCCTTGGCCGTCTCTTTTTGGGACTCCTCCCACTCACGCTGGCGTTCACGTTCCATCTCCATCTCTCGCTCGAGCAGCGACTTTGAAGCCCAACCACCCGCCTTAGTCTTGGTCTGGCTTTGAGCGCGCCGGCGGTCCTCGCCATCTTGCTCGGCAGTAGCGCCAAGCTCGCGTGAATATGTCTGCTTGGCGACCAATGGTGCAGGAGCTGCGTTGTTGTTGAGATATCTATCAGTTCGGCTAGGTGGGGCTCGCGCAGCCGCCTGATAAGCAGCGGGATCCGGGAGGGGCCGACCACCAGTCGTATGCGCTACAGCCTTTTGAGGAGGCGAAGCGACCGCCATCGGATCAGGGAGAGGTCTCGGCGATCTTGGTGGCGGCGCAGGGGGTCCGTCGTCTTGGTTCGAGTCTTGGTGTTGCGACCACGCCGTCTGGAGAACCTCACGCTCATTTCTGGACCATGAGTCTTGACGGCTAGGGGTTCCATCGGAAGGCCGGCTCCTAGACCGAACGCGTTCCTTGGGGTCGTTGGTGACGGCCAGTGTCCTGCCCGTCCGTCCCTGGCGTTCAAGTTCATACTGCCTTTCGCGTTCCCTGGCCTCTTCGAGCTCTCTCTCTAGCTCAGCAATCCGATCGGCTCCAGTCTTCTGTGCTTTGATGCCTTGCTCAGACTGATATTGGCTGAGAAACTGGCCCCGTAGTCGTGCGTCGCTCTTGCTCCTTAGACGGCTTTGCTCTTCGTTCAAGCGTGCTTGAGCTTCAGCCTCCTTCTTGCGGCGATCCTCGTCCCTCGCACGCCATTCTTTTTCCTGCCTGTCCCACTCGAGCTTCTCCGCTTTGGCGTCCTCTTCCGCTTGCCTCACTTTCAGTAGTCGTTGTTCCTCTTCTTCTTGTTTTCGCATAGCCTCGCGTTCGTCCTCCAGTTTCTTACGCCTTTCCGCGTCCTCTTGCTGTTGCTGTTGGCGCTGATACTCCTCCTCGAGTTCTTTCTCCTTTCGAATGCGCTCCTTCTCGGCCAAACTAGGCACTGCAGGGCCAGCACTCGTGATCTGCCTCCGACTGCCAAATGAGATTCCTAGGTTTCCTTGGCTGGCACCGCCCATGTAGCCGTACTGGGCGATGTTCCAAGCGGGAGACGTGGCGCCTTCGTGTTCCTTTCTGCTCCAGCTGGTAACCGGGGAAGTAGGTTTAGTCGGGCTCCAGCGACCCGAGCCGGAGTCTCCGGTCTTGGCGCTGGTCAGAGTAGGCCGAGGCGAGCCGAAGCCTGATGCATTGGAGAACCCGCGCGACCTTGTCGGCGATGGGGTTCCGCGACCAGTTCCTTGGGGGCTCATCATTCCTCCCCGGCTCCGACTCCCAATTGCCGTCGGGAACTTGGCTGGGTTAGCTGCGTTCGCAGCTCGACTGAAAGCGCCCAGGCATTGGAGCACTTGAGCAGGGTCTTTTTGTTCAAATAAGTCGACGGTCAGGAAAACATCGTGGTCTTGAAGGTTGAGAGGAGGTTGTTTGCAGGCGCGCAGAAAGTGAGAGATGTTTTCCATCTGTACGAATGGCATAGCCGACTTCTTGAACTTGACGCCTGGTGGTGGTACCGCGAGGTTGATCAACCTAAGATATCTGGGTCAGTATTGGTAGGAATGGGAGATGTTAACCCACGCACTTGCAGAGTGCAACGCCATCCTTCAGCCCCTCCAGCAAGTCGCCTGCTGGTAGTCTTTCGCCCAAGACCCCTTCGATCCAACTGCTGACTTCTTTTGCAGCAGCCGGTGTGTACTTGTCGAGGCGCAATTTGCGCAAATCCTTGTCCAAGGACGATACAGAAGCCATGATGGCGTCGTCGGCTGGCGATTGATCAAGAGAGTCTTTCGTATCGTTGTACCGAAACGAATCTTGCGGGTTCAGGAGCTTTGAGGTTGGTTTCACGAGGGCGTTTCAGTAGGGCGGCGGTTAGGCGCTGACGTCGGCGGGGTCCGGCGATGACGGAGTTGGAGTGACGGGTGCAAGTTTCTGTCGTTCGGCGCGCGTTGCGCGGGACTTGCTTCAGATGATATGGATGTTTCCTCGGTCGCGTGTCTTCAGTCTTTTTGTAGGTGAAAACAAGTGTTAGGCCAATGTTTTGCGGGGGAATCAAGGCAGTCGGGTGGCAGGTTGAAGTGATTGGAAGGCCCGATGAAGAACGGTCGTGGTGGGGATGTTTTAATTGTTTATGCATCTAGAGCCAGGCGCCGCTGGCGGGAACCTGGATAAGGTGACAGGACCCAGGGTCCGGCTGGACCGCCGCGGTCTTGCGGAGTGACGTGTGCGGTGGTGGCTGGCGGGGCCAATGCAACTCTGATTCTGCGAACGCTCAGTCGCGGGTTTCCATTGCAAAGGAAATATGTGGCTGACGATAAGATACGCCATTCCTCGGCCAAATTTCAAGTGGCGGTGCAATCCAAGGTTGACCTCATTACTTTTCTAGGACTTGGCGACTTTCGCATCTAGAAGCCATGGATTCCTGATCGAAGATATTTCTTCCCAACCACCCATTCCAACAGCGCAAATGTCTTCAACACGGATATCACCAATTTTGGAGGCGTGGTACAAGTGGAAGTCGCTCAGACTGCCATGGCGCAAACGCTTCCTTGTCGGCATGTTCCCTTCCCCGTTCCCGGCCCATCGATCCCCATTGTCAATGTCCGAGGAGAACTAACACGCTCGATTCTAGGCCGTGACCTGCAGGGCTATACTTTTTGGGAGTTTCGCGAGTCCCGGGGAAATGGCCCGGGCCGCTTCCGCCGCATTGTCAACTATCCCCGATCAACCTACCTCTCCGACGTGAAGGTGTCACCGTTGTGGCATCAATGGTTGCGCTACACCCGAGAAGACCCCCCGACACTCGAAGAACAAACAAGAGAGGCATTTAGACAGGAGCGGATGAAAGTCTTGTCCGCGCAGGCCGACGCGAGATGGGAGGCAAAGCCTAGGCTTACCGATGCTCCAGGTCAGCAGACTGGTCAACCCTTGCCGTCTTTGAACACTGCGCGGTCACAGCCCACGGCGCCGGAGCTGGAAGCAGCCAACACAAACGCAAAGACGACTGAGCCGCCAGAGGATCAAGCTCAACCTGCGACCGATGCGAAGAAGAAATATGGCAAGGACCCTTGGGCGAAAGCCAGTGGGCCAAGCGAGGGCTGGCAGCCAGAAGCTTGGGTTCCGCCATCAGGAAAGAAATAACAAATCAATAAACGGCATGCCAATTGTGTATTACTAGACGCTGGAATAAATCTCCGCCCATGTACCAACAATAATTTGAAACCGGACCCGGCTGTCGAGTCCATGAGATCGTCCTTGGTACCGTTTGCTTGCTAAGCAATGCCCGAGAAGCGTGTCTGTACTTGCTCGCCCTCCAATGCAAACGCCTGAACGCCCATTCCCTGCTATCCCATGCCCAAATCCTGGCGCCATGTCTCGTAACAAGAGCTCTACTGTATGGCTGGTGCTTTAGTCGACGTCTTCCCTCTTGGTCTCCTTCTCTAGAGAGCCCCGAAGTCTCTCCTCTTGTCTCCTCCAGTGGCTTCCCTCCTCGTAGTCCTTGCTTATTCTCAAAGCGCTCCTGAGTCTCTCGCTCTCTTTGATCTTGGCGTCTGCCATCTCGTGCACCTGATGGCTCTTGAAGTGCTTCCGTACGGGACCACCGCCGCCGCCGCCACGGCTGTTCTTTTGTTTCTCGAGGTCGGCCAGTAGTTTCTTTCGCATTTCGTCGCATCGCTTCTCAACTTCTTCCTCGTCGAGGCTAGAGCACCGTTAGTATTTTTGCAAGGCCAGGGACGGGGGAGGGGGTAAGCTTACCCTTCGTCCTCGAGGGTGTCGCGCAGATCAAGGACCTTGACCTCGACCTCGCGCTTGCGGTCATGCTCCAAGATCTCTTTATCGGGCTGTCGCTGCTTGTGGCGGAGCGAGTCGGCGTCTTTGGGAGGATAGGGCGCGCCATAGTCGCGTGGGCGCATGTGCGCAAGGTTGCGCTGAACATAGCCCGAAGTACCGCTGCCACGGGGCGTTGAGAGACCGACGTTGTCGGACATGGTTATCGAGATTATGTGGTGTATAGTAACTCTAATCGGAGGAAGTAAGGAATGCGCTGTTGACGTTGATATCTCGAGTCGGTGTTGGCGGGAAAATCAAGATGTATCTCGGTACTTTGGATCTGCAAGAGACGTCACCGAGACTAGACCCTTGGCAATGGTACCACGGACGAAGTTCAGTTGGGCCTTGAAAGGCGGTGAAAGTGGATAGAGAGATGGGGGCCGGCAGAAAAGTTATGACGGGTGGGATGGTGGGGTACTTTTCCGCTTTGGGCGACGGGAAGACTCACTCAATGTGAGAAGACTCATCGATGTAAGTGAGGAACAGAGCAAATTTCACCTCATCACATTTTTTTACCGGAACCTCGGGATCCAAATTTACTTGTGTTCTTGACTACACAAACCGAAATCACTGTCGAGATACTTAGGCCAAGCTAGCCTTCATTCTCGACAATGCCGTCTCTTGAAGGACTCACTGGGGGGCAGCCAACCCTGGACGCCATAAATAATGCAACTGCCCAGGAGACCGAGGAACTCACCTTTCCGCCAGTCACGAAGGAGCATATTTTGAACTGTTCATACGATAGTTGGTTCCCGAAGTACCGAACTGTGTCGATCAGATCCAGGATCATCAAGCTATCGCCTGATTTTGTCCAATACATCCGTGACGACGGCATCATTCTCGCCGACGACGACGAGCCGCAAGAGGACGAAGCAGAGGAGGAATGGTCCGCTTCATCGAATACAGCCGGCGCCCCACGACGAAACCAACATCTCGAAGAAGATGACTCCGACGACGAACCCGAAGCTGACTGCCGGCCGCCCAATGAGCGATTCCCTGAAATCCACCAAGAGATCAAGGAGAGGATCAAGGAGCTGGGTGGTGCCGTCGCGCCGAAGCTGAACTGGTCAGCACCGAAAGATGCCGCTTGGATTTCACCGCATCAGAACACGCTGAAATGCACAACGCCCAACGACATTTACCTTCTGCTCAAGAGCTCTAGCTTCGTTAGCCATGACCTGGAGCACGCCTTTGAGGATACCGTCCCTTCCTCCGCCAACAGGCCTTTCCAACCGGTCCTGGTCCTAAGACCCTTCTTTGCGCCAAACCCGGCCCTCGAGTTCCGGTGCTTCGTCAAACATCGCACTCTGATTGGTCTTTGCCAGCGTGACTGGAACTACTACCCCTTCCTTGATGGCTTACGACCCGCGTTGGTATCCAAGATCACCGATTTCTTCGAAGACCGCCTGCGTTTCACCTTCCCAGACGGCTCATTCACATTTGACGTCTACGTTCCCGGTGACAGCGATTCACGCGACGAGCTTGGCAAGGTGCGCCTTATCGATATCAACCCCTGGGCGCCTCGGACAGATAGCCTGCTCTACAGCTGGGTGGAATTGCTTGAGTTCAAGGTTCCAGGACCCATCCTAGGCTCAGTTGTCAACGAAGAAGAGATTATTAGGATAGGCCCAGGTGCCAACGAGGAAGAACTTGTTGATGGCAGTGGCGTTGAAGAGACGACAGACGATGAAGACGTTGACGAACTGGTGCCTGAGTTAAGGTTGGTCGAGAAGGATAACCCTGCGGCCTTCAACTTCAGCACACCGCAGTACTCGGCGCACAAGCTTCCCAAGGAGGTCGTTGAGGCCAGCATGTCGGGCGACGGTGGCTTAAGGGAGTTCGCCCAGAGGTGGAAGGAGATGACAGAGGCTGAGGGTGGAGGCGATGTCTGGGAGAACCCTCCCACAGCTGAGTCTTGAGGTTCATCGCAACGAGATGAATGACTGGAGGATCATGGTTAGAATGATCCGGCCCGCGGTCAGGTCAAGATTCAAAAGAGCCTTTTCAAACTGGAAGATTTATAAACGACCAGGATATGCTCTGCCCCTTGCGCATGTCTCTTGCTTCCTGTCCCAATCTAGTTGCTCGAAAGGTTCTTCCCTTACGTTCCAAGGGATGTCTTGGCTCAGCCAAGGTAGACGTGTGAGGAGGCCGTGATACGAGAAACCTGCATTGCCAAAGCAGTGTAGGTAACGAAGGTCCATTTTCCCTGCCATGTGCCTGCGTCTCCCGTCTTTGGAGTCAGAACGTCGACTGTCACATGAAAGCCATAATCATCAAGGTGAGCTTCAGGTAGTGACGTGATTGGTGACATGACACCTTTTTTTCTTGTACTGACTGGACCTTGTGCTCTCACCTCCAGGCCTCTTTCTATCGATTACATAATCCTCGGCAAAGCTTAGGCGGAGAACTTCTGGCCCGAGCTCCCAAATGCACCACAATGGAAGCACCCAAATTGTGAGTGGGACCGAACAGCAACCAGCAGCTTCTTCCCGCTCAATCAACACCAGCTCTTTCGAGGCCCCCAAACTCCTCATCACACACTCTCTGCAGCTGACACCAGCTGCCCACTCTCAACGCCACTTATCATCGCCGACTAGCTAGAGCTCCCTCACCGTCCACCATCGTAAAAGAGGCAGCGTCCTCTTCGATTACCCCATGAGTGCCCGAGGCGGAAGCCGACCACCTCCTCGAGGCCGCCCAAACAAGGTGACGAAGCCCACAGCCGGCCTCAAGAGGGACGCCCACGGCCGCGCCAGCCGACACTCCTCCGTGGCTGCCGACCAGCTCGAGCAGCTCGCCCACGATGCGGAGGCCGAGGCCGAACACGAAGATGACGTCGAGATAACCGCCCCTCCCCAACATCACCAACATCATCACCAGCAGCAACACCACCCGCACCCCTTCGACCTAGCCACCGCAGGCATTCTAGCCAACGGTCCCCCCGGCACAGTACCGGGCGCTGACCCCGATATCCATCCCGATCTACACAGCCTGCCGGCCCAGTTCGCCATGGAAGCCCAGATGGGTGGGCATGGTCCTGGCGGCATGTCGAGGACGGCCGAAGATCTCGCTTCCGAGAGTGGATACGGTCAGCTACTCATCGACAGTGCCCTCGCCAAGCGACTGGCCAACAATGAAGGAGAGCGACTTGCAGTACAGCGTCGCCAGGATCAAACTCTGAACCTCAAGAGAAGGAGCAATGTCGAGGCACTACTGGCCCATGTATCGGGACAGGAGGCTCATAGTCCCTGCAAGAGCTGCCATAAAGGATACGGACCCTGGAATGGATGTGTGGTCGTCAGTGGCCAGATGTGTGGTAGCTGCGCCAACTGCTGGTTCAACGCGAGCGGTTCACGCTGTTCTTTCCATGGTAAGCAAAAATGGCCCACAAGCTCGACCAGATGTCAAGGTGTTGGGTGACTAACGAACTTGGCCACACAGAGAACAACCTCCCTCAGCACATGCCAGCCATACAGCTGCAGCCTGTGCCACAGGTGTCGGCGAATACAAGCTTTGCCGGCACAGCGCCGATGGCTCCCGGCATGGCCCCCGCAGGCCCCAGCTTCGGGCAGCCAGGCGCCGATCCGACCATTGCCCATTTTGTGAAAGATGTGTTGGACAGAGCCATGACGGAGGCACGGAGCGATAACCCCCACGTTCGATTCCAGCTCCGGATCGAAACGGCGGCGCGGCAGCTAGCATTGGCTAGCGCCGAGTACGCCGAGTTCCTCGCTCAGCAGGGGGGTCACGATCCGAGTCAGCATCCCGACCCAGAGGGCTCCGTTCCGGAGGCGGCGATGGGGGAGGGGGACAACGGGGCGTGAGAGAGGCTCTGTTCACCTCTCTTCCCCTCCATGCTTTTTGCTTACATCTCTGAGTACCGAAGTATAAAAGACGAGATGAATTCGATCATCGAGACTGTAAGGCGTCTTCAGGTCTGCGAAGCTTCTACGGAGTTGCCAAGATAGGGTGCCCGAGTCGCCGACTCTGCGCCTCAGCAGTCGGGCAGCAACTATCACGACGTATGGCCACAGCTTCTTTGGCATCATCGTACCACTTTGCATTTGGGAGCAGGTTGAAGTCAGGTGTTTGACTTACTCGCTCATCAATGTCCTCCCTTTAACTCCCCTTGGCGCTTGCATCGTCAAGCCCCGCCCTGTATGCGAACACATGGACTCGGACAGGAACACGACAACGTCACGACGAAACAGGGCGCGAGAAGGATTTGGGATATTCCCTGCTCAAAGAAACCAGAGTAGCCATGCAGTCAGAAATACAGGATGGACAACACAGACGACACTGAACAATAGCGGACATCGAAGGACAATGGTAGTCTGGCGGCTGGCTAGACTTCGAGCACACAGTCGTGCTCTAAGAAAGGGCCGGCTCACAGTTACTTGGATTGAGTCGTTAATGGTCGTGCAAACGCAGATAGATTGATACCAAGAGCTCGTCAAAAAACGCATAGGTGAAACTTTCACTACATCAGTTCCGAGTCCATACACGGCAAACCAGCAAATCTAAGAGGTGCAAACGCAATTACGGATGTATTGTCTCATTCACTCTCATTCGCTCACACTTGACTTCTTCGCTTACACATTACAGCATCTCATACCGGCTACACTACACTCCATTCCCAAACCTATATGCTGTAATATTGATCACAAGTCCGTCTCTTCAGGGGCTAGGATGTCTCTACTGCTGTCACACAGCCGGGGCTGTACAAACAATCTCGCCGCACCATGGTCCCGTCGCGGGTAGCGAAAACACACCCCTTCTGCCCTTCCCATCTATATTCCGTCTTGTCATATATCCTCTAGTTTCGGAAAAGATCCTACCGATTTGCCTTTATCCTCCGTTGCTGCTACGCCATTTCACATAACCCGCCGGCTCTGTCCCCCAGCCTAACGAATCGTCTGACGTTTAACGTGAGGCCACCCATCCATCATCTGTTGCAACAGTCCGCCTTACACTACGCTGAGAGACTCACATACCTGGTATGGGTATGGTTGATATAGGGTGGGGGGCGGACAGCCACTTTACAGACTCCAGATGCCTGACACCGTAGCATGCGCCCTCCCGCTGCTGAATCTCTCGTGTGACAACATCTCCCAGAGTAACCTATCTTCAGCGAGTACAGCATTCTCAGCTTCTTTCTCTGCATGTCTCATCAGTCCAAACTATCTGCCCAATCAACTCGTCGGTTTCGGCTTCGCTCGGGGAAGACAAGAGGGATTCATGCTCCGTCTGCGGACTGATTCCAACCGTGCTCTTTCTCCTCAGGTACGCAGCTTACGCACCGACATGTACTTGATCAATCTTCATCCCAAGAACGAAAGAGAAAACCCCATATATAGTTCACAAGCGATTCCAAGTCAACTCACATAAACCTTGGTGCCCGAATTCGATGCCCCCCGATGGAAAGCTACACACAGACACACACCAGCTGCCAAATTAGCCCCCCTTCCCCCTTCTCAACGGTCATGGTGAACTCTGATCTGCCTATGGTACTACACCCCACCTGTGATGGTCTACAGCAAAATAGACATTTCTCTATTCCCGGGAGGACGTGGGCGGTGTCCGTGGGAAAAATGTTCAAAGCGCGATCCCTTCCGCAGTCGGTGGGCAGAGGCGATGGCGAAAGAGAGCCCTACAATGCTGTGTAAGTGTATTAGTGTGATTAGTGTACATGTAAATTTGGGCAAAAAAACAAGAACAGCAAACGCAATCTGGATGAAACGTCACGCCGCCACTCCACACAACCCCCAACTTTATCTCAATTCTCTGTCTGCTTCTTGACCCCCTTCTCATCTAATCTGAAGCCTTCAAAACAAGTACACGTGTGTTACGGAGATATTGTAAGGAGCGAGATCGCATCGTGCCGAATTCCCCGACCTTTGTGAGGCGAAGCAAGGCAAAGCATACCAAAACCCCACCAGTCCAAGTCTTCTTGCTTCGTCCTTTGGATCGTTGGAAATGAAAGGGGCCCTTTGACGGAGTACTCGAATCCGGTTCACGTTGGAGACGGTATTTTGTCTATCGAGCAAGGTCACGTTACAAGAATTGGCCAATATAACGACTGTGTATTAAACATATCACAACTCATATAACTCGTTGGTCTGAAGAAGGGAATGGAGGGGCTGCTGCGGGCAGGGTACGGCAGGGCATATCAATCCTGCGACGTGTTTGAGAATCGGGGAGAGGGTGAGCAACAGCATCGTCCTTCAGACGGGATGAAAGGACATGATCCCTACCCAATATCACGAAAGAACGAAGCCCCGCCCCTTCCGACCCCGGCACCGGAGCCCATACCTCCAGCATCACCAACACTACATGCCACCAAACATCACTGTCTATACTTGAGGCAATCCGTCTGTGTGTAATGTGCAAATTCGGAGGCGGCGGCGGGCAACACACGCAACGCAATACCCGCCGGCCCCATGAGCTTAGCTCGCCTCCGCCTGTCCTTGGTATAAGCACATTCTGCCCAAGGGCCTGCCACCCTTGTCGACGATCACTCCAACGGCTTCTTCACCATCGATTCATCCCCCCTTCACCTGCGTATGCACTTCGCGATACCTATACGTGCCAAGCTTCAATTCACTCACCTTACGAACGTACCTATTCCCCCCTTTCCCCTCTCGTCTCGAGTGGCAAAGGCCCAAGTGAATGGCAATAGGCAACGCCACCTCCCAGAGCAAGCTCGCGCCACCATCGCTTGCTTCCACCCCCAAAACACAACTGACAACCGCGCCTCTCCTCCCGTCCCATCCCAAAATATATCGTCAAAGTCTTGTACCATATCTCCCTATTGCAGCACTGAAAATTTGTGCGTGCTAGTGCGTTCTTGAAGACCTCTCCGTATACACGCGGCCACACTCGGCTCTCTCCAAGCCCTCCCCGCCCCTTTCCCATTTACCTTTCCCTCGCCGCCGCCCGCCCTCTATCATGGAACTCAAAAAGACAGAAGAGGCGGATGACGAAGACGAGGGGGCGGCCGCGCCGCGGCGGCATAAAAAAGTGTAGGGCAAAGGACCCCTTGCGGCCTTAAACTGAATTTCGAGAAACAAAGATGGTGTAGTGACTGTTAGGCAATTGCAGTTGATGACGAAGACGAAGACCTCCAACCAAACTTATACCAAGCTACGCTACACTTCGTCCGGGAGGCTTAGGTATGATTAGGCGCTTTCCCCTTACGTACATTACGGGAGATATATCCCTTGAACGGAAGCGGCGTCGCCTTACAAAGACCGCAAACGGCGCAATGCGGAGAATGGAGGCGGGCACGACGACGCCGGTCCTGGATGTGGCGCCGGGTCTCGACCAGCCTTCCTTCCTAAGCTAGCTATCCATCTTGGCCTACTGCGCGACGGCAAATGGCGATCTTTACAATGGGATTCTGATGGATGTTGAAGGTGATCATGTCTCGCAGACTAGCTGCAACCGCAGAACGCCATGTATCACCAGATCTCAACGCTCCTGGATATGCATCGTAGAAAACAGCCGGTAGACCTTCCCATCGCGGGTTCACGTCATGAGTGAGATGCGTAAAAAGCCTTCAAGGAACGGCCAGTTAGTTACGCATCATGTCACAATTGCACGGGATTAAGGAGATTTTCGTAATTAAACAGAATATTTAGCCACCTTCCATCCATCAGGCTCTCTCAAATGCATTCAAGTTCATTGCTTCTTTTCCACTTGCTATCCATCCATGGGGGCCATCTTCCCATCTCACTCTCTCCTTCTCTCCTGCCCCCCTCTCACTCTCCCACTGCCGCTGCCGGCCCGCAGTAGGGTTCCGTCTTCCGCGGCGAGCCCGTCTACTGGTCGAGACATCATGTTTGGTACAGAACTACCTCCCACCTTTCCCCTCTTATTCCTGAACGCGGGCCAACAAGAGCACAACCAAAAACGTATACCGCCTGATTCGCGAGGCAATATACGAGGGGATAGCCGAGAGGTAGGAAGAAAAATACAGTCGCGTAATCAAGGGAATCTTGGGAAACCGTCGGGTCGCCGTCTCATCGTCGAGAAGAAAGTTAATTTCATGAGCCAGCCTCTCCACGACGCTTTCTGGCTTGGGTCATGCAATTAGAAGTAAAGGGTATTGTAGAAAAAGCAAACGTTTTTGTTGTTCAAATCAGACCGCACAACCGCAGGTTCTCTTGAATGATGATGTCTAGTTAAAAGGTTAGCCTGGGTCTCTTTATGCGCATTGTCTCACGCAGTGTGTGATGAATGTTAGACGTACCATTCACTGCCGCCATGACGAAGCGGATCTGGGTTGTGTCTGTCGCGCAGGTGAAGTGCGTGTAGATTTGCTTAGTCTCATGCTGGTTCAAGCTGACGAATCGGTTGAGAATGTAGTCGCACGCAGCAGCATAGTCATCTCCGCCCTCGTAATCGGGGAAGTAGTTCTTCATCGGGCTGACGGGGAGCTTCTCCTTGAAACGATCGATCTTGTTCAGGAAGAGGATGATAGACGTCTTGATGAACCATCTTGAGTTGCAGATGGAGTCGAAGAGAGTCAAGGCCTCCTGCATACGGTTGACAGTCTCGTCCTCAAATAGCAGCTGGTCGTACTCGGAAATGGCGACCAGGAAGAGAATGGTAGTGACGTTCTCGAAGCAGTGAATCCACTTCTTTCGCTCAGATCGTTGACCACCGACATCGAACATTCTGTAGGTCAGGTCGCCGATGATGAATGTGGTTTCCGTGATACCCGTTGTCTTGACACGCGATCGGAGGACATCCTGGTCGTTAGGCATATAGTCGGGAGCGGCGATACGCGCGATATTGTCGAAGTAGCTGGGTCTCGTTAGCACACATGGCAATTTTCCACCCGAGGAGTAGTCACTCACTATCTTGCTGAATCGTTGAGCTGGTATTCGCGAGAGCGCTTGAAGCACTCTTGCACACCTCGATCCTTCCACAGCGCCTCAATCGCGCTTCCAACTTCAGGAGGCAGAACATCGCCCTCGATCTGGGCGGGCTGCATGAAGATGGTTTGGACGTGGTACTCCATGCGCTGGTCCTCGAGAGGCAGCTCCAAGGACTCCATTGCCTCGAGGATGACACGCATGGATTGCACCGTGTTGCTGAAGATAATCTCCTTGAAGGATTCCCGTTCATCGCGTGAGTAGCCGCCCTCGTGAATCAGCTTCATCTGTTTCAGAATTGTCGACTTTCCGGATTCACCAGCACCTATGGAACTGTTAGAGAATCATTGTGCAGCGATGCGATGATTGAACGTCGTCGGATGGCGCTAGGTACGCCGCGCATAGGACTTGCAATCGCGGGGAGATGTTGACTTACCCAGAAGAAGCATCTTGATCTCGTTGCGCTGCATCATCTTGTCCCTCTTCAGCTGATTCTCGATCTCCTCATTGCGGGCCTTGCCCTCCTTGTCCTCCGTGCTCATTCCGCAACCCATTTTGGCGGCTTGTTGTCGTTGGAAACGACGACTGGTAGAATAAAATTGATGGGATTAAAGGGAGTTGGGGATTCAGTAAAGAATTGGGCGTTGCGCGTTGAAGGAGACCTGAAGGAAGCAAAGCTTGTTAGCCAACCACGTCGCAGGTGATTGTGATGCCGACGGGTAGACGAGAGAGACGGGTCGAATTCTTTGGGGGCGACGGGCTGGAATGCGAGGTTGATCCAGGCGATGGCGGATAAGGGACGAAGAGTCGAAAGGTCGAGGAAGGATGCTACCATCGAGCGAGCGGGCAGGTGGAGGTGTTTCTCCTTTCTAGGCTGTCTCTTTTGCGTGTCTCGTTCGTTTCGCTTTCTCAATTCCCAGTGGCTCTGTGTCGGCGCCGGCGAGTTGGAGGATTCGTGGTGCGTGTCTCTCTATCTCTCTCGCCTGCATGCGGTAGAAAAGTTGGATGAAACTCACCTCTGGGTCTTTGAATTGATGATGGAATCACTCAATTGACGATGAGTCGAAAGACGCAGCAAACAGGAAAAGAAAACACGAGCCGTTGGGCGGACGGTGGGAGGATGGGATGGTCGCGACAGGATTGGAAGACCAGGAACAGGAGAGGGAGAGAGAAAAGAGAGGAATGGGTTGGGAGGTGCCTCTAATGTGGAGAGGAGAGATGGGAAAGGGCAAGGGTGGAGGAGTTATGAGCAAGGATGGCCGACGGTGCTGCGAGGAACCAGAGGATAGTGGGAGAAAAAGAGTGGGCGGCAGTCGTCGCCGGGGCGGACAATGCGCTTCGGGGCGAGGTACGGTGATGAAAGTACACTGTGTGAACAAGACGGAGGGAGGCACGGCGGAGGCGAGGAAATGGCGAATTGGCGGTCTTTCCAACTTGGTGGACAATGAGGAGGGGGTAGGTACGTCGCATGGGGGGCACGGGGGGAAGGAGGGAACCAGTGGCACCAGCCCGTGGTGCCAGACCTGTCCACGGGGTTTCCTCCCTACCAGGTTGGTGTCTGTCTACACAATACCTGTACCGATGGGAGGCGTCCCGCTCTTCTGGACTTCAGATTGACAGCCCCGACTGGCTGTACCTGGCCATGATGGAGGAGTTGGCAGCGAGACTAGGGGCTTTTTGGGGGCCATCGCCGGGCGTCCTCGACGCTGAAGCAGCCTGGTGGGGGACGCTGGACTCTGGAGGCTGCTCCCCGTGGCCTGTGCGCGGCAACGCACCTCACCTCACTTTCACACCTCAAACTCGGGCTCACTTGGAATGGAACTCATCACCAGCTCGCACTCACCTCAGCCATTTGCAGTCCACATACATATGTATATATATACGACATGAAAATACGATGACTTTCATGGCTTTCAAAGCAATCCATGGGAAAAGCTTAAGAGATCAAGGTCACAAGCATAGGTAGATACGGCGTGGGCAATGCTCCGGACGCGAATATCCAGCTCCTTTCCAATAGGTACCTATCCGTACGGCGCGTCCCTCTGGCTAAGGTATAGTGCAGGGGCCAACAGGGGCTGGGAGTTCCAGAAGCACGGACAAGGTACACGTCCCGGCCTTGATTTTGGTGCTAAGCTGTCTCTGGTGCGGCCCGGTACGTATCCACCTGTACCTGCTTTACAAGTATGTGATATATCGCCTTACATAAGGGCATGTACGTACTTCTCGATGCATTTAGCCCCAGTTTCTCGTCTGGCCTCCCCGGTCGCTATTGTCTTAGGTTGTCCTGTCATCGCCTGTCTCTTCCTTTCCTGAGCCAAGCTAACGTCGATGTTCAGCGCCGTCTCCTCGCCCCGAGCTGACACTGAGAGATGCGGTTAGAGGCACCGCAGATCGGGAAGCCGATGAGATGGATGCTTTGTACCGTCCACAACCAACCTATTCCTTACGCGCCTACGCCTACGCCTACGCATACTCCGTACCTACACTACCTTTGCTCTGCTCCTGTGCAAGTGTCAGAAACACACGGCCAGACTGACGAAGACCTCGCCGACCAATCGACGACAATCTGCTAGACCTGGATGGAGACGATGACCAGGAGTGTCTTCCAGCGGGCGTGGATCCGCACCCAGGCCTTTGCAACGTCGAAATCACCGCGGCCGGGCCAATAGCCAGTGGAGAGGAGCTCGGCGAGGTCTCATCCAGCCAGAGGTTACCCGCAACGAAGCCGAAGTCCCCTGGAGTCCCCGGCGTCCCTGGGCGGGAAAAGAACAGGGGAAAGGGGTCTCGCACTGGTTTGCCTGGCCTGACTGGTCTGAAAAGTCCTTGCTCGCCGCCCTGACTAATGTAAAATTTCCTCGCGCTACCACTGACCATAGACCAGGCACGGAGATGGCCTCTCTGGGCCCTGTGTGAGCTCTTCCTTCGGCCGGGTACGAATCCGCTAACTGCAATGGGACTTGATGTCTCTTCTAGACTACTGCTAGTCTGCTACGGATACAATCTGTTGCTGTATGGTAGTTAATATGGATCAAGCCACCTTTGGTGACTGGTCTAGGAACAATAATTAGGTGAGAAGCACGAGCCAATGCCAATACGAACCGGAACTTTGACATATTATCTTGAGCTGACGTCTATTTAGCAGATTGACGGTTCGTGGTCTACCGCGACCTGACAACGTCGTGATGATTCCTACGGGTGCGATCCGTGTACTCCGTAAGCGTCGAACGACAACCCATCTTCTGCCGACCGGCAGTAGCATCTGCGGATGTGGAGGACTCGGGAGTCGGTCGAGGGAGGGGACCGCGGGCGGGCTCAATTCAAATTCAGTCCCAACGAAGAAGAAGAAAATCTGCACGCTTCCTTTTTCGCAATCATCTGCACCAGAGCCTGCAGCTGCAGGCAACGCCAGACCATACGCCGCGGCCAAGCAGACGAGAGATCCACCCATCCACAACCTGCCCAACATGGATGGGTTATGGAACATTGGAATTCGAGCAACGTCCTTCCATCAAAACTTCCATTGCAATTCTTGAAACACTACTGTCCTCGTCAGTCGCCTCCCTAGGGCAAGGAGGTGAACGAAGTTGTTGCCGTGGGCAAGGTCCTATCCACACCTTCAGGTCCTCCACAAGATCTACCCACCCACGGCCTCGTTTATTACGGTGGCCACCCATCATGGAGTACGGGTACTTACCAGGCCACATACTCGTTGACATGCACAGATCTGGATCTTGGTGTTAGTCGGACGCCAAACTGCATTGCACACTTACCAGACAAACAAGCAAAAGACCCAAACTCTCCCATACACTTGGCCGTCACCTTTTGATTCGCCCGCAAACGCTTCTACAATCTGCACTGCCTCGAGCTTGCTTCAGAAGACAGACCATGGGTGTTGAGGTGGGACAAAGAACCCGCATGCTCAAAGGCAGCTTTCTCTCAAAGCAGGCCTAAAGTACATGGAGATAAGTAGCATTCCCTTTCTTTTCTACCCCCAAGTGGGAACTCATGCTGTCAACTCCAAAAAGAGCCAGACGCCAATGGACCGGTCCATCACTCTAGTTCTCTTTCATCCATTAGGAAGAACCGGGGCCGCATCGGAGCTACGGTCCCACGGCCACGGCGGCTACTCCCCTCATCACCATTCTAGGCTCATACAAGCGTCTCTGCCACCACATTCGGCGTCAACGATATTACCTTCTGACCCGGGAAACCATATGCGTAGCCTCGTCCTAAGATCGTCCTTGCGCTTATTGGGACAGGCAGCGGAATCTCGGATTGCCGTGACATCAGATTATCGCGAGAGATCCCGTCTTCCTGATCAACCCTGCGTCCACTTAAAAAGTTTGACCGCTCCATCTCTTTTGCACGGTATACAACACGCTGTCTATCGATAATTGGACAGTGTTGGCCAACTACTCTCAGCGAGATCTTCGTCTAGGACACATTAGAAGATTATTGTGATCAAAGAGCGAGACGATGAAAAATAACCCGCTTGCTTGCCCTGGCCTCTTTGTTTGCTTCAAATATCGTCTCACTCAGCATTCTCTTGTGTGTGTGTGGCGCAAAGTGAAGCAAGAAGCAAACACAATGGGAGCTGTCATCCCGCGAGGACAAGACTCTATCTCGACTATTCCTCTACCCAAACCCATCATCAAAGAACTGGTCGACAACAACAGCATCGTTTGCGGCAAGTAGTCATTCAACTCTTTCCGAGTTTCCAACATCTTTGGGCCCCCGACTCAGTCCGAGATGTTTGCTTTTTACCAGCCAACTTACTCCTTCGCGTCTGCCCTCGGGCGCTTGCTACTTTGCTGCAAGCTGCCGCCAAGGTGATTCACCTGCATATGAGTTCAGTGTTCGGTACTGGCTACCGCTGCACACGATTCTGCTTGCACATGGTATCATCGGTGGATCAAAAACTAGTACTAGCAAAATTCTGCCAGTAAACAAGATCTACGTCGGAACGCGATAATCTGTTCCGGGACCCAGGTCCTCATTGACGCACGGCTTTCATAAACCCGAAAAGTCGACCTCGATGTTTGTACAAAGAATCGCTCGGCCGTGTCTGAGCATCAAGCAAAGCAGGCTTTGCACTAAGAAAGCCACCGACCCAAGCTGCTCGGCAATAGACGAAGCTGTGAAGCTCAAAGAGAGACATCATTCATACTGACTCGGTTCTGTTGCATTGATTGGCTGCCAGAGCGCCTCGACGGCTTGGAACTTGGAAATGGTACTTGTAGGGCAATCATTGCAGCCAGCCAATAATTACGCCACACGACCATGATCTTGTACCGAGAGCTAAGCACCACATTGAGCGCAAGTCACGGTATCGAGATTGGCGCTCCGACTTGCGATACTGCCGGAGCCACCCTCTCAGTCGGCCGAGTCAAAACATGGAAACTTACTTTCCTGGAAAGCAAACAACAGAGCAAACAGACCAGAAGCGGCATCCACTTCGCGGAATCATCGGGGAGAACCGTCTGAAGCCCAGAGCATTCGGCGCTTCGTTGTTACGTCTAAACCCTTACAGGACGCACAGATTATCACGTCTTTCACGTCGGAGTCAACGTACGCGTTGACAAATTGGAGAGGGCAGGTATCTATTGATGTACCGCTCAGTGCCATGAGAGCCACAGCCTGGAGTTTGGGACGGTTAGACCCCACCATTTAGCTGCCTTGAAACACCAAGCCATCTTAGCCGACCATGCAAGGACAAGATATCACCCATCCTTGCTGGTAACTGTATACAGTAACACAGCCAGGCCGTTGTGAATTTCATCTGCGTTACGATGATACGATGGCGGTCGAAGCCCCCTCGCAGCGGGCACAGAAAGATCGGACAGTGATCTCGGGGTTCCATTCCGCTGACCTGCAGGCGTGCACTTCCCGAACCTATTTGGACTTGTCGATCATCACCAAATTTTGGACGGTTTTCTGGGGGGCACAACGGGGCTATCGAGAATGTCCCCCTACCTTGCGGTATCCGTACCAGGTAACACCATCTTCACTGTCGAAAATACGGTCTGAAGTGGATTCTCAGTATTTCATGCAATGGATAGACTTGTTCTGGCCCCTCATTTGTTGCAATTCGGAGGCCAGACTTCCTGCCTCTCAGGTCTCACTCGATGGCACGTCTCAAAGGCGAGATTCTCTAGTCTCTACAGTGTACTGGTGGGGAAGCAGCTCTAGATCGACAAGCCAGAGGGGGGACATCTGCTTTTGCAAACCAAGGCTTTAGCAGCCGCCGTCCGAGAGACTTTGACAAGAACGCCGTCTAAAGCGGCTATCAAAGGGGAACCAATAGAAGCATTTGACAAGCCGGCGCACCTAGACATCTCGCATCCGAAATAAGGTAATTTCGCACATTCACTAGATGCATTGCAGGCAGCCGGTCGGAAACTACCAGAGAAACTATTCCCGCCTGGTACAGGGAGGCCACATGGCAGACGAGCTGCCTTTTCCTCAAAGCAAAGCGGGATCCATTCAAGTCATTGGCAGAGGCTGGGGGGCTCATAGTCATCGCATGCCTGAAGAGGCAAATCTGTGGAGTTCCAAAAAGTCGTTCCACGCGGGATCACGAGAGGGCTCTTTTTAATTGAAGAGGGCCCAAAATTGTGGAGGCTCTCTTCGTTTTCGAGGCCCGGTCCCATCCACTCACACCGTCTTCGTCGTCAAGGTCGTCTTGCCCATTTGCCTCTGCCGCCCACCGACTCAGTGCAACTCCATGAGTGGGCGAATAGCAGTGCGTCCAGTTGGCGAACGCGCACTCAAAAGTTGGCAGATGGAGCGTTCCCTGCGCGTCGTCTTCTTGCATGTCATGCAGGTACGAAGATGGTGCGCAAGGTCGTTGTAGTAATGAGCGGCACCCTCTTACGATCATCTGCTGTTCCCCTGAAGACTCCCCCTAGTGAAGGTTACCTTTCTCGGAAAATCGTCATTATTCCATCTGGACTTTGGTCGGCTAGTTCGGACGGCGTGTGCTTTGACCTTGGGTACTGACGATTGGGTTTCTCCTGTTATGGAGTATTAGATGCTGAAGTATCTGGAAAGGAGAAAAACGAAGAAGAAAAAAGAGAGCGTGGTGTTCTAGAAGGGCCCACAGAAGCTTTCCGCCCCTGAGCCTGCCTCTTGTGTAACCACTATATGGCACATCATACAGACGAGCTGGCGTCCAATCCATGACTCCAGCGCTCCTTCGTTGGCCACCGTGGGTATCGTCCTCCACTCCGGCTGTTCGAGTTTTGTTTCGGACGGGACTAGATCCTCATGGATCCGGAAAGCTGTGAAACGAAGCCTCTCCGCTGTGTGCTTTAGAGGACTACTGCTATGCGGATGATTTGAATCAGGACAGTTGAGTGACGAAGGAGGTCATTTTACCTCGGGGAGACATACAGAATTCGCGGAACATACTGTAAAGCGCCACCAACCAGAGTACGGGCTCAAGCGATGCCTGTGGCGTTCGCAGCCGCCTGAAGAGGTAGAACAATGTCCAAGCATAGCTTCTGCCCCTGTAGATCACACAAGTTACTTGAGGAGAGCTTGTGCGTCCCCAGAGTCCTGGACACAGAAAACACAGCCACACAGCATAAGAACGGAACCTAGACTGAAAGACCAAGATCGGGCGAATGGGTTCACCCATCATGGAACCGGTCGTTTCGCTGAACCGTACTGCACCGAGCAGCCAGAGACGGAAGCCGGACCGGCCCAGCACAAGCGTCATCGGCCGGAGCAGAGCCCCGCAATTACGTTGCCGGCACCGAAAAACAAGCTTGCTTAGCGCCGTCCTACCAACCTCTCTGCCCGCTTCTTGGACACGAACTTGAAGCTTGTTTTGCTCGCGGCCGCATTATTCTTCTTCATTCCTCTGCCAATTCCACCACGGACAGCGTCTTGAAGCCAATTGAGCGCGCAAACGGCCAAAAATGTCTATCCCTATGAACCGCCTGGGCGGCCGCGGTAAGCATCCTCGCCATGTTTCGTTTTCGAATCCTCCTGGAGCCATGGCTTGAAATCCGAGACCGCCACAAACAGGCCCGGATAAATACAATGCTGCTCGGAATGGCTCGACATCTGGGGCCCGGACGCGCGCTGACACGATTATGAATGTTGCAGCCTTCAGCCACGCCGACAACGACGACGACGATACGGAGCGCGAGTACGACCGCCTCCGCGACCTCGCCCGCGAGGAAGCCAACAAACGCAACCAGGCCTTTGAGCGCGTAAGTGGCCCCAGCCCCAGCCTAAGCCCAAGCCGAAGCCTTGTCCAAAACACGTGGTTTTGAGTTTTGTGTGATGCCGCAAAACTGACACCAACCCTCGATGCTCTCCAGTCTCAACAAGCCTACCAGTCGGGCGATGGCGCGGCCGCCAAGGAGCTCTCCAACGAGGGCAAGCGCCACGCGCAAAAGATGGAGGACTACAACCGCCAGGCGTCCGAGTTTATCTTCCGGGAGAACAACGCCGCCGGCCGCGTGACGGGCAGCTGCGTCGACCTGCACGGGCAGTACGTCGAGGAGGCGGAGCGTATCCTCGAGGAGCGTATCCGCGCCGACCGGGCGCGGGGCCAGGAACACTTGCACGCCATCGTCGGCAAGGGAAACCACTCGACGGGCCACGTGCAAAAGCTGAAGCCGAGGATCGAGGCCATTTGCCGCGAGATGGGGCTCAAGTACTCGACCGAGGAGAACGCCGGCCGAATCTACATCAACCTCCAGGGCGGCGATGCGACGATGCCGCCGCCGCCTCACACTGGCGGTGGACAGCAGCACCACGGAGGCGGCCAGCAGCAACATCATGGTGGCCAGCAACAGCACCATGGCGGTCAGAACCAGCAGCACGGCGGGCAGATCCACGGTGGACAACAGCAGCACCACGGCGGCCAGAACCAGCAGCAAAACCAGGACGAGACTGGCGACTTGGTCGTCAAGATTCTCAAGAAGTTGGAGAAGGCTTGCTGTATCGTCATGTAAGGGGGGGTTTGGTCTCTGTTGTGGCCTTCTCCGCTTGCTCCCCCCTTTATGGCTTTCGGCTGCCGGGACGCATCATTGTATGCGGCCCGGCCTTTTTTTGAACCTTGGATACCCAGCGGACTCAACGTGAAATGGTAATGTCTTCTTTTCTTCTGAACCTATGTATATATAGGCTTGATGCCTTGGCGAGACGTCACTGGACTCGGTCGCTTTGGGATTGGATATAGGGCGACGTAGGTTTTGTCCACGTCAGGATAATTTTAACACATCATTTAAGAATTTCTTCATACAACTGGAAACAATTGCTCGTCCAAGGTGTTTGCTTTGTCTCGAAAGAAATAAGCAAATTCGATACCTCAGAAATCTCCGATTAGGATTGGTCTTTTAGATTTGACGACCGATGCCAAAGCTTCAAAGCTGTGAAGAGATCCCTTGCCAGCGCCGGATGGGAACCAACATCGGCTCGGCATTCAAAGTAGAGCAGAGCCTCCCAGATAAAGGTAGTGACTCTCGCGCGACGGAATTTCCATTGAAGTCCATGCATCTATCCGAGGTGAAGCTCCAAACGAAATCCCGATAGGTTCTTATCGTTATCGGAGCTCCAGCGCTGTCCAATTTATAGAGGTCTGATTGGCCAGTGCTGACCGGGGGTAAGGCAAGCTTGCCTGCTATCCCGTTCGGCGCAGCGCTGCTCTGCTGAGGAAGTGCTTTAACCAAAGAAATTTCAACCATCGTCATCGCTCCCCGTAATCAACCTCAACTTCCATCACGAACCAACCGGCCTCGCATATACCCCGTCAACTTTACGAGTTCATCAAATCAGTCACACTTCGAAATGGACGCGTAAGCTTACCCCCCTTGAATGGTCCCTTGAAAGTCCCAAAGGAAAACAGAGACCAGACACAGCGACTAACGCGCAATTCTCTATCACCAGCCTTACCAAGACCGAGGAGGCTCAGCTCCAGCAGAGACTTCAGAAGCGCCAGGTCAAGGAGTTCATGAACGTACGTTTCTCTCTTTAATCTTCCCGTTCCGCCAATTACACAGAAGAAAAAAACGAAACAACCCGTTCCTCCGTCTCCCATGTTTCTTTCCTCCTTCGATCGCTGTTCGAAAAAGCGATAAGATTCCCAAGACTCTGTTGCTAATCATTTCCCTCCCCTTTTTACAGCTCTTTGGCAACCTCGTCGACCACTGCTTCACCTCGTGCATCGACGACTTCACCTCAAAGTCCCTCTCCTCCCGCGAGACCGGCTGCATCACCCGCTGCATCCAGAAGCAGATGTTCTCCCAGCAGCGCCTCAGCGAGCGCTTCCAGGAGCACAACGCCCAGATGACGGCCCAGATGCAGGGACAGTAAATCCACAGTCGAGGGGAAAAAAACCAAATATTGTAAAAGAGAGAAAGAGAGAAGAGAATGGGCACGCAGACGGTGTTCGATAGAGGAGATCTCGGACGAGCATGCGCGCGCTCTGATGTAACACTATTCCCAGCAAGGCAGGCAGACAAGCCCAGTCGAAGGGGAGGAAGGCCCTGGGATTTGCAACATTTACCACACACGATCTCCAAATTAACGAAGCCAGGCGAGTGAGTTGGGAATGACAACCACGAACGAGAAGGGTTTCCTGTATATTACGTTGTGTTTATTTTCTTCTTTTCCCCTGACCGGTGGATAGAAGACGTGGCATAGCACCTTTTTGCGGGTTTGGAATAAACACCGCTCTATGAAGGGAGAAACGGATGGACAAAATATCTACTCCATGAGCCGTTGAGACCGTTTGGTTGCATGCCATCAACTTGTGAGCCAATAGTCACAATGAGAATGGACGTCTTTTTGGTCGTACCCTGCAATCTGCTGGGGGTATCCACAAACTTGATCCTACGTAGACTATGGGATTTCCCAGTGACGATGGCTGGAATAGGTATGATGCACCCACGTTTATCCTACACACTTGAACGCCTAAAACCCTTTTTGTCGTTGTTCCCCTCCAATTCATTCATTCCCTTGTGGCCGACGATAACCCCTCGGCTTCATTATCTCTATCTCAACGTCCCTCCTCATCCTTCCTCAAGACTCTTCGAGGTCTTCGCTTAATACATCCCTCACAGCCTCCAACTGCGAGAGGACCTTGCTCTCCAAGACATTTCCTGGCTGGCCATTCTCATCCGACGCGCCAGTCTTGATGCTCTTCCACTCCACCTCACGCTGGCCCAGCGGCAGAAGTCTGTCGCGCAGCAACTTGCGGCTCGATAACCAGAAGTCAATGTTTTCCAAAAGGGAGGCAGCATCCCATTGGATCTCTGGGATATCACGGTTGTTGGCAGTTCGCAAAGCGGCGATGACTCTTGTCAACAGAGCAAGAGAGTGCACCTCTGATACTGCAAGGAGCGTCACGTAGTGCGGCGTCTCTCTCGATGCTGTACGACTGGCGCCAGGTGCCTCGAATCGGTCGACACTTGACTTGAGAAGCAGAGGGAACTGGTTAAGGACGTAACCCAGTTCAGGCGCAACCGTTCCGCCCAGGGCAGTGAGAAGATTCAGCAACAGGGGCAGAACACCCTTGACCCAGATGCTGTAGCATCGCTGGGGTCCAACAGCTTCCGAGAAGGGAGAGATGTTTCCGCGGCGCATAAAGTTGGTAATGCCTGCCGAAGTCAGGTGGCTCAGTAAGCCGTCGCAAGCCATCTGTTCTGCCACCGCCGGCAGGGTAGAGAGCTCCAGCAAAAAGAGCAAGCTCAACTCGCCATAGATCGGGTCGCCGTTGATGGAAAGTTTGTCAGCCCAAGAGAAAAGTGATGTCGCTGCGTGCATGGCATCATATGATGCCATAATGTTCAGTATCTGTGTTTGACATTGGTCAATGGTTGGCATGTTGAGACAAGCTTGCAAAATGGCCGTAAGCAGAGCAAGGTCCTCAGGTGCAACGGCAGCCTCGGAATCGTGCACAAGGGCAACGAGAGTTCTGAACCCCTTTGCGACTACTCGGTCGAGAAGGTTCAGAACAGTCTGAGTAAGCGTGATCGAGAAGCCGTCACCTCCGTTCTTCGAGGCCCCCAGGGACTTCTTTTCCGCAGCACTATACGCACGCAGGGTGACGTAGATTGCCTTGAGCATGGTGCGGTAGTACGAGATTGATTCCGGGTTGAAGGGCTCCTCAACAGCGCTGATGATGGTGAACAATGTCCCCAGAAGCTGGTTCACATCGTGAGATGAAATGGGACGGCCAACGAGACGCTGAACGAGAAGCAAGCTCAGATCAGCTCGCTCTTCCACAATCCGCATGAAGATATTTTCTGGGCCTTGGTTGGACCGGTTCGCCTCAAGACATTGCTGCGCAACTTGCAACATTTGTCTGGCAATGGTTTCGTTTTCTGCAAGAGAGCTACTAATCTCAAGAAGCAGGTATTCCCATGCGTGGAACAGCGACTGCGGCAATATCAGTACGGGCCGAAAAGGCAGCTGGGTGTCCAGGTGAGGAACTTACAATCTGCGCGTCAACTAGAGACAGGTTGGCGTTGGCAATCCCCATCTCGTTACGGAATCCGTTGTTGCGACGACCGTGCCAGCCTGGATCGAAGCTCAACATCTCAGTTGCACTCTCCAAATCATAGAAATAGCTTCTGCCAAGCTCGCCAGGTCTCAGTGATGTCCTTTTGAAAGCTTCTAACGAAACTCCGGGGTATTTGCTTGTGAAGTTTTTGGCAAAGTTGCTGTGCAGAGAAGTATTGTAGCTCGAAACTTCTACGCCGTCCCTTAGATAGTAGTCTAGGTCAGATACTAGGCTCTTGGCGAAGGTGTCGGCTCCGCCCATCTGTCGTAAGTGATATAGCTGCATGGCGAATATCTCGGCAATGTAAGCGGCCATTTTGGCATCTGTGGCAGCCTTGACAGCATCTGTCTTGCTTGTGACAGTAAAGCTACTGAGGTCCTTGACGTAAAGGCGCAGAGAGTCCAAGAAGGACGAGTCTTTTTGCATGGTGAAGATTGTCCAAGGCCAATGGTTCTGAGATGATGCAACGAAATCGAGGATCCTAACTGCCTCGCCAGTTTCCAACTCTTTGATCTTCTTCAGCTTTGCAAAGGCAGTCGCTAGCACCGAGTTGGGCGTCGATGAAGCGTCCTTTTTGACGCCCTTGAGGGCATCTCTAGGCGTCTTGCCTGTCAAGAGACAGTTTGATAGCCATTGCTGGCGATTCTGTACAATCGTAGAGAAGAACTTCCACGTTGTCTGCACATCCTTCGCAACGAGGAAGGGCTTGTCGAGTCGCGACAAGACTTCAATAAATGACCGTGACAAAAGGGGACCTAGGTATCCCAGAAGGGAAGGAGGATCATCATGAGCTTTGGCAGCACTCAGCACCAGAGCCTCCAGGAGGAGCAATGCTGGTCGCCGGAATTGCTCGCAGATTGCACATAACCTCGCCAAAATCGATGACGTCTTGAAGAGGTGTTCTTCAAACGTCGCTGATGGCCTGTCTAGGTAGCTCGCAACACGTAGCAAGGTTGTCGTGAATCGCAAAGCGCATGTGAGCTGTTCCTGAGCTGAGGCTAGTCGATCTTGGTAGAACGTTGAGTCGGGGATTTGGAGACCATTGACCAAAGTCGTGAGGAGCGGCTGGAACCTAAGAGACCCTGTTGAGGGCGAGAGGAACGCATCTATAATGTAGGACGCTGCAGGTTCCAAGCAAGCCGCCAGCGTATCCGCGCTCTCTTGGTCACCCATCCCGTAGGTGTGCTCGATGATCTGATCCATGACAGGGACAACGTGCCGAATAAGCAGTGCTTTGTGAAGCTCTGATCCGAAGCGCCAAGTTGAGGAGGTCTCAAAGACGTCAACCGCGGCTTGAGCAATTGCGAGACTGACTTTGCCCAAGACTTTGTCCGCCACGCCGAGCCAAACGTTGTTCGATATTTTCTGCCGTCCAACCAGCTTGTTGCCGGATTTGCGTTGAACAGCGCTGCTCTTGACGCTGTCAATGAGGCTAGAAAAAAGCCGTACAGCCGACAGCAACAGATCATATCGCTCCCCAACTAAGTCGAGATTACCGGTGATCTTTGCCAATTTCCCTGCTTGGGCTTCCGAATTGAGAAGTTCGCAACGCGCCAAGTAAGACCAGACTCTCGTGGGGCAAAGCGGCAGGATCGCATGTAGGAATTGAACGCATGAGTTGAGCACTGCGATGCCCTGTCCTTCGGTCGCCTTCTCGTCTTGCATATAGGCATCCATGGTCTCGCAGACAACCGCCACAAGGTCTTTGTTCCCGGAGATGTGCTTACCAATCTCTTCCAAAAGCTCTTGTCCCGACTTGAGCGATGTTTCGCCGCTCAAGCCCTGCTTTTCAGACTTCAGTACCTCCGCACGCAGTAGTGTTGCTAAGAGAGCAATGGTTTCTGCGGTTTCCTCTGGCTGGAACGCATCCAGCTCGCTGCGGTAAGTCTCGGGTGCCAGTTGGATTTCGAGCCTCTTGCCAAGCAAAGCAAGAGCAGAGTGCTCATACTCCATTAGAACCACGCGACCCGTATCCGTCACAAAGCGTCCCACTGTTTCCGCAGGTATCCTAAATGCGTCGTCCACCCGAGTTCTGCGATTCCATGCCGTGGCAGGCGTGAAAAGCGGTATGTCTTCGAGTAGGTAAAATGTGTTGGTGTTGTCCTCCTCCTGGGCTAGCTCGTACTGCTGGTAGTCATCGGGGAGAATGAAGGTAAGTGATGGGGTTTTGCGCAAGAGGTTGACTACCGTATCCATCCGGTCGTCAGCAACGGTGCAGTTCGCCAAAGTCCTGCAAAGATTGAGGAATGGCAGCAACTCAAATGGATATCGGTTGAGGGCCTGGTGGAAGTAATATTCGAGTGCAGCATCGTCGTGGAGCACCTCGGCCAAAATGTCGCTTGAGGCGTGCAGCGAAGGCTTCGAAAGGTCCCAATATTGCTGACCAGCTCCCAGGACCGAAAGGAGAGAGGTGACAGAGTCTGACTGATACCCTACGAGGGGATATGTGGCTTTGAGGAAGTCGACATACGAAAGCCGGATTCTGGAACTCAGAAGTGCCGAGAAGGCTCCGTCACTGGAGGCCCCAATAGCCAGTGCCATCTCGGACAAGACTTCGTAAGCTCGTCCATGCGATGTGACAGCTACTGCCAGCTGCTCCACAACCTGCAAGTCCTTATCCAGACCCGCATTGGTCAGGAAAATGTCAAATGACTTGCCGTCGAGAGAAACAATGCTCCCTGCAGAAAGACGGCGAGCGGTAGTGGGCCGAATCAAGACACCAGCCTCGAAAGTCTCCTGAGATCGCTGGTTCTGTAGCGCATCTCGCTTTTCGATTCGGTCGTGATGCGAATAGAACATGCGGTGGACAACGACGGTCCATGCAAATATGATGGGGCTTTGGCTCTCGCAATCGGCACTGGCTGCGGCGAGGATTGCATTGTGGACTTGCTCCAATACTGACGGAGCAGTAATGTAGGGGTCCTCGTCTCCGCGATATTCAGGGGCCTCTTCAGCGAGACACTCGATGGATCGTGTAGGGTTCAGGAGCTTGATGGATATGGCTGAGATGAGAGATCTCAGGGGCATGATTAGGGAGGCAATGGCATCAGTCGGCTGTCTGCTGTTAGTCCTGGCTTCCCAATGAAGTCTGATCCTCGGTGAACTCACCGCAGTAATCCCGTTGAGAAAACCATAGTTATCCATTGAGGAAAACCACTGGCCGACCACCGCGGATGGTACAAAATCGTCACCACTGCCATCGACTGACTGAAAAACGACCGACAAGGCGTGTACAACTTCAGTGAGTGCTGTCCGCATCCATTCCAGCTCAATTTCTTCTCCCAGCAGGCTTTTATCTTCCACAACTGCTTCGAGCCCCTCGGCCAGTCGACCAATAGCCTCAGTGGCATACTGCAAGTAGGTCGTGAGCAGATTTTCGAGGTATTTGGGACGTTCGTTCGCGGCGATCAACTGAGTTGTCGCGATCGGAAGATCAGTAGCAGAGGCTGGCGCTGAAGGTTGAGTGTAGAGCACGTTCTCCTGGACCAACGCAGCAGTCATCAGAAAGTGGCGTCTCTCTGCAAGATATGTCTGGAAAATTCGCTGTCGCCTTGACTCCTCTTTCTCGAATTCTGCCCAGATCGTCTCCGCATCCTGAGCGGCACCAGCGATAGGGACGAAAGACGACGATTGTACGTTTGCGACGCCAGAAGCTTCCTGGAGGTTGATTATGTCCTGGGAAGAGAGGGTTCCTGTCAGGTGGCTCGCTGGTCGCGACTGGAACTCGATGACTGTCGCGCGAAGCGCAGCAATGAGGTTGACCTTGGCATTCTTGCTCAACCACTGCGCATCCTCCTTGATAACTTTGATGTCGAAATTGTCGTTCGGTTTGGGAGTGACGTGTATAGCGGCGGTCCTCGTCTCGAAGTTCGACTTGGTGTGATCGCTCGGCGGCGCAAAGGCGGTCGACGGATCTTTTATGAGTGCTCGTACGAAATCATCTTGTAAAAACTGCACAACAGCTTCGCTCTTCCGCCTGGAGTCATCTTTGTCCGCCAGTGCAGCTGCGATGAGCTTCCAGGAGCTAGTTCAAGGATCAGTTTTCCGGGCAATCAGCAAGTCAACAAACGCAGGTCTACCCACATAATGATCGTGTCTCCATTCAGGCATTCCTCCAGAGGAGGAAAGTATTGACGGTCTGCCACTTGCGCCATTGCCGCAGAGGTCGATTGGGCAGAGCAGTCAAGGTCCAGACTGCATCAGGCGAGGCTGCGATGAGCTATGTTGCCTGAGATGCAAAGAAAGTAAGTGGACGCGCTTGTACACACTTGGACCCGCGAATGCTTTTGCAGCCTCTCTGCAGGTGGTTGACTGGAGCTCCCAAAAAAAGTGAGCTCGACTTCCATGGTTTTTCCGGAAGCTGGCGCTAAGTCCAATTCGGCTTAGCGCCCGTTCTAGGCTCAATGCCACAATAGGCAGTCCCGGGCGCCGGGATCGCGATATAGCGGCGGGGCGGCCTGTCAAGGTATATTGCAGCTTGCCTTCTGGGCATTCGTGCACTGTATCCTCAGCTGCAAAGATTGCCAATTGGTACAGTAAAAGTATGCTCTCCGATCTACTGTGCTACAATCAACTTTAGTGAGTCGCCGCCTTTTAATCTTCATTTCAACCCGTCCCATTGACTCACCTCATTCAAACCTCGAATGCCACTACCACCGAAGCGATACTTTTCGTGACAAGAGGCATTAATATTTAGCAATTCACTGCTGATTTGACTTACTTTCGGCGGCCCCGGCACAATTTGCAAAATGCCGTCCTTAGATATCATCGATCACTCACCCCAGCATCCGGACCCTTCGCCACCAATTCCCACGGCATCCAACTTGATCTTGATCGACAACTACGATTCCTTCACCTGGAATGTCTACCAATATCTCATTCTCGAAGGCGCGAATGTGACGGTCTTTAGAAATGACAAGATCACGCTCGCAGAGCTGATTGACAAGAAACCAACTCAGCTGATCATCAGTCCTGGACCTGGACACCCCACCACGGATTCCGGAGTCAGTCGAGATGCAATTAAGCACTTCTCTGGCAAGATTCCCATATTTGGTGTCTGTATGGGTCAGCAGTGCATCTTTGACGTCTATGGTGGAGAGGTCGGATCCGCAGGGGAGTGGCTTCACGGCAAGACATCTCCTTTGACACACGACGCCAAGGGTGTCTATGCTGGTCTGCGCCAAGGGCTTCCAGTTACCCGTTATCACTCTCTAGCCGGTACACGTGTGACACTTCCGGACTGTTTGGAGGTCACTTCTTGGGTTGCGACTGAGGACGGATCCCCCGGTATCATTCAAGGCGTGCGACACAAGGAGTACACCATTGAGGGTGTTCAGTTCCATCCCGAAAGCATTCTCACCGCAGAGGGCCGGACTATGCTGCGAAACTTTTTGCAACTTCAAGGTGGCACCTGGGAAGAGAACAGCCGGCTCCAGAAGGGCTCTGCGACCAACGGCGCCTCTGCCAAGACGACGTCATCTGCGCCGGCTGCAAGCAAGAAGAACAACATCTTGCAGCAAATTTACGCCCACCGAAAGGCTGCTGTTGCAGCTCAGAAGCTTATTCCCTCGCAAAGACCTGCAGATCTACAAGCTGCGTATGATCTCAATGCCGCTCCGCCTCAAGTCTCCTTCATCGAGCGACTTCGCCAGACCCCCTTCGATGTGTCCCTCATGGCGGAGATCAAGCGAGCCTCGCCCTCAAAGGGCATTTTCGACATCAACATCAATGCCCCGACCCAGGCGAAGAAATATGCCCTTGCAGGTGCCAGCGTCATATCCGTGCTGACTGAGCCTGAGTGGTTCAAGGGCAGCATCGAGGATCTGAGGGCTGTCAGACAAGTTCTGGACGGTATGCCTAACAGACCAGCGATCCTCCGCAAAGAGTTCATCTTTGAGGAATACCAGATTCTTGAGGCCAGACTTGCGGGCGCCGATACGGTCTTGCTTATTGTCAAGATGCTGGAGACGGAACTGCTGGAGAGGCTGTACAAGTATTCTCTTTCCCTGGGAATGGAGCCATTAGTCGAGGTCCAGACTGCCGAGGAGATGACGACAGCCCTGAAACTTGGATCCAAGGCTATTGGCGTCAATAACCGCAACTTGGAGAGCTTCGAGGTCGACATGAACACAACAAGTAGATTGAGAAGCATGGTCCCAGAAAATACCATCATCTGCGCCCTGAGTGGTATCAACAGCCACCAGGATGTCGTTCTTTGCAAGAACGATGGAGTCAATGCTGTTCTCGTGGGGGAGGCCATTGTCAGAGCGCCGGACACAACCAAGTTCATCAGAGAACTCTGTTCTGGTACAGACGCTGAGCCTGAACCGGTCAAGACCCAGCCCCTTTTTGTCAAGATTTGCGGAACACGAACTCCGGAGGCTGCCCTTGAGGCTGTCAAGGCAGGTGCGGACTTTGTTGGAATCTGTTTGGTTCCAGGTGCGAAGCGTTGCATATCCGACGAGACTGCTTCCGCCATCTCAGAAGCGGTACACACCTTCGTACCTACCGCCACACGTACAACAACAAGCATCCCTACAAAATCTGCTACAGATTACTACACTGCGTCTGTCGCCAGGCTATCGAGCTCGCGTCCGCTCCTCGCAGGTATCTTCCAGAATCAGCCCCTAGACGAGGTTCTCGAGAAGCAGAAGCGTTTCAATCTAGACATTGTCCAGCTTCACGGCAATGAGCCGGTTGAGTGGGCCAACCTGATCCCCGTACCTGTTATTCGGGCTTTCAAGCCGAGCAACGTTGGCATCGGGAAGCGAGGCTACCACACCATTCCTCTGCTCGATTCGGGAGCTGGCTCAGGCAAGCTCCTTGACGTCTCCAGTGTCAAGGATATCTTGGCAAAGGACCAAGAGTTGCAAATGATTCTTGCTGGCGGTCTCAACCCCGATAACGTGCTCGAGGCAGTCAAGGCTGTTGGGGAGTTTGGTGACCGTATCGTAGGTGTTGATGTGAGCAGCGGAGTGGAGGAGGATGGCAAGCAGAGCTTGGAGAAGATTAGAACGTTTGTCAAGAATGCGAAGAGCTTTAGATAGAGAGTTCGTGAAATGAGAAAGTGCCTTAGACTCTGTCAAACGATCCCATCGAAGACTATTTGTGATATTTGAATATCTGGACTTCAGCTTTGCTACAAAGCCCAGACCTTGACGTTATCGAATAGCCCTGTCCATGATTCCACATCCTCGCATGACCCAAGACAGCTCTGAGATATGTGAGTAAGTTAAAATTGTGAGCATCAGATTGTCAGATTGCGCCATCCGCTTCTGTTGGATAAATAATCCTGCCTTCAGCTAGATAAAAGGGCAAATATCGACGATACTCAAGATGCCATAGGTTCTCATTGAGATCGATGTTTGTCGCGTTTCCAGATCTGTATTTCGGACGCCATATCAAATTGATTTCTTGAAATAATTCGGAAGGCATGGTGAGACTTCATCTCTCTCGCGCCTTCCTCCCAGTCTCTCGAGTGCTTCTCCTTTTGTATCCTTCCTCCTTCCTTCCCTCCTGCCCAGGTTCATTTTTTTACTTCCTCGAATCTCTACGTATAAAACAGCCACCCTTTTCCCACCAATTCTCCCTTCCACCCCTTCACCCTTTCTACACCCTTTCTACCTCGCTCACAGTTTTGGATCGGCCTCTTCATACCCATTCTCTATCCCAACACTTCACCCATTCTACCTCACTCACAGTCTCAGACTGACCTCTTCACACTTTCATCGTCAGCATTGGAGACCCTTCTTGCTCTTATCAACCGAGAACGCCCTTTCCCCTTTTTCCCACGCAGTCTCACTCCAGCTCTTCACGCTTCTTACCTCGCTTGAAATTTCAAGTCGCTCTTGCCTCATCTTCATCAGCAGCATCACAGAGTTTGCTTCTCTTATCCCGTCGTCACCAAGTGAGGATTATTCTTTTCAAGCTTCACTTACAATCACCGACCAAAGTTCATCCTTCACAATGGTTCGAGCAATCTTCAAGGATTTGGTCATTACCGCTGCTGGAGACTTCCCTAGTGGTTGCTCCAGAGAGCAGGTGGTTAAGTGGGTTAAGATGCGCAAAGGCGAATTCTCGAATCATTTGGACGGAGAGACGACCCATCTGCTATTCACCGATGAGGAGTTCAAGTCCAAGAACAAGCCCCACCGAAGTAAGGTCACCTTTCTCTTCATTTAACATTTGTTTTTCCCTTCATGGTTCATGCCTTTCCTTTTGTTCCTTGCCCAGAAGCTAATTATTTGGGTTATCTCTCAGTCAAAGAAGCAGAGAGAAGAAGCAAGACGAAGGGCGCGAAGAAAATTCGCATTGTGAGCTGGAGTTGGTTCACCAAATCTTGCCGCGACAACATGAAACTCGCAATGCGGGAATACAAATACGATGCCATGAAGATCAAAGAGAAGAAGGATGCCAAAGCGGAGATCGAAAGGGCCCGGGCTGCAGCGTCTGCTTACAGGTGGATTCGTCCTGGTTAGTGAAGATTCATCAATCCGACTGCTTGAACACCGTTAACGTATCAATCCAGAGATGTACAGTGTCGCCAAAGACCTGACCTCCTTCGAGTACAAGGTTGATCTCTTCCGATCGTCTGAGAATGAGGATGGAACTCTGCACGAGAAGTACGAACTCTACGTAAGTCACAAGCGTTTCCACTTTCTGACTGGCAACCACAAACTTGGAATCGAGTCCTAGCTGACATGTGGTGCTGAAAACTCAAGTTCTTCCGGTCTCACTCCTCTAGGCCGCACATGTACTGGTTTGGCGCAAAGCTTTTCCATAAGAAGGACAACGGCAAGTGGGTTGAGCGCGGCATTGAGCGCCCGAGTCCCTGTTGCTCACCCTTCCGGAAGGAGTACGAAAGATTCAGAAAGTTCTTCGAGCTGAAGACCAAGATTCGCTGGGCAGACAGGGTCGCCAGAGCTGGAACCCAGGAGAAGACTGCGTTCAGTTACTCCCCTCCGGTAAGATCATCCTACCAATAAAATTGAGGCTCGAAACATTTTTACAATCGACACTTGCTAACAATGAACCTTAGACTGGTGGAAAACCCGTGGGTTGCAGAATGGTTGGCTCACTTTACAACAAGGCGCTCAGAAGCAACAAGAAGATGCTTCGGCGCTATGCTGAGCTCTTTGGAGACGAGTTGCCGTCCGACCTCCAGATCGAAGACGCATGCAATGACGTCTTGAAGGACATCGTCGATGAGGTCTGCGCAACCTCTGAGATGGATGCTGAAGACGATAACGGAGTCAACGAGATGACCATGGCCAAGATGAACCTCGGCCCTGGCAAGAATGAAACTATCGACTCTGACATGGAGGGACACGCTGAGACCGACGCTCTTTCCGATTCTGGCGACATGGCTCAGTCTCCTTCTGAGATTGAAGACATCGTCATGGAGGGTCATGTTGAGGGCCTTGAGACGGGCCGTTGACAGCGCTTAGCGGTAACTCGCTTACCTAGGATACTGGAATTATTGGGACCTCGTCTGTTGCAGACGACATTACAGGTGGATAACCCCATGGGGCGATTGGCAGTCTTACTGATGAGATTGCGGATGCCCTTGATGCAAGTTTGCAAGAAGCAACAGCATAGTGAGTTAAGCTTGAGCAACTATTCCACTGGCCAGCTACTAACCGTTCTTCAGATGCATGATGCATCTGAGGAGAGACATCTCTCTTCTTTCTGGAATTTCGAGGCAGCTTTTTTGGGCGAGATTTTCGGCAATGGTTTTGAGCTTGGACGACAGACGGGAATGGCTTTGCATTTCGATTCCCGTTTTCACCATGGACTTCTACATGGGGCAGGAGCCATAAGGGGCGTACAGCTCTAAATCCAAGGTTGGGAAATACCTTGAGAAGATGAGAGCATGGCCAACTTAATTAGATCCGAGCAATAACGAATGGTTTTCGCAGCTTAAGCTTCGATTTCCTGGAGTAGTACACGTGAAAATGAAAGAGAGTCCCGGGTGATTGGATCCTTTCAGTACACGAACCAGCCGATCTTTAGTCATGAGCGGTAGCTCTTGAGTACGTTTGAATCCATGTTGGATACATGTGTATCTTTCGAGTATTTCAATGGCTGGCATCTCTCCACTCGAGATCCCGTCATGTCGGGACGAATGTCTCAGCCACTCTGATCAAACTAATAATTGGTTGTCTTTGCTGTGGCCAGAATCGTGTGGCTGAAGGAGCTTAGATGGCTACTCAAGGTGCCCGCGGAGAGCCGATCAAACTGGCTTGCAGATAGCAGGTCAGACTTATATGAGATGCTACGTTCTAGACGCAGTAAGATGGGAATCTGCCCTATTACCCCTGGCAATTGACGACATGGGATCGACACTGCCTCGTACTCATTGGACGACGACTTTCAAGCTGGTCAATTAGGAAGAGGCTGAGTATGAGACAGAAACACCAATCAATCGTTGACGATCAATTCTCACTCAACCTAGGCCCACGCGTGTCAGATCCCTTGAGATACATAGGGAAAATGGGGTCTCCGCCAGAACTGCACCGGTCCTTCGCTTCTTTTTCGTCGTCATTCCTCGAGAATCAGATGCGAAGTTTTACATCGGCCACTGATTTTTAGCTCGATAAATGATTCGAGGAGAGTCTCGGTGGATTTAACCATGTTGTTTCCTTTTTCACCAACCACATTGGCGGGTTTCTTGCCACTCACCTTCGCCATGGGCCTCGAAGAGCGACCTCCCCAAGAAACGCTCGCGATGGGGTTCCCAGAGCACGGCGCTGGACTTTCCCCGGCACCAACGACAGCTCCTAGTGAGGAGTCGAAGCAGATGATGCTCGAAGCCAGAAGTCTACCTCCCCATGCCTGTGGAGTTCGTCGCCTTGATAATGGAAGTAGGTTTTGAACCATGGCCCCTGCGCTTCACGGAGCTTGCTGACGATGTATTCCTTGCTGCCAGCTTTCGAGACGTTCTCTTGCGTCAGCAACGATTGCTATAGCTCGGGCCCATGGTTTGGATGTCGCAACGTCCTCAAGACAGAATGTTTCGATGGGACCGCGCCTGTTTGCCAGCAGACAACATCATCTCTAGGTCAGAAAGCGCTTTGTTGGTATGTATTTTCGTGATCTCTTCTCCGAACACGTCCTGACTTGCCACACCGACTCACTCGTCTTGCTTATCCCCCCGTGCTTTGATAAGTTCAAGTGCTGACTGTTTCCAAGCACTCGATCAGGTCCGAGCCAGTTACCGTATTGTATGACACTTCTGAGGCCCGACGACTCAGGACAAAAGACATGGCTCCGATGCGGCGATCCTGCCTACAGTGGACAAAAGATCATGGTGATAGGTACCGAGTCCGACGATCCAGACGCGACCAGGACCGTCGACCCTTCGGACACTGCAACAGCCACGTCACCTCCGTCTGGCTCATCCTCGAACTCGACAGGTGCCATCGTCGGAGGCGTCGTCGGTGGGGTGGCCGTGGTAGCCATAGCTGTCTGCGTCATTGTCTGGTTGGTATTGCGGCGGAGGAAACGCTCGAGGGAGGACGGGTCGCAGGTGCCCTTGACGCCGGGTTCCCAATCGCAACATGTTCAGCCATATTACTCTCAAGCTGGATATGGGGAGCATGATGACCCTTACAAGGCGCAACGTGGGCCGACGCCCTCGCCCACACCTCTTGTTGAAGTCCAGGGAAGCAACGTGATTGATAACCGAAGACCGGTAGAGCTTGGGACTTGAGCCATCGAAATATGAATTGATTGTTCGTGTGTCTGCGTTTCGGGGGCCATAGGAGTTTTCTTATACATACATCGAAGGCGTTAGGAGTCTGATCCACTGTGATCAGAGGGTTGTTTACTTTTCAGCATGCCTACTCGTTAGATATCATGAGAGATTGATGGAGCCAGTTCCAGTATAAGAAGTCATTGGAGCTGATGAGAAAGCCGGCATTCGCTTATATTGACTGGTCTAAGTTTTTGTGGTTTTTCATAACTAATCTTTATGGAATTCGGCCTAGAAATTCAATCCTGATCCAATAACAGCCCTCATCAATTGCTGTTTCTTTCGCTGGCTGGAGATTAACCTAGTAGATGCATTTGAGCTCAAGTCTATAACGAGAGCGGCTAATTTCCTTCTTTGTCGGCTGCCCACGCCGGCCATGGCAATTGTTCTTAGTTCGGGTCTACTACGCCAACACACATGCTTTGGACATACGCCGCTGGTGTTGATGGGCGAACCATGTATCACACAATTCGCAAGAGACTGCCTCGCTCTGAAGGTTCCACAAGACGGCAACTTGCTTCCATATATTTGCACAGTCCTCAAAAGAGACCCTTCAGAACGAGAATAGGGGCCCAAGCTGGTTTCTCTGTTTTCTGGTGACTTTAACTTTTCAAGACCGCCACGTTCCCGTCAACGGAGGGTACCACTTCCTTCACCACTCGTCTCATAACCTTGTCTGACTGCCTTGTATATATCCCGGAGTAGTGATGAACTCATCCTTCCTCGTAGCCATTGCTGCGGCTATCTGGCTACGCCTGGTACTCGCGGAGCCTCAACACTCGAACGGAAACCCCATACCACGTCCGACACTGGCACCGAACTACGGCAAGTATGGAGCAGCCCCAACAACAACTTTGGCACCCGGAAACAACCTCAATCTACGGGCAGAGGCATTGGCGCCTCGCGCACTGCGCATCAATACATGCGGGATCGTAACACTTCCTTGGAGTAAGTCTTCAAAAGCCCATCTGGCTTTTGAGCCAGGTCACCCAGCATAAGAAATCGAATACTGACGTTGATTACACAGCAACGTTCCCTCTGGCGTGCGAGTATCCGCAACCGTGCCAGACTGACAATGGCTTTATGAAGTGCGATAATATCGTTGGACGTACATGCTACGATGGCACAGCTACTGAGTGCAGATCCAGGATTGATCTCAATACCCGCTGCTGGTACGTCTACATCATGTCTTATTTCAAGAGACAATGGCTGATAGCTACCTTCTTAGCACGAGTTCGGATGATAAATGGCTCCCGACCTGCGTGACATATTACAAAGAACTCGACAGGGACAACTGGGTCTCGCTCCTCGAGTGCCAATGGAAAGCACACAGCGGTCGAACAAGCTTAGATTTCGTCCCGGCGTCAATCGAGGACAACTTTCTTCGCGGCACCCAGACAGCGCTGGGTTCGCCTGATTCCACAATGACTCTGACGTCTTCCACGTCGGCCTCTGCCTCGGCGCCAGCTTCACCATCGCCAGCGAGTTCTTCGTCCAACATACCTACAATCGTAGGCGGTGCCGTTGGAGGTTTAGTAGCAGTGGTCATTGGAGCCTGTGTGGTTGTATGGCTTCTTATACGGGAGAAGCGAGCGTCGAGAACCCGGGATGCCCTGTCTCCGTCGCAGAATCCATCACAGAGCGCTCAGTTCTCAAACCTGCCCGAGGTATCTGTCCCTGCGAACCACCTGCCTCTATATTGCGGGGCTGAGGAGCGACATAAGTATCAGTCAGTGTCCGCAGCCTCGCCATCCGGTCCCAGTGAGGCGCGTCTGGCGTCTTCTCCGTCGCCGAGACACACTATCAACGTTAATGATTCCCCTGTTGAGCTCGAGTGATAGATGTAGAGACACACAGAAGTTCTGTCCCCGGTATTTTAAACTTGTGGTAGTGTTTTACACCTGAATTAATGATATGATTAGGCACGCAGAGGATAACAAGGGCTGGTTTTCATTCAATAATGTACTCTTAGTTACTTTCTTAAAAATAATTATCTGCACACGCATCGCTTGAAATGCTTCAGCATGAGTCCACGCCGATCCTCAACATCACACACCATCAACGGTCGTAGCAGTCCCCTTAACCGCCATCCCTCCATCATCACCCTCAATCCAAACATCCCATTTCCTCTCCCCTTCACTCGCCTCCTTCTCCCGCAGGCAAAGCGTCATCTCCCGACCGCAGTACAGCGGCGCCAGGTTCCGGTACCCGTACCAGCGCACGCTCTGCCCTTTGCCCTGCCTGTTTAAGAACGCGAGTACCAGAGCCAGCGATAGAGGCCCGTGGACCAGCGTCGCGGGATGGCCCTCTTGCGCGGCCCACGCCGGGTCTAGATGGATCGCGTGCGCGTTGTACGTCAGCGCGCTGAAGTTGGTGAGGAGGTTCCGCGTCGGCGTCAGAGTGAGAGACGCTGTTGGCTTATGCGGTGCTACCCCATTCTCAAATGTCAGTACTTTCTCCGTTCTCCGAACTTTCTCCCACGGCTTGGAATGAAGACCGAAAATGTTGCTGACCGCCGCTCACCTTTCAAATTCCGCCGCGCCGGGGCAGGAACATCAACATCAGGAAGGAAAGCCAACGTCCTCCTCTCCTCAACCGCCGGTCCGCTCTCACCACGACCAGCAGCAGGAGAGGCCCCATACCGCCGCCACAACTCGACCCACACCCGGCCCTTCTCGGCCCTCACATCCTCCACGCTCTCGACACAGCCGACCCGGCGCCCATCAAGACGGAGCTCATTCTCCCAGCCCTCTCGGAACCGGACCTCGCCGCCCGCCCAGAGTCGGCGCGTGAACGGTGCGCCGGGGCAGTGGTCTGGGTCAGTGCCGTCCGGCATCAGCCATGAGGGCGGCGATTGGAGGGGGAAATAGGCTAGATGGTGGCCTTGCGGCAACGGATTCGCAGGCCCGGAGGATGATGGGTACTTTGGTGGATTGTCGGCGGACGAGGTGAAGATGTCGGCGAACAGGAGGTTGAGGAGATGGGAGGGCGTCGGGGAGAGGTGGTCTGGGATCTCCTTGCTGGTGTGCAGGATCTTGGCGATTCCTGTCTCTACCGATGAGGATGCATTCTGAGTTGCAAATCCCCGACGAAAAGTGTTGAGGAGCAGAGGCCTCATGTTGAAGTTGGCATTGATGACTTACACGTCTCAGTGAGTGAGATGTTATTAGACTGAGTAGGAGGTCATGAATATGCATATAACCAATTGATAGGTCATAGTCGCATATCAGATAAAGATGCCTGTATGAGAGTGCGGCCCCAAGTTGACTGTACCTTAAGGGGCAGGGGGTCTGGGAATGTACCATGGAAAGTCATTGTTTAGTGAGAACAAGGGCTGCTCTCAAGGGTAACCCATCTAGGTGTAAGAGCTGAGGTGGCAAGTCACACAAACACGGTAGTCCTTGTGGCACAGAAACATCATTCACGCTTAATGAACAGGCTCGAGCGAGCCTGAAAGGACTGAGTAGGCATTTAATTTCATTTTCATTCTATCTAGTCGCGATCAACAAGCGGTCGCCTCCCGACCGCTCTTGAGTGTCCTCTGTCTGTGAGAGGATCATCTAGTGCCCATGTTAGTTGCACAGCTCCAGCAGTGGCTGAAAGGATGGTCTCACATGTAGACTAGGTCTCAACTCAAGAGGCCTTCATAACAGACCGAAGCGGGCTCGGGCGCGCCACTTGGTGGGTGAGGTGAGCCGGGCTCATCGGGCTCCTGTCTGCGAGGAGCTGATGGGCGACGTTCGGCTTGGGCACGGGCGCGGGCTGCGACGCTGTGCGCGCGGATTCCTCTTCGCTGTTATGCTTCAGAGACGGTACTTGAGTCGATCCCTCGTTCTCGAGGGCCTCGGTTGGTCAATCTAGGATGGTCAGTGTCTCGTAGTTGGCAAATAGGACTGCAAGGTCACAAACCGTCGTAGTAGTCATCGTCGTCATCAACCTCAGCCAACTGCTCGAAGTTCACCTTGTAGCGGAGAATACCACCGATACCACCAAAGCCCTTGACGAACTGATTGCCCTCGGTGGAACGGTCAGAGACGAACTCGAGGTTGGTACCGAAGTCCTTGTAGTGCTCTGCAATCCACTCAAGGAAGGATTCTTGGGTGACGACTTCCATCTCCTGGCCAGTCTCCTTGTCCATGAAAATGGCACGGTCACCGGTTTCCTGCTGCTTGGTGGTGTGCAGCAGGTGCTCGGTGCCCTGACTGTCCTTGAGCTTCCAGCGGGTGATCTCCAAGTTCTCGAAGACGATCAGAACCTCCACAGCGCCCAACTCCAGAGCCTTGAGGGTATCCTCAATACCGTAGCAGACACGACCGGTGTCCTGGCTGATCTCCTCGAAGTACTTTCCAATGAGCTTCTTCTCCTGGATGAACTTGACGTTGCCGAGGGTCTCGGAAGAAAGCTCGATAGCCTGGTTGAAACCGTTCTCACCGCCATAGGAAACGTCAACGACCTTGATGACCTTGGTGGCCAGACGGTTATCGAACAGGTCGGAGGCGTTGAGATCCGTCTTGAAATCGGCAGAACCAGCCAAAATCAGACCAGCGACGTTGGGCTTGTCGTTGGTAATGAAGTTCTGGACAGCCAACTCGGCAACCTTGCGGACATAGTTGTGACGCTTCTCCTCACGCAGACGGGCGAAACGAAGAGCGGATTGACCACCACGGCCGTGCTTCTTGGGAAGATCGACAGAGAACTTGTGAACAACTTCTCTGGTGTTTCCGGAAAGGGTTCCGAAAAGGGCTCCGTTACCGTCCATAATAATGAAACCAAACTTCTGATCCGACTCGAGAAGCTCGGCCAAAGCCTCGGTGTGGAACTTGTTGTCACAGAGGTAGAGGGAGGTGTTGATGGGCTTGAAAGGCTCAAAGTCGATGTTGACCTTTCTCTCCTTGCCTTCCTGGGTCAAGATTTCACCACAGTAGACAACCAAGCCGTTGGGAGGGACCTTGTTGTACAGCTTGAGACGCTGCTGGGTCGAGGTAATGGCTGAAAGCACGGACTGTCTGTTGACTCTTGACTTGATGTTTGACGCAGTTCCCTGTACAAAGTCTCGTTAATACCGGTCCGGCTCGAAAGATGTGCGATTGTCGCAGTCGTAACGTACGTATTCTTCAGCCAACATCTTGGCGGCTCGTGAAATCTGATCCTTGGGAGCTGTGGTGGGGTGTTAGTCGAACCCGGCATCGGCGACGGCATGGCGGTCGGGAAATAAAAACGTACGAATGATGAGCGAGATCATGGAAGTGCCGTTACCACGAGCGGCCTCGAGGCGCTTGATCAGCTTCTTGACCTTCCATATCTCGATCTGTGTTGCACCCCATAAAGGGAATCGTCAGCCTGCATGCTCGGAGCGCGGGGCAAAAAAGGAGGGGCTCCGAGGCCACGATGTAGGAATACGGGAAAAAACTCACGTTCTTCTCGGCCTCGTTCGCCTGGGGGTCCGACATCTTGAATGAGGGTAATTAAGGGACTCGAGGAACGACAAAATGAGGGAACGCGTTCGCGTGACGGTGAGGGATTTGTCGTCGACGTCGCGCGGTTCTCCGGGCGGGAACGATGCGTTGCGATGCGGTCGGGTGGTTGCAAGGAAAGAAAAGTTGGTGCTCCACGTAGGTAGGTCGATTTTTTGTGCTGTCACCGTGGAGCGCACCAGGATCCGGCTCTGGCTGGGTGTACGCCCAAAACCGGGTAGGGCGCTAAACCGCAAGCGAGTCATAGGGTGCCTACAGCCTGGCCACTCTAAATTCTAGCCACTCATCTCCCGACTTTCACACGTACCATCATGTTTTGCTGGAGCCGCCCGCCCCATGGTTCATCTTCAACGCCGTATGCCTTTTGAATTTAGGCACTTCAAACACTCATTATACACTCTGACCATCGCAATGACTACCGAGTGAGTCACTGAGATAGACACCCTCAGGCATCTATGTAATATTATTCGGCGATGTCTTGCAGGATAGGCAGGCTGCAGCGCGTTTAAATAGGCACAATGTAAGGCAGGTTGTGAGACAAAGCCAATGTGCTGTATTAGTTGCCCATTCAACCCCACTCGATCTTGTGCCGCTAAAAGTTGGGCCACTGAACTTCAGTGTGCCGTCCGGATATCGCTTTCTTTGGGCGGAACGGCTGATGACCTCAGCGGTGGATCCGCTATGCAAGTAAGGGTGCATAGGATCATCCCGTGTGCTGGATTAATGAATGACCAATGACCATGCAACTAACGAGCTAACTTTATCGCAACCTCCCAACGCGCCCATACCCGTCCCCGCGAGAGCTTCCCGAAGTCGCAGCCCAAGCCCATCATCTGCTGTAGCTCCTGTCCGTCATACACACACAGCGCCAGACTCGCGATATGGCTTCCTCCGTACCCATTCAAATCGCAGAGACGATACAGACAGCCCACATCAACCGGGCGCCCTCCCCGAGCCACGACCTCAATCCCTCCACAGCAGCCTCCGAGAAGGAGCCAGTGACATTAGAACCCGCCCCGACCCACGACGATCTTGACGATGATGAGCTCGACGACTACATTCCCCGCAGTGTGGTGAACCCGAAGCCGCGTACAGCAAAGCTTCCACCCATGCCCGACTTGCGTTTCGAGCAGAGTTACCTCAACAGCATCTCCAAGGCCGATACCTGGGGGCGGGTGGCGTGGATCACCGCAAGGGATCAGGTAGGTTGTTCAGGTGCATCAGGCGGCGGAGGGAATCTGTACTGATCGGATGTAGGTGATGATGCCCCTGATACAAGGCGTCGTTTACAACTTGTTCCTCATCGGCTGGCACCACTGGAACAAGAACGCTCAGGTCCACGGCAGTTCGATAGGTGCGAGGGTCCGGAGGTGGTGGTATGGCGTGAATAACTGGCAGCTGCCTCCGCAGAAGAGCTCAAACTGGAGGACGGCATTCACAAAGAAGGAGCTGTGAGGGACTGGAACACATAACATGAAAGGGTCAGGAAACATGATTGGTGTGGTATCTGTACATCTAAAATCGAAGCAGAGTGTCTCTGCAAGCCAGGTACTTTTCAGTACCGCTGCATCTCGTGATGCGCATATCCCCCGAGAGTACTAGCCGTAGTACCGTCTATGAATGAGCGAATGCTCCTACAAATAATAGTTCAATCATCCTGATGGTTCCCATCATCTATCCCTATCCGAACTCCGCCTGCCAAGTTTTACCGCCAAACGCCAAAGGACTTGTGGTAGCCAGTTCCCAATGAGCCCTACTCGCGCACACCAACATCCACTTGTTGCAGCATGGTCTGCAGCTTGTCCGGGCTTCCTCTAAAGGCCAAGGAGGTCTGCACAGCGGCCGGGCTCAAGGGCGGTTTGGTAGTCGCAACGTTGATGACAGGCTCTGGGGTCTTGTCTCTGGGTTTAGCGACAATCTCGTCAACCATTTCGTCGTCTCTCGTGGGGGCTTTCTCATCCTCTGGGGCGGGAGTCATCATGGCCGTTTTCGTCGTGGTTGGGGACTTCTTGACTGAAAGCTTCACGATCAAGCTCTTTCGAGGTTCATCGGCCAAGTCTTCATCTGCCATGTCCACGTCTTCGTCTAATTCGTCATCGTCTTCCTCGCTCTCATCTGGGACATGGTCCTCTTCTTCGTCGTCACCCAAATCAGGTTCGCTGCCGTCATCATCGTCTTCATCCATAGAGTCGCGTCCATGAGTCCGCGTGCCCTTGGATGACCATCCGTTGGTTCCATGGTTGACCGCTGCAGCTCTGCGTGGCCGTCCTCCAGGACCGGACGTCGGTTCTGAGGGCTGGCGGGAATCCTCTGAGTCTCCGTTGACACTACCTGCTGCACTGCTTCCATTCATTCGTGGCGGGGCTCTGATCTGACGTCCGCTGGCGGTGGTTACTGGGCCGGTTGGTTCAGCAGGGGTGCTCGTTCCAGTGTTGCGTGCCGAGCGTCGATTGGACGAGTCCGTAAGGAAGTCTTCGTCATCGGAATAGGTGTACTTGATTCGCTTGCCTCTCGTACGACCCTCGTAGGAAGAGAAGCCAGGCTCAGGACGTTTGAAGCGGGCTTTCTGAGCCTGTCGGTACTCTCTGCGACGTCGTTTCTGCTTCCATTAGTCATTGCCCAGAACAATACCTTGTCACACTGGACTGGAGTTCGATGATGGATGCTTACCTCCTCGGTACCCTCAAAGCGAGGAATAGCCGCCAGCATCTTATCTGCAAGCTTCCTAGCCTTGGGGCCGCCATCCTTGGTCTCCAATTTCTCGCAAAGGGCCCTGAGCTCATCGATTGATCCAGCTACTGACCACCAAGTGCGGTTGAAACCGGCAGGGTTACTCTCCCGATAGACGCGGAAAGCAGTATCGTCCAAGCCCTCGATCAAAAAGTACCGTCTCTTGTCACTGTCTGAACCCCAGGGTTGGACCGAGAGCGGCTGGTTCAAATCGTCATCGTGGCGGTTTCCTTTGTAGGATTTGTTGATGATGGTCTTGACAGTTTCAGATGCTGAAAGAGACCACAAGGCAAATGCGCGAAGAAGAGACAGCTATGCCAATTGGTTAGTGAACTGGTGCACAGACAAGTAACGCGCACTTCAGTGCTTACTCTCTGGGTGGGTGTGATGCTGTGAAAGGTGTTGCTACCCGACAGTGGGTTGACACCTTCCCACGATCGCGGCCATTGGGACTTGTGGGCGGCAAGAGCGTCGTCCAGAGCTTTGGAGTATTGACCGGCCCTATCACGCCAATTAGCAAACCAAAAAGACCATATTGTTTGCTGTCGCGTCCACGTACTTGACGTCCTGCTTTCGATTCAAGAGCAGGAACAGTAGCGCGCACAGGAAAGCTTCGACTCTTTCGCCAGGCGGGCTGCCAATAATGTCTTGTTCAAGCTCTTGCGGGCCAAAGTTGGCCAAGGATTTCGGGAACGCATCGTTGAATCGGCTGCGAAACATGACCAGAAACTGGAGGTGGGTGTTAGCTTGTCCTATGACGTGGGGTGCGTGGTTCTACGCGTTTTTTTGCGCGAAACGACGCGACAGGGTGCATACAGCAATGTCTGGATTGTCAATGAAGGCATTCTCGTGTGGCGGCGATGGCGATCGCTTGCGAGGCGGCGGCGAGGGCTCTTTGGTCGCGACGGTGGCTTTCTTGCCTTTGGCAAGCTTGGGGAAGAACTTCCGAATGTCACCCTTGGTCGCAGGTTCAGGCTCAGCTTCGGATTCGACGTCGGAAGGAACTGGCGACAACGAAGACAGCGAAGACAAATCCGAAGAATCGTCGTCAGCCATCTTGGCGATTTTTCCTCCTCGCGTTAATGGCTGTAGTGCGTGCGGGTGGTGTTGTTGTTGAAGTTGGATGGGGGTGGGTATCGTGGTAGGTGGAGGTGGTGGTATGCGCGCCGGTGTAGTTGAGAGAGGAAGTTTCGACCGCCCACTCGCGGGACTAATTAAGTCACGTTTGAGCCGCATCTCCTTTCGGTCTGGTTCTCTGATAGGCCCGAGTCATTAAATCTAAAATACCTACGACTTTCATTCCTCTTCGCATATTCCCCTTCTCATATATCAAAGACGCATAGCATGGCCTTGCACCCGATGAGCCTCCTCCTCCTTCAAGAAGCCCTTTGCCTGCCCATGCTCCCTGCCGCTTGCTGCTTGAATATGTGCCTGGCCAACATCTTGTGGATTGTGCTTCGTGAGTCCTCTTGTCCACGAAGACGTTGGAGAATCCACGTTGCCCGTACCCCACCCGAGGAGCTACCGTGGGATATCCTGGCCTACCTTGCCTTACCAAACCTTTTCTTAACACCAAACTGCAACCCAACGTCTCCTGCTGGGCACCATAGTAGAGGCCTTAAATATTGCATCGTTCTCTTAAGGCATCCTCATAATCGAATTATCGTGGGTTGATGATGCTCATTTGATGACAGGTGGGTCCCATGGTGCAGACTAGGACATAAGTGACCGCGCAAACTAAGACATCCTTCGGCCGGGAAGCTTCTCACGATTGTGGAATCTGAAAGCTGACGCATTCTGTTGATGATGCTATTCCCAACCACTGGGTTGGTAGCATTGGGGCTTTGTCGCTGAGACCCATTTTCCTTTCATTCGACCTGCCCGCATCGGCCTGTTGGTCACTGCGGCAGCCGACCTACAGCTTGCCGAGAGCCTATCAAAATCAGGCGCCACCTGATGCGTTTTGAAGCCATTGAGCAATGTGGCGATGTAGAGGTCTGTCTTTTGGTCGTAGCCCTGTGGATTGCCTAGCACTTGCATTGCATTCCACCCCGTTCTCATCCACCGCAACGTCCCCTCCCGCTCGTCACATGACAACGCAGCTCGGCCAAATCAGCCGGGACTAATTCATTTCATGCTGATCGCCCGCCTTCGCAACTTTGCTTCTGCAGGCATGCTTGACGCTCGGAGTGAGGCTATCTACAGCCTTGATCCCATCCTTGAAATATTCTTGCCCCTTGTGACTGCGTGAACAGGGCTATGTGTGGTTAGCATGAGCAGGCTGCAATCCAACAACAGGGTATTCCTTTTCGACGTTGGCTCGAGATAAGGAAATGCCTATTTGTCGATTTCAGCGAGCCTACGGCCTGTAGTCACCAACATCAACACCTCACTTGAGGCGACGGGACCACTTTGCAGTGATGCGTGCTCACGCATATTGGTCCCTACTCGGCCAAACTTTTACGTGAAGAACCCTCAAGAGTAAAATGCTTCGGACGCAACGATGCACTTCGCGAGGAACGGCCATCGCCGACTCCGGCGAAGGTTCCGATGACGTTGATCGCTGGACCACACCAAGGCACCAAAGACTCCGGGGTCCTTGTAACCTCACCGGATTCCTCCCAGAGACCCAAAACATGACCTGCCCACAAAACGCACCAACACCGGTCGAACACGGCAGACCTGACAGAGCATCAGAAAATGCAGCCACGAGAGAAAAGCAGGAGACAACGAAGGGATGAGGACACCTCATCGAGCAGAAGTAAGTGCTCACATAATCCAATTGTTTCAAATGTTTCGTGCATCGTCAGAATGACTCATAATGAGTGAGAGATACTGCACGGCATGATGGCGTTGAGGATATCGTGAACTTGGCTTCAGTAGGCCTTACTGAGACGTTCCGAAGGTGAGGGTAAAGTGCGGAGATCGTGACGCGGTGCAAACGTCCCAGGGTCGAGAATGAGTGGCCAAGCAGCAGTCAGCCTGTGGGTCCGATCCTATGGAGACCACTTCATCTTCCCGTCCGTGCTCTGTCAAAATTTTGGACAATCTCCCACGTATTTCCTTTCACGTGACGCAACACGTGCTCAAGCGAGGAGGGCTGGAGAGGAAGTCCCACGCACCACTGCAGTTTCCGAAATTTGAGCCATCCTGCTTGTTGACGGAATTTGACGATTCAACCTCACCACGACGACAACACCTAGCCCTCCGAACGCCAGAGGACTGCCAAGATGGGTCGCGTTGTAAGTGATTGCTCTATCCAACACTCGATTCTTTATTCGCGGAACGATATTGGCGCATTATCGACTTGCTGCTCGTCGCATTCGACATTCCAACACTTCGAAACCCGCGAACTTTTTTTTTTTTCGAGATGGACAAGGGACAGGACAAAAGGCGCTGACATACTCTTCCTCAGATCCGTAACCAGAGAAGAGGTCGTGGCTCTATCTTCACGGCCAACACCCGCCTGAACAAGGTGAGATTCGACATCCTCGAAATTCGCGATACGACGACAATTTTTCCTAACGATTTTCTGTGCAGGCCCCCGCGAAGTTCCGCAACCTCGACTATGCCGAGAGACACGGATACCTCCGTGGTGTCGTGAAGGACATCATCCACGACCCCGGCCGTGGCGCTCCTCTCGCCCAGGTCGTCTTCCGCGACCCCTACAAGTTCAAGCAGCACACCGAGACCTTCATCGCCAACGAGGGCATGTACACCGGCCAGTTCATCTACGCCGGCAAGAAGGCCGCCCTTACCGTCGGCAACGTCCTTCCCCTCGGCTCCATGCCTGAGGGTACCGTCGTCTCCAACGTCGAGACCAAGATCGGTGACCGTGGCACTCTCGGCCGCACTTCCGGCAACTACATCACCATTGTCGGCCACAACCCCGATGAGGGCAAGACCCGCATCAAGCTTCCCTCCGGCGCCAAGAAGGTCGTCCACTCTGAGGCCCGTGGCATGATCGGCATTGTTGCCGGTGGTGGCCGTACCGACAAGCCCCTCCTGAGTACGTTTTGGCCCCTGGTTGTGGAAGGATGAGATAGAGGATTGGATGAAGCAAAGCAGGGGAAAACAGTTGACTAACGAATCTCTACAGAGGCTTCCCGCGCCAAGCACAAATTCGCTGTCAAGCGTGGTGCCAACTGGCCCAGAACTCGTGGTGTTGCCATGAACCCCGTCGACCATCCCCACGGTGGTGGTAACCACCAGCATATCGGTAAGGCCTCGACCATCTCCCGCTACGCCGTCCAGGGACAAAAGGCCGGTCTTATTGCTGCGAGACGGACGGGTCTGCTCCGTGGTACCCAGAAGGTCAAGGAATAAAGGTCATAGTTTGGCTGGATTTCAGGGTTCCATTGGGATGGTGTTACGCGGCTGGCATCTTTTGAGGGTACTCGCAAGGGCAGTTCATCTGGTAGCTCTTCGGCAAGTACTAAAAGGCATTTTGCGCATTGAATGATCACGCCATGATTCCCCCCGCTACAAGAGGGAGAGGAGAACGCCAAACCCAACTGTGATGAGTGAGACGCCGGGAGTTTGTGTGGATGACGAACAAAAAACGGGGTTTGGGACAGCAAATGGAGTGAGGAGGAAAGTGGCCTTTGGATCTTTCCTCCTAAGCCCAGCTACCATACGTAGTTGCGGTTTCCTCTTTCAATTGATCGATTCGGAATTTATACTGAGGAGCTGCTCCTGTCTCGTGACATTCCTTCATTCGGCGAGTGGTCTGATGATATGACGGCCCAAATAACAAAAACGGCGCTTTCCCGCCCTTACTTAGTTTTACGAAACCTGACTCTTCATAAATCCTCGATAGAACCGCCAAAATCACGGGAAACCTACACTCGGTGATTTGATATCGATTCCCGATTCCCCTTGCTTCACGCTTCTTATAAGTGTACTCCACATCAGTCACTCGCGCGCAATAATGTTCGCTTGCCAGAGAGTCACCGCCTCGAGGTGTCTCACCCAACGCTGCACGTCCACCAATTCTCTCAATGCAACAGTAAAGAGAACCTTTGCTACTCGCCCTCGCCCCACCACCCCTGCTGCCCCTGTCCTCTCATCACCATCCGCAGCGACAGCACCCTCAGCCCGAGCTCCTGTCCACACCCCTCCAAGTCGACAGGCTCCAGGTCAGAGTTCTCGCCCTGCTGTGCAAGCACGTTTCTTCTGTTACCACCCCACCTCCTCCGACAGGTCCAGCAACCCCACCATCGGCATCCCCTCATCCAAAACTGGCCGACGGAACACCAAAATCAAAATCTTTGAAAGCTCCCACAACCTCCATCACTTCCACACCTCATCCATACATCCCAGAACACCTCAATTGAACAAAATGGCATCCCAGGATTTCCGCCTTCTCTGCCTTGAGAACCCTCTGCTTGGTATGTTATTTTCTCTCATAATTTAAATAGCTTAAAGCACCGAGGAGCACACCTTGCGCAACCCCGCCGTCTTCGCTTTAACCCCTCCCTTAACACCGAGCTGGAACGAAAATATTGACAACTAACACCGCAACCCAGACATCCAGGCAGTTGGTGATAAGGCTCTCCTCGAAAAGTACGGCCTCAAGGAGAACGATGCCATCCTCGCTGAGGAGAAGCACCTCGGCATCTACGAGGACCTCCTTAACAACTATGACGCCAAGTTGATTGCCGGCGGCGCCGCCCAGAACACCGCTCGCGGTGCCCAGTACATCCTCCCTCCCAACTCCGTCGTCTACCTCGGTGGTGTCGGTGACGACAAGTACGCCTCCATCCTCCAGGATGCCGTCAAGACCGCCGGTCTCCGCGTCGAGTACCGCGTCGACCCCAAGATCGCCACCGGCCGTTGCGGTGTTGTCATCACCGGCCACAACCGCTCCATGTGCACCGAGCTCGGTGCCGCCAACCACTACGACCTTGAGCACTTGACCCGTCCCGACGTCTGGAAGCTCGTCGAGAACGCCCAGGCCTACTACATTGGAGGCTACCACTTCACCGTCTGCCCCGCCGCCATCCAGAAGCTCGCCGAGGAGGCCGCCAAGAACAACAAGGTCTTCGCCGTCAGCTTGTCCGCCCCCTTTATCTGCCAGTTCTTCAAGGATCCCCTCGATGCCAGCGCCCCGTACTGGGACTACGTCATCGGCAACGAGACCGAGGCCGCCGCCTACGCCGAAGCCCACAGCCTCGGCACCACCGACCTCAAGGAGATCGCCAAGGCCCTCGCCAACCTACCCAAGGAGAACAAGCAGCGCAAGCGTGTCGCCATCATCACCCAGGGCACCGAGCCCACTCTGGTTGCCGTCCAGGGTGAGGACAGCGTCAAGGAGTACCCCGTCAAGCCCATCTCCAAGGAGCAGATCAACGACACCAACGGAGCTGGTGATGCCTTTGCTGGCGGTCTGATGGCCGGTGTTGTCGATGGCAAGTCCCTCGACCAGTCCATCGACATGGGCCAGTGGCTGGCTAAGCTCAGCATCCAGGAGCTTGGACCTTCGTAAGTTGATCCCCCCATCATGTCACACACGACACCTGACGGCAAACTTGTCAAATTTTCTTGCTTCATTCGCTAATTGTGAACTAGCTACCCCTTCCCCAAGCAGGCTTATTCCGCGTAAGGCAATTAGCCTCCAACCTAATGCGTTGAGCATTTCAGTTTCTTTTTGTTCAGAATAGTCTGGCGTTGAGGGGGTCCAAGGGAAAACGGTTTCAACAACGGCGTTGGCTCCTGAGAGAGCTTTCAAATGAGTGGCAATCGCACTTTGCATCAACTTGCAATCTGGGCTCGACACCTTTTACGACCTTGAGCCCATGGGTCATGAGATATTTGGTAGAAAACAATGCGAGGAGACGATTTCGGCTGGACAAAAAAAGACCAGCCCAGATGACATATCCTAGACCAGAGTCCACTTCCCCGTCGTATCCGTCGTATCGTGTCCAGTGAAATCCGTGCAAAACAGTAGTATGAGCCAGTATAATTCAATCATGCGATCGATTCATGTCACTGAAACTTTGTGTCAGTCGTGTAAGCACATGGAAGGTGCTGATGGACTTACATCGCAGTAGCAAATAAAGATGTGTTCAACTTCCAATCAAGCCGCCGGGTGGGCCGGACAGGCATTGGGATAATAATGTCTGATCAGGAAACGAGTCCTGCATATGTGGTCCCCAAAACTTAACGACGCATGTTCTGGCCCGGGGCACGCTTCACTTCATCAGCCATGGCCGACTGAAGAATCATGTCGTTGTATCCGGCCGTGTATCCGTCAGTAGCGGCACCTCCGTTCTGTCTGACCATGTTCTTGTAGTGCGTAGGGTCATCATGCATATCGGCAATGGGGCCTCGTCCAAAAGCCGTGGTCGCGGTGTACGCGATACCGTTGCACGGCGTGCTCTGGTAGATGCTGCTGACGTTGGAGAACTGAGTACCCGAAGCCGGCGAGAAGTTCTCTCCGCTCACAGGCATGTTGGGACTCTGAGGAAACTGGGGACGAGATCCGCTGAACGAACGGGCGTGGGCGGCCGCCCTGGGCTGCAAAGTATGGGGGTTGTTGGTTTCCGCATACGGACTGGACCACAAGTTATATGCAGCCGATCCTGACAAGTCACGACTCAAGGATCTCGAGTCGGTAGGTTGTCTGCCAAAGGCTTGCAGAAGGCGGTCCTGGTGAGCACTTATGTCGGGTGTACTAGCATACGGACGCTGTTGCTGCCGAGCCATGTACGGGTTCTCTCGTGCTTCTCCGAATGGATCGTCCAGCCTTGGGGTACCCGAGGGTTGAGCAGTCCTCTGGAAGCCAGCACTGCCATCGAATGATCTTCTAGCAGCATCCCTGATGGCACGGTCTGGTGGCGTCAGCTCTTGGTTCTTACCCTGGGGTGTCGGGGTGTAGATCATGTTCCAGGGAAGGCTCGGGAATGTCTTTGCTGTTGCGGATCCGAGGGCGGGCGGGCTGTTGGTCGGGGGCACACCAAATACCTCGTTGGCCATGGCTGAGTTCATTCCGTATGAGGTGTCCTCGTGGCTCTCTGCAGGAGAGACGTGGGCCTGAGGAGGCATCAGGAAGTCATTAACCATGTGAAGCATATCAGCGTCAGAACTGAAGTCGTAGTCTGACTGGCCCTGCGCTTTGCTGCGGCTGGGAGTGGGGTGCGACCGCACCTGCGGCGGAGCAGCCACTTGGGGCGGTACGGGCAATGCAGCAGTCGGGGTCGCGTTTCTGACAGGAGCCGGCCGCCGTGAATCCTTTCTTTGCGCCGGAGGAACGTCTGCAGCAGAGCTTTGCTCAACTGGAGGATGGGAGGAGGTTGTCGCGACAGCTGAAGAATTTGGCGTGTAGCCGTCCTCGTACTTGAAAGTAAGCCCCCTTGGCGACGAAGTGTAGGAGAAAGGAAAATTGGTGTCGTCGTTAGCGAGGAAGAAACCACACTTGATCGTTTGCAGTACCCTGGAGAAGGTCTCTTGGAGAGGGCTGAAACGCTGCCCACCATAGTGCTGGATTTGAGGCTTCAGATTTCCAGTATCCTCATCGTAGTTGAGACGGCAACTGTCCGGCAACTTCGTGTCGCAGAGAGGAAGCATTCCTATAGCTTCCTGGTCCTCGGAAAGCAGGTACGGAGTGAGTTTGAGATCTTCGTTGCCGTACATCTCGCAGAGAGAGGTGAGTGCCTTGGCGAATCCTCTGTACATGTCCTTGATGGACAGCTCAGGAGCCTCTTGAGCGTTCACAATCTCAACACGGCAAGCCACGAGCCAGGCTGCATACAGGCGCACAAACGGGAGAGTGTTCTCGGTCATTGAAGATGCTTGGTCTTCAGTGCTCTCTTGTTCGCCGTTTGCTTGTTGCTCAATGAGGCTTTCCATTTCCCTCTTAAGGAACTTGCAAAACGTCATGAAGAAACGAGCGTTCAAGCGAAGAAGGAACTGAGAGGTTCGGAACGCAGCGGTGGCCCAGTCGCCTGCTGTGAGTTAGTGATCGAGTTTCAGGATTCAAAGACATATTGTTGCATACCTTTCGCCTTGTTGTTGTAGACGTAGAATGCAGACATGTTGAGCAAGACCATCTTCAAAAGGATTGCCTGGGTGTTTGGGGCCTTGATGGCCATCTCAAGATGGTTGATGACTTCCTTCTCAAGCCCCTCGTGCTGAGGGAACGGCTCTCCTTTGCTGAAGTGAGAATGCAGCTTTACGAACCAGGTGACAAAGGCCTCTTGAGGATCAGGAGGACCTGTGCGACGAGCCGGCGTAGTTGGCGCTGAAAGACTCTTCAGTTCCGATTCAAGGTTCTGTGCCGCCATTGGATGAGGGTCTTGAATTGCCATGGCGCGGTAGAAGTGGTATATGATATCGAGGTGCTTTCTCTCATCCAAGTAGATGATGCCCATCTGGTGGTGGGCGAAGCCGGAATTGGGAAGGATGTCGTGGGCGAGAGAATAGTATGTCAAGGCAGCTTCATAGCTCGGGACCTTGTGTCGCGCCTGCATCCGGTATCGAGAAAGGTCGCCGAGGTGAATGAGCACCAGATGCACGTATTTGAGGATAATCTGGCGAACGGCAGGTGTCGTGTTGGCCATGGGGTTCGCCTCTGCCAGCTTTTCGGCCTTGATGCCCTCGGCAATGCGCTGAAGCTCGGGAATCGGGTAGACGGCTGACATGCGCTGGACAAACGCGACGTAGAACTTTTGCGCCGTCTTGAGAAAGCTGCTGTACATCCTATCCAACTTGCGCTTCTGGACGGCGAGCTGCGACGATCTCAGCTTGCCCAGAACCTTTCGATATTCGGCATTGACAAGGCTGTGAGCCTGCCAGAGGTTGGCTTCGACCTTCTCGGTCGAGGAATATTCGAAGTCATGGAATATGACGTGGAGGCAGGCTAATCGGAGGCTGATGTCAAGTCAGCAAGGGTATTGCGACCCAGTACATTGGGCCGGATTCGCTACGTACGAGGAAATGACGCTTTCCAGAACCTCGAAATGCTTGAGCTCGTTGCCGTCGGTGTCGCTTTTGAGCTTGTCTACCTCCTTCTGCAGGTGCTTTCGAAGCTTTTGGGCTTGGCTGTGGTCAAAAAGTCAGCATCGGAAGGTAGGTGCCCGGAGTCGCATGGACCCCGAAATGCCCACCCAACTGGATAAGGTATGCCAAAGGCAATGCTTGGCGCAATCCAAATTTCGAGATGGGCATGAGGGGGAAATGGTAACTTACTGCCATGCCTGCTTTGCAGCCTCAACATGTTCCGCCATTTTGGAGAATGGCAGAGCTGGGCCCTGGCGTTGGCGATTGGGGGAGGAATTTTGGTGTTGGTGGTGTTGCGATTATTTTCGCGATGGGGTGTTTTGTTGTTGTGGAAGGTGCGGGACTCCAAAAATTCAGGAATGGGACAAATATAAAGAGCCCAAGCTACGTGCTGTGCTCACACGCTCTCAAGACCAGTCCCTGAAGGTGCGCGCGATCCATAACTTGGGAGGTGAGGTCGTCGGAATCCAAAGGGTGAGGGCGACAGTGGTGGTGGGATCGGGACAGCGACAGCGGCGTCGTCGGGTCCAAGGCTTGTGGTGGCACGTAATCGAGGTGATGAGAGAGTCGGGAAGAACAACATTGGGCAGAGGGTCGGAGGGAAAGAGCGACGAGCGATGCGCCACCCAAAGCAGACATTCAAGAAAGGCAACACTCAGACGGTGTAGAAGGACGAGAGTGGCAGACAGAGGCAGACAGAGAAGAAGGAGGAAGAGGATGGCGATGTCGGGTCTCCATGAGGGACGCGAGCAGAACTTAGCTCATGGGACAATAAAGTGTGCACCTCTCAGTCTTTCCCGTCTATCCACATCATCCATCCATCCATCCTCTCTATCCACCTTCCATGACTGAGCCTTGGGGAATCAGTTAATATTTTAGATGGAGCCCCTCAACAGGCGGGCACACATGGACCGTGCACTGCGCTTTTTTGAGATTGGTCCCTGTTCGGTTCTGCAGTCCCTCACTGAGTCCCTCATTGACACACTCTCTCCCTTAACGGAGGATACTTGCAGCTCAAGCATGGCCCATGCTAGGCACATCATTCATGAGCCCTGCCTTGTTGTTGCTTTGTTAGGAGCTTAGGCCCTTGTTTGCAGTCAGGTCCTTTCCATCTACAAGTATGGAGTACAATGATCTCAATGATGAGTTGTCCATCCGTCCCTGAACCTGCCAAATGAGCCTTGAGCATTGAGCCTTGCAGTGGTCTTTGACAGTCAGTGCCCCACCACGGCTCCGGCCTTTGATCTGCTTTCCGCCCAAAACATTTGATTCCATTCACCACTGTCGGACGTATTGTCGCCGACATTGCAGACCTGACTGGCTCAAGCCTCGGCGAAACATATTTGTATTCTTGCTATCCTTACGGAGTACATCCTACGGATACCATACACTGCAGGCTGGCTCAGTCGTCCGAGCCCCTCCACGGATCCTACCAAAAATTAATTTCAGGACATAACTCAGCAGAGCAGTGCGACGCGGGGGAAATTCGGGTGCCTGATCTGCAAGTAATCAACCCTCCCCGTCACTTGGCCTTCACTCAAGATGAAACGCTCACGAGAGGCCGAAGAGGAACAGCCGTCCTCTGGCATTTCTGCAGACGAGCGTAGCAGCCCCAAGACGTCAACTCCAGATGACCGCGCTACCAAGATCACTGGACTAGAGCCTTCCGTCGAGGGAGCATCTGAGGATTTTGCCATGAAATGTTCCCTTCCGCCTCACAAGGAGGCCCTGACGTTCAAGACATACGACGACTATGAGGCACACTACATAGCGACGCACACCAACAGGTGTCTGGAATGCGGGAGGAACCTACCGTCAAGCCATCTGCTTAATGTGCACCATGAGGAATGCCATGATTCCTTCGCCGCTGTGAAGCGGGAAAGAGGAGAGCACACAGTAACATCATCCCCCACTTCCTCTCATCATCGGCTCCTTTCTTACTGACATCGGTCACAGTATTCCTGCTTCGTAGAGGGCTGTGAGAGAAAATGCATGACGCCGCAGAAACGCCGGATGCACCTCATTGACAAACACGGGTTTCCCAAGAACTACTTTTTTGCTGTGACTAGGGAGGGTGTCGACGGGCGACGGTCACTGCTCGTAGAAGCAGGTCATCACCGGCGGAAATCGTCAAATGCTTTCAGTGCGACCAAAGAGTCGAAGCGCAGATCAAGCATACTGGACACGACCACGTCACAAGGCGGAGAAGAGTCACAAAGGGCAGGAGATGCTGCGTCCAAGCTAGAGACCAGTTCGGTGCCCGCGCAACCAGCGGTAACAGAACGTCCAGACACGGAAATGGAGGATCTCGCAGGCGCAATGTCGGCGCTGAACTTTGTGCCCAACAGCGTGCGGTTTGGCAGGGGCGGAGGACGAGCGGGCTTTGCAAAACGATGAGAGACGTCACGAATGATACCACTACTTCGATTAGCGTTCAAGCCATGATGATACCAAAATGGTCAATTGAAAGGATCACTACCTCTTTCCCATAAACAACGGCCCGAGTGATCGTAACCAGGGCTGGAACCAATCCTGCCATGTAAAGCGCCGAACGCCTGTCCTCCACGGGGTGCCCGTTGTCGACCGGAAGCCGCCCTGACAGCCGGGTTCGTGAAGGTAATCTTCCTGGAAAACACATACACGACTAGAGATTCTTCTTTTCTAGTCACTGGATGCGCAGCCATGGCATCCGCAAGCGACGCATTGGACCTCTTGGTCCCCCTTGAGCTGAGCCTTGGGAACTCTGCATATGCACGTCGAATTGAAGTTTGTCTCCTTGGTCTGGACACAGCGCAAGCAGCAAAGCTATAGACACATGTCAGCAGGATGACTCGTCGTCCTTGATGAGCACGCCAACTCACCTTTTCGTAGCCCTGCTTCTTCCACTTGGCAATCAGCATTGCGTCCGCGTAGCCGTTCTTGAGCAGCCACTCGTACAGCTGCTTGCTGATGGCCTCCTTTTCGTAGTACAGGTCGTAAATGTAGCGGCTCCTCGCGTGCGCGATCTGAAAAATCTCCCACTGCGCCTGGTGCTTCGGTCCCGTCGGCGGCGGCTTGTTCTGCGCGTCCTTCATCTTGTTCTGAAAGATGAGGAGCTGGTCTTCGATGTCGTTGAAGCCTTCTGGAGGCGGCTTGCGCTTCGAAGATCGCATGGGAGGCATGTTGGGCTCTTGCTTTGTGTGTGTATATTGTAGGTGTTTGAAGTGGCTACTTGAGTTGGGATCCGAAGGGCTTTCGCAGTCTCGTCGAGGCTCGCTTCGCTTCGCGTCGCGGTTGCAGGCTAGGTAGGTAGATGACGAAGGAGTTGAAGTTCAAAAGCCCAGGCCGATAGTGGGGCAAAAAGCTCCGATATCTTATCAGGCATGCCACCAACGCCTTCGCACCTGCGCGCAGGGCGCTGGATCCGGGCTGACTAAGGAGCCACACGTGATTGGGCCGTCCGGAACCTTGGAGCTTCCCAAGATTCCCGTTCCACCCAGCCAGCCAGACCAGCGAGTCGACGACCAGGCCGTTCGGGAATCACGTAGCGCAGCAAGCAAAACCGCCCTCTTCACCAGCATCCCCACGCGCCCACCATGGCCATCACACCGACCCAATTCGCAAAGACGACCCGGCAGTGTGAGTTATAGAGACCAATTGACCCCGAAAATCCCACTGATCCGTCGAGCAGCGGCCAACTGGAACGACGCAAAGAGACGGGTTCTCGCTTCCTACAGAGAATGGATCCGAGCTGTATGTTGACCCCCAATGCGTCCCTATTATCGAAGTTCCGGCGTAGGCGGACGATTCGAGCAAGGCGCGCAACGATGCGAAGACGATTCGAGCGAGAAGGCCGACTTGAAGGGAAACTGGAGGCATGAATCAGTGCTAATTGAGGTACCATTGGGAAACAGGCGCCTGAGATTCAGACGATGTACAACGTTCCCTTGCCCGTGTCCGTCCTCCGCACCCGGATACGTGAGGAGTTTGAGCGCCACAGGTTCGCCAGCAAGCTCCCCGTGGTGGATGTTCTCCTGTTCAAGAGTCACGCCGAATACCAGGTATGCCGTCCCGAGCGACGTTCCCCCGACGCACGCGCGCATCGAAGCATACCGAGGGAGGGATGGATGGATGGAGAGAGGAGAGGTTTTGTGTCATATGGGAGACCAATTGGGTCCATGACCGTTATGATTGGGAAGATATAAGACCGAGAGCTGACATGTGGTTCTAATCACGCAGGAGACGATGAACTTCTGGAAGCAGACGACGCACATCATGTCCTACTTCAAGGAGGAGAACTTTAGAGGAGACAAGCGGTTGCCCAACAGCTTCATGACTGGATTCTTGGAGGTGAGTCTGTCCCAGAACGGCTACGGGCATGGTAGAGCGAGGAGAGAGCACCAGGGGCAGGAACAAGGGGATCAAGGGCATCCAGAGATATTTGATGCTGTTTCGAGATGGATCGCTAACCACATTTTTAACAGGGCCGCAACTAAGAGTGCTGGAAGGATTAGAGCTCGTGTACATAAATATACAATTCCAAAAAACATTTCCGCAAAAGTCACACGAAAACCCCGACCAAATCGGATGGACCTATTTCATCTGTTTTGTCTACGCCGTTGATTCTATTTTTGGTGTCTCCATTCCCATGTCAAAAACAAATCCACAAAACGCCTTTTCCATCTTTGCAACAAGATGCGTCCGCTATGAACGACCAAACTCCTCTTTGGCGCGGATAAACTCCTCGGCGACGGTGTCGCTGAGGGCCTGAAGGTCCTTGAGACCCTTTTGCAGCGCCGCGACGGCGGTACCGTCTGAGTTTACAGAGTTAGTAATGGAACTTATGAATCAGGAAGTAAGAGAGACTCACCATAGGTCTGGATTCTAATGTTCATCTTGGGCTCCGAAGGGTGAGGGATGGCGTAGGCGCAGAACTCAACGTCGGGGCTGTAGTGAAGGAGGGGTGAGTTTTAGTATAACTCAGGCAGACCAGGGGGTCTCTCATGACAGGAAATTGACGCCCTTTGAGATAAAAAAAATAAACATACTTCTTCATAATGACATATCTCAGCGCATTGCCGAGCGTGTGCCCCTCATCGATAAACTCGAATGAGGCGGCTGTGTCTGTTGAGCCGGGCAGCTGCAAATCTCATGGTTAATTCATGTCCCGTACTCTGACGGCATTCTCATGCCGCAAAAACGGTAACGACGAGACTCACAATCTTGACGCGCTGGGGCTCCTCCTCCTCTTCCTCCTCCTGCTCAGTCGACTCCTGTCCCTCCTCTTCCTCCTCCTCCTCAGGCTGGTGAGAGGTGGGCGCCTCGTCCATGGGGACGTCTTCCGAGTCGGTTCTGCCGGGCATTTTTGCGTTCTTTTTGGTTTCTCTTCAATGAAGCTAAATCTATAAAATGTCGTGCAAAGGCAGTGACGCAATAAAGTGAATTTTGGCTGGTTGGTTCTTTTCGTCGCGGGGGTATAATTCAACTTTCAACAGTTCGACTTGCACTGCGCGCCTGCAGGTCGGTCTCTCGAAATTTTTTGATAACGAACCGGACCCGCGGATCAATTTGATAAGCTGGCAGCTGGCGGCCACCGCATGTACTTGCCACCAGCTGTCAGCAATGGACTCACCAACCCGGCCCCTCTACCACATGCAAGCTTCGCGTCGCATCGCATCGCAAAATGTCACGGTCAAGAGGCGTGACAACGAACGAAGAAATTTCCATGGGAATACCACCTCGCCTCGCGCCTGGCGCCCTCTCCAAAGATCCCCAAGTTTCTTTCCTCTGCACAAGGGCCATCTATAGACTATGGAGGAAGAGGGCAGAAAAGTTTATCGCTCGGCAGATGCCTACAACCCTGGGGATTCCACGAGACGCCCGTTCTCCTACCCATCATGTTCATGTTCAGTTATTTGAAAAGAGAGACCAATATTGCTACGATTCTGCATCTACATACTTGAGTTTTGACCACATCGTCATGGTATGCAAGGCATTACCTGCTTACATGGTTGCTTGCAACCCCCAAACCAACGTAAAAGGCCCTCCCTGAACCAATGGAAACCCAGCATCGTTGTGATGGACGCTCTTCCGCATGGGGAAAAATCGAGAACAATGAAGAGAGCGCGACCACCACCACCTACCTTACTTACAGGCGCGCGGCAAGATGCAGTCACGCACGTAGTTCCGGTTGTTGGACGCACGAGCAAAACTACCTACACCACCCTGCAGCTTGCAGCTTGCTAGTTCACATCGCATCCCTCTTACTGGTTCCGCAGAAGAATGATCCCAAAGATCGATAGCGCGCTTCTTTCTTTCTTTCTCTCGTTCCCCAGTTTGTTCTTTTCCGGAGGAGAGGATTCCATCACCCTGCATTTCTTGGTAACCAATCCTGGGTTGTTGGGGCACCTCAAAACTACGGTAAGCTTGAATTGGTTGACTTGGCTCATCTCGATGGTTGAATGAAGGCAATCAAGGATGTCACTGTAGTAAGCGAATGCTTCAGTATCCTCATAATCAGCAAGACGTTGAGAGCGTACTCCGTACTCACGCCCAAATCTCGCAAGAAAGTCTTATCAAGTCGAATCCCGTATTCGTAGAACACTAGGTATGGACCTCCAAAAGCAAAATGTCTCGGTCCGAATATCAAAGTCAGAGATGCTCGAGCCTCAAGGGGCCCCGGCGGCGCCTTCCCGACCCCGACAGCCCAAGTCCCGGGTTCAAGTCTTCCCTTCTCGGTGAGACAAGAAAGAAAGAGAAAACCTACCCCTTCTTTCCCCCCGTGGAACAAGGGCCCTCTTCACCGCATCGTGTCCACGGACCACCCAACTCCCGCGTGGTTGACGTCCCCGGGGCGGCGGCGGCATAAGCGCGCGGAGGCGATAGGAGAGGCTGAGAAAGAGAGAGATCGGATAAGGCATCATACATGGCATGCATGGACATCATACGGCATCGCTAGAGCCTTGCTCTTCGTCCTCCCCTTTCTCCCCTTCCGCCTTCCGTGCCCACCTCTCTGTTGGAAAAAATCCCTATCAAGGGAACAAAAAAAAACAACCGGGGCAAGGGAATAAAAAACCTGATCGCGATCCCAGAGAGCCAAAGCGTTACGATGCAAAGCCGACAAGGCCGTTCCGGTTTCCCACCCTTCACTCCTCGCATTCCCCTCCCGGTCAGACGACCTACGTTCGGATTCTGTTCGTTGGCTGCCAAACCACACTCGACCAATTCGTGATCGTCCGGCGCTGTCACATCGGAAACGAGGTTTGATTGGCCGCCGACCGCACTTTATTGTTTCAAGACAGGGTCGGTGTAAGCCATATGATTGGCTCGTTTCCTTCATTCTCAAACCGACACCCAGTTGGTGGGTTTAGCTTGGTGCATCGTTGAACCGGGGTTGGTCAGGTACATCTCGCGCTAGGTCCGGGAAGTCACTTGTGAATGTGAGTGTGTGCTATGTAAGCAGCAGTCAGTCGTCCTCGCTCACCAGCCGCATGGTTTGACGGATGGTTTGCAGATGACGAAGGCGAACAACGGCCATCGTCTGTGAGTCCTACCCAGAGATGGGACGGAGACATTCAAGGTGGAGGGGGCGTGTTCAGCGTGTATGTGGGAAACGTATGTGCAAGCCGAGGGAAGAGACGTCTTAACTCGGCGAATCGTCTGTGCAGGCAAAGCGAATGCTACTCACAAGCCAAAAAAGAACAGCCGTGTTTTTTTCTTCTGCTTGATGCCGCTGAGGAATTTCAGGATGAAGATGTCTGTACCACCGTTCACTGTACCAAGGAAACCTGCCTGCAAGTGGAAAGAAAAAAGGTTGTCGTCCCGAAAAGGATGAAGAGAAATTTTTAGGGGATGTAACGTCGACGACGAACCTGGAACTGTGGTGGGGTTTGGGGGTTACATGGGGGGCGTGAACATGTCGTTCGGTGAGGGGGTGCGAATGGAGATCGGTGCTGAGATACTGGATGAGAAACGGCTAATCGTATCTATCCGCACAGAAGACTGATAAAACCAAAGAGGTATTAGCAGAGTATCCCTCGACGTCGTGGTTATACTACCCTCATCTATGATAATCATATCAATCCCATCTAGACGTTGTGAATCGGCATGGACGCATTAAGAAATGGGAAATTTGACAGTTGACGACGTGCGCAGGAGGTGGCTCTGGCGTCGGTGACGACGACGGCGTGGAGAATACTGCAACTCTCCGACTCGTATTCTTCTGCATTTCACTCATCAACTTCATGCCAATGGTACGTGCGTCTTGTGCCACAACTCAACTCAGCCTCTTCTCTGCCAACTGTGATACAAAGAGAGAGAGGCTGGTGACACATTGACACATGGGGTTGCGGCTTAACGGTCGTGGGATATGGCCGGGATCTTCAGGGACGTTTTCACATGGATCTTCCCCCTCCAAAACCCCTGCTCTTCCTGGCCTTGCCTGCCCATGACATTGCCGTGCGGAGAAGGCAAGAGACAGAGTGAACCAGCACCAGCTAATCTCGCCAAACTCAGCCTTCAGGAGGCTCAGGTCAGGTCAATAGAATGAGGGGCGGGTTTCAGCAAAGGCCTGCCGCCCTACGAGTGGCTACTGATCGCCAGTGGTGGCTGTCACGACCGGAAATCCAGCGAGCGGAGACTCAAGACACGATTGAGCACACCAATGCTGCCCAGGTCAATACGAATGCCAGCTGTTGTCAACGCCAACCCAAGCGACTGCACAGGGTGCTTTCTACGCGGCAGCGGGGAGCAATCAGAGTCGAGGAAATAACTTTCTGGCTAGCGGAAACGCCGTCTCTGGTCCAGAGCTTGCTTGGTCGTGAGCCGCCGCGCGCGACACAGGAGCGAGAGACGACCCATGCTGTTGGCTGACCAGACTTGAGACTCGGACGGCCGATTGGGCAATCTATCTTGTGCAGATTCATCCATGTGGAGTCTCTGGGTCCGTCAGGTGTGATCAGGGGTGGCGGACGTGGAGGGGTGATACTGGCGGAGGAAAAGGTGGAGAGGTACTATATTTCACCGGTGAGAGTCTCGTTTGAAGTTTGGTTGAAATATTCCGAACCTATCGACGGAAATTTCAGGCTCTATAGTTGGGTTGGCAATGAATCGGTTTGATCGTTTGTAGTCTGGCCAGTGGTACCATGGGGCCGAAAGAGAAAAAAGTAATTCGAGAAACACACGACAAGGTCTTTTCGATTGTCGAGCATCGGATGCCCCTCCATTCATGGATGCCTCTGTGAAAGTTTTCGGTCCAGTTTCCGACGGTGAGCCAAGATAGTGGGCGAGAGACATTCGCACAGGCTTCGGTTGGAAAATGTGCTTGTCGCGATGCAGATGCTGTGCGCAGGTTAGCCTCTTTCTTGGGAGCCCCACCAACGGGAACGAAGGTAGCTGAGAAAATGTTGTTACCTTCCAATTGCCGTCGTCGCCCCCAATGTTCGGGTTTTCTCACTTGGGGGCCGTAAGTGGCTTGAACATCTGCCGGATAGGAGAGAGTCGTGAAGGGCCGACGCCCGGACGGGCCAGAGCTGCCTAGTGATCGCTCCGTCTGATGTGGCCCGCAAGGAGGCTGCAGCGCCGGCGTGCGGCAGTGACGAAGAATGAGCATTTAATAATACCACAAGAGCTATTAGGAGTTTGGAGATGGCCGGCAATGTGTGCGGGAAAGCACAGGCACAGGCACCAAGCGCAGGCGCAGGCGGTACCAGGATATCTAGACGCGATGGCGTAGGCACAGGCCACCCGGGCTGGCCGTCTGGCAGTGTCTTTCAGGGTCCGGTGACAGGTTGAAAGCTGCCGTCTCGAGATCATCGGCTTGCTCAAGGCGTGGTTGACGCCTCGGCGACAGCGGTATGGCACCAATATCGCGACTGATGGACGACCCATGGAGCACCTCCGTCCATTTGCGCCCCACGGCAGTCTTAGTACGTAGGAGGTAGACTTAGTCGAAAGCATGCCATCTAATACTGCGTGGTGCTCCACGGCGGTGAAGGCAATGGACGTTTCCATATATCGCTGTGATGCTACGGTTGAAACAACCGAGTCCCGGTTTTGGATGATCCACTGGCAGGGCAGGCCCCGTCATGGCAGGTGCGGAAGTGGTTAGTGCCAGGGGCTTGATCTCGCAAGGTGAGCAAAAGTCAAAAGGTGTGAGAGAGCGCGGGCTGAATTCTGGGTGTTGCCAGGGCTGCTTGGGTACCAGAGTCGTGTTGTACGTAGGTAGTTGAGCTGAAGGCGGAGACCTGAACTGCACTGCGTACGCACTGGTGGTACGTACGTCAACGAGGGTCTTGGAAATGGGACCGTGATGGTTTGGGTCATCTTTGGTTTATACGATACAGATAGTGTTGCGTGGTAGCAGTGTAGCTGAGCTGACTAGCGGTTCTGAACTGCCTCTGCTTCGGAAGCGGACGACGAAGCAGGTGCCAAGCCACTTATCGCGATGCAACGAGAACTCGGTGTCCTATAGTCTGAGCCACGGTGATTCTCATCGGATGAGGCCGCCATGATTCTGTGTTGCTGTAGTTCACGGCACGGCAAGCCTACCGAACCGAGCTTCGACATCGAAAAGAGGACGAAAACGAGTGAGGGATTGTGTTGTCTAGGGACGAAGTTAAGTGTATTGAAGCCCCGCCAGTGGTGTTTCCGTCTGGTCTTTTGGATAGCATATCCGTTACCTTATTGTTGCGCTTCGGACCTTCCTTGGCTCGATCTTGACATCGGTATCTAAGTGCAATGGAGGATGGTTCCGATTGCTTGTCTGTTGAGTCCCCCCGTCTTTGATAGAGTGCGGTAATCACGGTAGATACATGGATAACAGAGGTAACGGCCCGTTGGGAGCAGGCTGAGCAGGTATTCCTCATACTCGGCAGGGTTACAGGTCACCCTGGCAGGTCGGGGATGTCTTGTCTCGCACAGGAGAATTGTCATCCGGTGTCGTCAAAGGCCAACCCATGGCTCATGGTGCTTGATTGATGAAGTGCAGTCTGTGCCAATCCTGACAATCTGGTGGGAGAAGTTGTGTGTCCTTGGGGAAGGATACGCAGTCGTGTAGTTGAGGAGGGTGAGGGGCACGGGCGAGTGGGTGAGCGGTGGCTCGTGTGTTGCAGGATGGTTGGCATCGAACCCAATCAGAAACAATAGTCTGCTATTCCTGCCGCAGCGTGGGCCAACCGTCGCGGCCTTGTGAGCTTCGCCTGCGGTAGCCGTCGATTGGTGGTGAGGCACGACACAGCGTACCTTTCGATAGGATGTGACGGTAGAAGAGTTCCATGGTGGAAGACACTACCACGCGCTAGGTACCCGTCCTTTGGCCACCAGGCATCGTACCGTGGTAGCGTTGCTGAGACGGCTTCCCGTACTTGAGCGGTGGTAATAGGTAACTGCCATGCTGTGGTAGGTATGGAGTGACTTGCGAGAAGTATCCGCATCTAAGTAGGTAGGCAGGTATGCCATGCCAGGCACCTCAGGCACATTAGCAAAGGTGCCTTGCCTTAGCTTCCCCGAGGTGCTGTGGTAGCTTCCCCCTCATCATTCTAGTTGCTGGGACTGCAATGCAAGCCAGTTCTCGTCTGTGCATGGATATCGAGGTTGGAATTGAGAACAAGAGGGGAGGGAGCATTGCCATTGTTGTTCATCATGCCATGGGTCCGCGATAGTTGTTTCTCTCGGATTCTGTTATTAGGAGGTCGTTGAGAGTATCCATTTCGTGGTGGGTTGGATGATTGATCAGCATCGTCGGCCAGAGAGCTCCAGTCCTGTCATCCCGTCTACATCAACTTGTATGTGAGCCCGAATAGGAAGTGCAGACTGTGTGGGAGTTGTGGACCAGGGGTCCCGAAAGAGCTCAGTGAGGATTTGGACAAGGAAATGGGAGGAAGAGAACAGGTGAGGAGGAAAAGAGCAGGAACCCACTCGGGGGAAACTGGACCTTCAATGTCAAACAACCTACTGTGTACGGAGCACGGAGGTGAAGCGGCGCCCCCGCTCACCATAACCTACGCCCCATTTGAGATTGAACACGATCCGGATTCTCACCGTCTTCCTCCGCTCTCTCTCTCTCTCTTTCTGTCCTTGAACTGGAGTCTTTCCAGCAGCGTGGATGACAGCCCCAGCCCTGTCCCGTCCCGTCCTGTGCTCGCCTGTGCTGGGTTTAGTGTCTCTGCGTACAGGTAAGGTGGTCGAGTTGTTTGAGGCAAACCACATTGCCACTCTGCGAATAGTACCAGGTAGCCCAGTAGCACCTCCACCATTGCTACACGCCTGCGGACCAACCAACAGCTGGAGAAGGCCCAGAGCACCCGAGCCGACGGATGCCACTCTGCATCTTGTCGTCGCTCCTGACACTGAGTGGTGCTTCACCAGGCGGAGGCGAGGGGAGAAACGTAGAAGCAAGAGGAGATCGAGAGAAGAACGGCCGCAACCGTCAGATGTTGCTGTCCAATCAATTCCGTGTTAATCAAGTGTTGAAAGACCGAGGGCCTGGGTTCTGAGGTGGCCTGGAAGTCTAGACTGCCTCCGCCGCACCACCAGCCAATGTCACCACCACTCTCTGTCGTGTGTGTGTATGTGTGTGCTGGATAGTGGGAGAATACCACAGTGGAATCGCATTTGTGGCATGCGTGCCATAACCAGGATACTTCGTAAGGTACTGAGAGAGAGAAAGAGAGAGAGAGGGCAAGTCAAGCTGGAACTGCTGGCAGGTGCATCCAGCACATGGGCATTATGCACACACCTCTTTCCGATGAGGGGAGCCACCCCTCCCCCTTCCTGCCCTGGAATACCTACTGTGTACGGAAGTACGGAGTACGTATATATCAGCCAGTCAATCGCATCTCTTGCAGCATAGATCCCGGAAACCCTCAGCACACCCGACACTTGTTGTAGTATCGATGGATTACTGAGGTGAGCTCAGCGGCACTCTGTACGTAGTAGGGAGTAGTGACAGGTAAAATGTATACGGGAATGAGAAAAGGTAAAGCAAAAGGAAACGGGGAGAAAAGAGCAACAGAGTAGGTAACAGAGATGGGCCTGGTGTGCCGGCTGGGCCATAATTGTGTCACTCCCGTCTTCCCCTTTCATAAGAAAATAAAACAACCACAGCTGCCCCTCTACTCCGTGACCCCCCTCCCCCCCTTCCACCCCTCTTACCTCCTGGTGTGTCGCTCTCCTCCAAGTCTCCATGATCCATCCTTCCAGCTGCTTGTCCAAGGGCCCTGGTCAGTTCTTGATCGTCTTGCTCCATCCAGTCTCACTTTATACCACTCTATCCCGTGCCTTACTGCGTATCCGCTCTCCACGGATACCTGTGCAAAAGTGAGGTAAAGTAAGGTGGCCAGCAGTTTTATTCCTCGACAAACTTGTCACTGGATTGTCACCACACCCCCGTCGTTGCACTCTGCGTATGGCCCTTTACCCCCTTGGTCCCTGTTTTCTTGACCTGTCCTCGACTTGTCAACGTTGGGGTCCCCGTCCCCGTGCCTGTCCCAATCCCAATCCCAATCCCCGTCTATTCCTCGTCCGAGTCTTGAGTCTTGAGAGTGAGAGTCTGAGCCTGAGCCTGAGCCTGGAGGTGTCTCGACGCTTGCTTTAAACACCACCCCCTCCCCTCCATCCTTTTCAACTTCTGTTTTGTAACCCTCGTCTCGTCCAGCGCTCGCTTCTCTTCCCAACCTTCTTCACCCCGTCCATTCTTCTTCTACTTCTCCTTCCCCGATACCCCCCTCTCCTCCTTTTACCGGTTTCCCAAAACCCCCCCGCGCCTGGCCTTTTCTCCTCCCGACGTCGCAGACCAAGTCTCTCGCTTTTTTCTCAAACAAAACAAACCACAACCTTCTTCTTTCGTTGATTTGACCTGACGACCCGACGGACCTTACGCTATTACTTTTACTACCTGCTTCCACCTCGTAGTCTACTCCGTCTCGCGCCAACTAATTAATACGACCATATACCCTCTTCCGTAAACCAAAACTCAGCATTGGGCATCTATCTACCTATCCATCCAGTTGACTCGAGAAAAGAGAAAGACAAAAAATACTTTCTCACCAACCGACCAACCCCCCGCGGGCCCTGATTCGAACTGAGACTGATCTGCTCCCTTTTCTGGACACCACCTGACACACGAACCGACCTGGTCGACCCCATTGTCTTTTGTCAATCAGTCATTCCGTGCCGACAACCTTTCCCAGGCACCACTAATTTTGGGCACACAATCGGCCACTGCGCATTCCACAGCTCCGTCTCAATTCAAAGAGCGGCCAGCCAGCAAAAAAAAAAAAAAAAGCAGCAAAAGCAGCAGCAGCAGTAGCAAGCAGCTCTGTCTCTTTTGTCTCTTTTCTTATTTCTACAACATTTTGGAGTGTTCCGCCCCGCCGCCATCTCTCACCTAGGCCAGCCACGCCCCGACTTTTCACGGCCCAGCAGCAATCAGCTACCGGTACCTTGACCTTTGGAGGCCTTACCTTTAGAGGCACCACACCATCACCTCCACCGCCGCCCAGTGCACCCACAACCCGCCAGGCTAATTCCTCCCCCAGCCCGCTCTCGGCCATTCTCGTAAAGCTCAAAGCGCAAGCTCGAAGCGTCAATTGCTGCGACTCCGCGCTTCGCAAGAAAGGGCAAGAAAAACAAGGACAAAGAGTCGTCCACTGACTACTCACCAAAGTCACTCCCACCAAGTCTGCCTGCCTTAGCCGATAAACCAAGAAAAACCGACTTAAAGTCGAGTCCTCTCGTTTCGGCCTTGGCAACCCCAATCCTCTGGCACAGAAAGAGTTGCAGTCGCGCACCTCCTCCTCGTCAAAAGTCAGACGTCGACAACTCCATCCATCTCGACCCATTTAAAACTGGAGCATCGAGCAAGGGAGAATCGCGCATCTCAATCACCCAGCGTTTGACGACATCGTCAATTCGCCCTTTTACTAATTTGCCAACGACTCGTTGCATCTCGATCAATTTTGCACGGGGTTTTCGTTCTCCGAACTTGCAGATCCGCAATCGTCAAGCCAAGTGAGGCTCCTTTTGCAGACCATACGGCAAACAGGCGTGTCGGGTGCAGCAGCAGCAACCCAACCCGACCGGTCTCCTTTTTTCTCGCTTCATTCCTCCCAACCTACCAACAGCAACTATGAGCACAGCGATCGCAATGGCTCCCTCTCCGGCCCCTCACGACAGACCGTCGTTCCCTTCCGACCTCGCTCCCGCGTCTTCCGCACAGCACGGCGCTTCTTCGCCTGCACAACAAAGAACTCTTGTACCGACTGGAACTCCCAATGCGACGGCGCATCGGTCAGGCAGCGGCAGCCCTAGGGGTGCCGCCCAAGCTCCCAAGTCATCTCCTCCCAGCGCGTAAGTTGCATCTCCACGTCCATCCCATCGCCTCGTAATCGCAGTCAATTGACTCAATCTTCTCTTCCAGCGCGAGACACGCCAGCGGTGCACCAAAGATCGTTGTGAAGAAGGAGCCCAACTCCCCCGACTTGCCGACGACCCGTCACAGGCCACGCAAACTCGACCTGTCCAACAAGGGCGCCCACCCGGGCTCCAACACTCCTGGCACTGCTAGGCCCATGACTGCTAGGGACAACTTGGGCATTCAGGAGGTCGGCCTTGCCTGCCTCTCGCCCGGGTTCGTTACCCAGGACCCCATCATGAAGGAGCAGCTCCAGCGCAGCATGAGCGTGAGGGACCAGCAACGCATGATCATCGAGCAGAGAATGCAACAGCAATCTGCAAAGGGCGATGGCCCTGACACCTCTGGAAAGGACCCTGTTTCTCAGTTCGCAGCAAAGACTCCCGGCCTGTCTCGCAGGAACAAGGCCCAGCTTTCCATCCTGCCGCCCTCCGCCGAGTCTTTTGCCAACGAGCGTGTCATCCAGTCGGCCCCCTTGGGACACTCCTTCACTGGCCGCCAACATCCTGCACCTCTGTCTCGTCACATTACAAACCAGCCAAACACCCTCTCCAACACTTCTCACATTCACCACGTCCCTGCCAACCAGACAAACAACCGTCTCCCGCCCATCAGTGACGTTTTTGGACAGGTTTCTGGCCACCCCGACAATGCTCCCACCTCTCTGTACCCCCAGACCAGCCGTCCCCCCATGGCATCACCTGGTCACCCTCCTCAGATGCAGCATGGCCCTCCTACTTCCGGCCGTGCCAGAGAGTACAAGTCAGCGGAAGAGGCACAGCATGAGATTGCCGGTGGCCGCCCCGAGCTGCTCCCTAAGATCGTACACTACGGAAACGCCCACCAGCCTCCTACGCCTCCGTCCCCTGCCCCGGGAAGCAGAGCCGCTGACCCCAGCCGCAGCGCAAGCCGGCGCCGCACCCGTGCCGAGTACGAGGACGGCAGCCCACCGTTGGGCCATGGCCCCGCTCCCCAGCGAAGAGGACCATTCGGCGCCGGTCGGGACAGCCCCGAGAGCCAAAGGCAAAAGCGCGAGGAGTTCATGCAGCTCTGCGCCAGAGCCTGGGACCTTTTCCACTCTTAGAGAGTCTTTCGTCATCTTTGTTCTATTCTTCTACTTCAACGAGTAGGCCAATTGCGTCTCACTCGTAGGTTTCGATTTCCTGCGGGATCTGGCCCCGCCCTTTCGTCGATTCAATCTCGGCCAGCTTGCGTGAGTTTGAAGCAGTGTCACGTCCACTGTTGCTCTTCCTGCTACTCTCCTCCCGTCGGAACAGAGGAGGTAAAAAAAAAAGATATCGCGGCAGGATAGGATTTAAATCAGGGATTAATGTCTGCAACTACGAAGAGCTTCCTCCTCGGCACGTCTCCAACAATGAACGAAAGCAATCATTACGAACTTCAGCTTCCTCCGGAGGGACAAGCGATGGATTCTTTTCGCGCACGGCTAGGCGGTTACGAGGCGGTTGGCGCTACCGGCTCTAGTTTGCTTCTATTCTTCAAGGGGCAGTCACGGTTTGAGGGAGAATTTTACGTTCGATTCTTGCACTGGAAGTTTAAGATTTGCGCCAGGGGGCGTTTATTTGCTTTGTCATTTTTATGTGGTTACTACCGGTGTTTACGGGAAAATGACGGGTTGGCACGAGATTCATGAGCAGAGAAGAGGGTGCAGATTCCTCTCTGTATGTATTATCTTGGGGTCGTCTGCTACGGGGAAAGAATGGTGGTCGAGGGATATATCCTCGGCGCGTATCTCTTTTGTGATTTATGCTTCCTGCTTCCCACCTCGGGAGCTGCCAACCTTTGCGCTACTTTTGTCGCCTTGGTATTACGTATATCGGAGCAAGAGGTACTGAAGATTCGACACGCATATACAAGGGGCCTTGAGGCTTTCATTTTAGTTCAAGATCAAACCGTTCTCTCGTGTGTGATGTGACAGGATGCAATGTACGATATGAATTGTGACCATGCTCACAGACAGATCAGGGGGTGGATGTGAAGGGGCAGTACTATCAACATGACGAGATGTGAGCACAGCTTTTTGCGATAGGGAAGGAGGGAGTAGAACACAAGAGACGTACGGAAAATGGACTTCATGGGAGGAGAGCAAGAATGGAGACTTTGAACCGGCGATGAAGACATGCACGTATCCCCCTTACAAAGAGGCCGGAGCCATCCAGAGGCAGAGCGGCAGCCCGGCCGGAAGACGAGCAGCAAGGATAGATAGACCCGGCAAGTCGGGTTCTGATGCGTAGAGCCGAGCACCCGGAAGATGTTTGTATGGTCTCCACAGGCCCCCGTCCCCCAATCCCTGCCGGCGCCATGTTGGGTCTCGGCAAGGGGCCTCTTCAGCGTGTTCCCCACGGAGCCGGACCCGACACCCGGGAACGGTGTGGGTCATTCCGCCATCGGACCCGCCGGCCCCCCGGCGCACGTGGAAGCCTTCGAGAAGACTTCGGCGGGGTGCGGTCCAGGCTTTCCGGATGCGGTACAAGGCGGTGCACTAGAAGGTTTTACTTGCCTAGGAACTACCTTCGTGCCCCGTTCCGGGGGTCGTTATGGTGGGGAGGAGAAGATGATGGGCTAAGTATGGCTCCGGCGGTATCCGCAAGCCGGATCCGGCGCCGTGGGTTTCTTTGTGCTTCCTTTGTCATGTTAGCCACGGGGCTTTGGGATGGTAGTAGGTACCGTAGTGTAGAGCAGGGCCAGCTGAGTCCCAGGAGCTTCGAGGGAAGGGGGGGAGTGGCTTCCAAGTAGCGCTGGCGGCTAGTCTGGGAACTAGGATTCTCTGCCTAGTTGGTAGTTCTCTTTCGAAGAAGAAAGACTGTTGGGGGGGGGGGGGGGGGAAGAGCAAAGAGCTGGCTTTTGCTGACCGCCGAATCTGGGTAGAGGGTGCCATGCTATACGCCACGCGGGCGGGTGGAATGGGACTTTTTTTCTTCAAGATCTTTGAATGTGGAGGGGGAGGGATCGGTCGATGACGCTGGGTGAGGCTATTGAGATTCTGAGTCTACCCAACTTCGGAATGAGGGGGAGGGAGCAGCGACGGTGCATACAGCGTTAGCCAGTTTACCATACTATTCACCACCCCACTCCCTTACCTTACCTTGCCTGGTCACTACCAGTACTTTCCTTACCTAGTCTCCGAATTCCCCGCTGCAGAACGGCTGCAGAACGGAGGTGAACAACCCTGTCTGAGATCTTGGACAGATCTTCTAGTCTCCGAACCCCGCTGCAGAACGGCTGCAGAACGGAGGTGAACAACCCTGTCTGAGATCTTGGACAGATCTTCTAGTGTGGTTGACCTGGGGGGGTAGGTGGCCGGGCCAGTCCACGGGATCAAGAGAGACCACACACAAAAACCATATGTTCTGGGCTAGCTAGAGTGTGAGTCAACTTTGTCCCGTGGAGGAGGCTCTGTCGTGGAGGGGATAGGGTTTTGCTTTGAGAAGCAAGAGGCGGTGTATGGTTTTTGGTCATTCCTGTCAGTCAGGATAGCTCATCAACTTTGTCTCTTAATCAAGTCCGTCAGTCAGTCAATTCTCCCATGGAAGCCTGACAAAAGTGTGGGTGTTTGCTGCGTTGGCTTTTCCCCTCTCCGTTGAGGCTCTGGGCTAAGGAAAGCTCAAGGGCCTAAACTGTGCTTTAGTGAGTCAGTGTGAGTCGGGGCGTCTCGTGCTCTAGGTCCGCATGCCCAGGACAGGCCAGTTCGGTCTATGGCACTCCAGCGTCAAATACAGGTAGCCTACCTTAGGTACGCTGACCGCTCCCAACATGGCAAATAGACAACCCTCCAGTACTGTAAAGGCGGACCGGGCATGATACTCGCCAAGGAAAAGCAGTATTGCGAGAGAAGAGGCAAGCTCGCTATTCCCAGAGCGTTCCACGGGTAGAAGGTCTGCGCCTACCTACAGCGTATGATGGACCCGCCGAGCGAAGGCAACTTGCACTCGTCCCGTGGCAAAAGCACAAGACATACTTTTCCCAACATGCCAATAATCATGAGCAAGGGGGAACCGCAAGTCCATCAAAACGTACTGTCCGCCCTGCTTTTCACCAGATCGTCCAGATCTTGGCGAGCGACGAACGGTCTTGGGGCGTGTGGCTTAGGTTTTTGTCCTCCGCCAAGGCTTTCGCAGGTTGCACTTGGCAGCGGCCCTTTCCCTTCTTCTTCTTCCCCCGGAAGTCTCGGTCGGGTGCAAGACAAAAAAAGACGGACGGAACCTTCAGACGGAGAACTGGCAGACACCCACCCGGCGCCCGTCAGTCCCGTCGGGTTCGTTGATATAAAGTTATATCAAAAAAAGAAAGCAATACCGGTACCAAAGCGACTGAGATGACTTCATCGTCCGGGGAGGGGGTTCTCCACAGCCACCGGACACCGCGCGTCCGGCCGCCCGGAAAGGCCAGTCCCCAACGTTCCCAGGCAAAATGATGGGGGGTTTACCCATGTGCGGGGGATCCACTTCTTCCCGGTACTCAGATCTGGCCCGGCGCCCGCCCCATTCCCAGATCTTGAAGCCGCGGGAATTTTCTTACGGCCCCCATGTTTGCCCTCAATTCGTCATCGGGTCCAAGGCACAACCACCACCACCATCCCCTAAACTTCATCTGCAAAGTCATCTGCCAAGCTGTGATATATAGAGAAAGTAGAGTTTAGCAAAAGAGGACCTCTCAGCAAATGATAAAACCCACAGAGCAGTTGTCCCACGAGCAAGCGTGGCTGTAGACAACTCTATACTGCGCCCCGGCTCTCTGGTAATGCCCACCTGTCATCGTAAAAAGGCAAAGTAAGGCATCGTGGCTTTGCGTATCCCCACGATGCAATAGATCCAGCAATATGCTTCTGTGGTTCCTACCACGGATCAGCCTGTGCCCGGGACGTGGAACAGGTGACCGACCATCCGCACAGGCGGTCTTTGCGGACCGCCCAGACTGCCAGACCCAAGCAAAATTCATGGCAAAGAGTTGTGAGCACACAGACAAGAGCAGTCACAGAGACGATCACGCCCAAGGATGCCGCTCCCTCTTTGCTTTGTTCATTAAATTTTTCTTTCTTTAGGTCTTTGGCTCAGAATACAGCCACTCACTATAGGAGCAAAGCGAGTGGACTAGAGAGTTTGCTGCTGGGAGACCACACGATCAATCCAGGACATTTGATTCTGGCAAATGTACGGGACACATCGGTTCCATAGCCCGCACACGCATGCAGTCTCCCAAAGACGTCGTTCCCAAGACCGATGCATCATGGCCTATGCATCCGGTCCTTACCGATTTCTCCCGTCTCTCAACCATCCCACCGAGCCTCTTCCCCTGAGGCTCAACCAAGTCCATCTTCCGTTTCCAGGTCGTGAATGCCCTTGCGCATCTTAAATCCGTCGCTCATTATAGCTTCATTCCATGGGGGCTTGAGGACTGCTGGCCAAATCAATCCAGAGATGTAGTGGGCCTGGCTCTGTAGCGTAGTTCTGCCGGTGCCCCGTTCCAAAGACGGGGGTGTCATATGTACGTTGAACAGTAGGTTGTTGTGGTGTAAGCAGCATGGGAGGGTGAAACGCCAAACGCCGATGCTCGCAATAACAAGGTCGCATGGGGGTGTCGTAAAATCGTCAGGTAAACAAGTGTAAAAGGGTGTGAATCGAAGCAGGCTGAAAGAGGGAGTCAAAAGACCGCCGGTTGACGCACGCTGTCTGTGCAGACGCATTGTTCTATCGTTGTGCCGGGTTGGAAAATTCCGGTCATTGCTGTTCCGCCGTTGAAATGAATTGTTGAAAGTCTTGTTGACAATAAAGAAGCTGTCCACCGTAGTAGTTCCAAGACGAGGTCGTTATTCAAAGGCCCTCTTCACCAGCCTTGCAGAGCTTGATCTCGCGTCCCCACTCTGACTTAAGGACCTGGGACGCAGTAATGCGACGGGTGGGATTAGGATCCAAAATCGAGTATATCACGTTCCTACAGCGCGCCTACAGACTGTTAGTTTCTGGACGATACTATGAGCACACCAGATAGACTTACTCTGTGCAAGGACTCAATCGGTCCGTAGCCCTCCTCGTCGCGACGACCTTCCAGGTATCTAGCATAGAATTCGTCCTCGTCTTTGCGGGCAACGCGCCAAAGGTGGCGACCGGTACGCATGGCCATGTAAATGACACCACAGGCCCAGACATCGACAGCGCGGGCGTCGAATTCCTTGTCTGTGTACTCCTCGGGCGCAATGTAGGGAGCAGAGCCACAGAGGCCGGAAACCATGTGAGGGTCCGTCTCCCAGGCCATTCTGAAGCACTCGCCGTTACCAAAGTCTGTAATCTTCAAGCCACCACGAGTAGTGAGCAGCAGGTTCTCGGGCTTCAGATCGCGGTGGGCAACACCCATCTCGTGGAGGTACTCCACACCACGCATCATCTGCTTGAAGTAGCAATCCGCCTCCTGAACCTCCAACTTGCCGGCTGAGAGGACGAGAGTGTACAAATCACCACCGGCGCAAAACTCCATGACTTCGCAGTAATCTCCCTTGGCGTCCTTGAGCAAATCCAGAGTGTGAATAACGTTGGGGTGACGCAACGACGAGGAAATGCAAAACTCGGCAGTCAGTCGCTTGCTGTACTTCTTCTCCGTCTCCTCTGGGCGACGGCGGAATTCCTTGACGGCGAAAAGTCTTTCTACTCCATTCTCGACCTTCTTGTGGGATATCCTGACGATTCCAAAGGCACCACGGCCTACAACCTCCTGACATTTTCCGTACTTTTCTACAAGAGTGGTCGTTGCATTTGGACCGTTCTTCTTGTCGCCAGCCATATCCTCCTTCTCGGCCTTGAGCGTGTCGACCCAGTTAGAGACGAGCGACAGGTCGTTTTCGGCGTGCTCTTGCTTCTTGCCGATGAGGGTACGCCACATGTCGGAGAGCTTCTCCTGCCTGCGACTTGACTTGAGGTGGTGCTCGTGGCCACCTTGCAAGTCCGGGCTCGCCATGAATCGATGAAGGTCTTTTACGGGGGGTTTTGCGGGTTTGCTGGCTGGTTTCTCGGGGACTTTCTCTGCGGTGGTGGTGGATGGTTTCCTGCTGGGAGGTTGGGGCTTGTCGCTGCCATTAAAGCTGGAGCCGCGGGGTCGATGGGGAACCTCAATAGCGTTTCGGCTGACGTCTTTGGTCGAGAACATGCGCGTGAGCTTGTCCTTCATGGAGGGTTTCTCGGCAGGTTTCGGCAGGGCGTCGTGGGACGAATTGCCGTTGGTGAGGGACTGGCCATTTTGCGGGGTCAAACGCGGCGATTTTTTGCCGTCAGACTTGACTGAGGAAGGTTTGGAACTGGCCGCCGAGGCGGTTGTTGGGCTCGCCATAGCGGGGGATGCGGAAGGCATGAGCGCGCAGCAGGTTTGTTTGGTGGGCGAAGGTTCGTTCGGAGGGGTCCTGGTGGTAGAGCGAGAGAGACAGAGAGGGTAGACGGGACGGAGGCGGTATATACGCGAAAGCGAACCGACGGCGGATGACCTATCGCCTCTTTCTTGGTCTGTCCTTCTTTTTCTTTTCCCCTTGTTTGACTGTTGTCTCTCTTGGTTCCGGCTATCGGTGACGCAGGCAGGCCGCAGATGGGTGTCAGCCGCAAGGGAAGCGTGGGTGCAGTGCAGCTGGCAAGAATGAACAGCTATGCACAGCAGGGCGGGTTGCTGGAGGGGCAGCAGCGACAGGTTATGCAGAATTGGCTGGCTGGTGGTGGTGGTGGTGGGGGTAAAGTCTGCGACTCAAGCAATTCTTTGGACTGTCTGGTCTGGTCTGGTCGAGTCGAGTCGAGTCGAGTTGGGCCGAGTAAGACTCGGGAGTGCCGTCGAGTGTCGAGGCTCGGGTCTGACAAGGGAAAAAGGGCTCGCTGTGGCGCAAAGAACGCCTCGGCGCAGTGGGAGGGCTCGGGCCCAAGTAGACGTGACTCGCAGGGCGGACAAAATAGCAGACCTGTTTCAACCCCCTTTTCTTTCTAATTTTGTCTCCGTGGTGAAAGGTGGGAGTGAAGGTGTGTGTGTGTGTGTGTGTGTGTGTGCTATAGGTGGTATTCAAAGTTTTTGAGAGAAGAAGTCGGAAGGGAAGGTAATAAGACGAAGAAGATGGGATGGGCGTAGGGATTAGTGTATTATGTAGGTGTGTGAGAGAGAGGGACTACAGGAATGGGAACCTGAGCAGAGGCGGTCGGAGCGAAAAAGCGAAAGAAAAAAGTCTGGCCCCAGCAGGCGACAGCGGCGGCGGGTAGCGGTCTGGTGGTAGACAACGCGTAGGCGGGCGGCGGGCGAGCGAGCAGTCAATAATACCAGAGAAATTGGGAGGGGACGGAGGTGAGAGGGGGGAAGAAGTGGAAGCCAAGGGGGGGAGTGGAGGGAAGAGCAAAAAAAATACAGCGGGACAGTCAGGTTGCGACAGCCGGGCATGTGGTGTTAGTGAATACTGCGTAGGTGGTGGCCTGGTGAAAGTAGAGCAAGGTAGCGTAGGATGTGTAGCGTCTTTTGAGGTAAAGTAGGGTCAAGGTGGGGCCCTGGCGAGGGAAAGATTGGATTGCCCTGCAGCTCGGTGCAGTTGAGGAATTTGAGACCTCAGGGCAGAATGCAGACGGGCCCCGAATGGACTGGCGAGGACCACAACACAACTACCTACCCTAGGTACCTTAGGGCCGGAGGTGAGAGTTGATAGGTGAGGTGAGGTGAGTGAGCTGGGAAGTGAAGTATACTTGGTACGGATACCATGAGCTAAGGTACCTGACCTGACCTTACTGGAGCTGTGAAAGCTAAGGTAAGGAAGGTACTAGCCATGGCCTGCAGAAAGCAGAAGGGCGAGAAGCAGCAGAATGGAGACTTGGAGACATGGGATCCTCCACTCCCTCCACTGCGCTGGTACTGGTACCGGTACCGCTCTAGATACTGGCACTGCTGTTAGCTCCACGCAGGTGATCGGGGTGATTGACAAGTACTGCTAGGTTATTATTGCTGCTTTGCTTTGCGTCGCCGTCGAGTGGGTGGTGTCGCTTTCGCTGAGGGAAAAAAAAAACAATACAACAGGCAGCGGGCGGCGGGTGGGCGGTGTAAGCGAAGTGAGTGTGTCGGGGCCGGTCGCGAGCTTCCAGGTTCCTACGCCGTAAAAATGTACCGATACAAAGCTACTCAGCACGGCTGTACGACGAGCAAGGTACCGTATTCAACACGACGTAGAGGAGCAATAAGCTGTTCCAGGGAGGAGGGCTGGAAAAAGGCTTGTTCTCGTTGTTGTTGCTGTTGCTGTGCTGGTCAGCAGTCACCGCCTAAACCGAACTTTGATCTGTCAGCAAACTCCCCCCACGACTTGACTGCCCTTTTCCTTTCTTCGCGGCTTGCCTGCTCTGCATCCCCGTCGTTAAAAGGGTGGCAGAAAAGTCTGGCCTGCTTCCGTTTACTGCTCGGCACCAGACCAGTCGTGGACTCGTGGTCGGTGTGACTGACTCCCGTGTGTGGTCCTCGATGGAACAAGGCCGAAATTACACACCTCTTTGGTAATCCAGTCCAGTCCTTAATGTCACTTGTAGCCCGCCTGTAGACTGTGGTACACTGGTACTATGGATTACCAAGAGCAAATCGAAAGGAGAGTGCGAAGGTCCGAATTGCGACCACGGTACGGCCTAGGCTCTAGCACTTTCGCGTTGCCTTGGTCAAGAACTGCGCCAGCCCACTGTACAAGTTGGCAGTTGCCTCGCACGTAGACAAGGACCTTCATCTTCCAGGTTGTCTCCTTGGCTCGGCCCTGGGTGTGGTAAAGGTGGTGGAAGATAACTGCAAAGGTGGCGCGTGAACTGCTTTTGGCTTCAGGGTGGTTTGTTCGCCATCCGTGTGGAGAGATGCCTCCTGAACGCGCTTGTAAGCTGCAGTCGGCTCGCCTTTCTTGTCACCTTTTTGCTGTCTATTACTGTAACAGTTTGGAGGGTTTCCAGCTAATCTGTCAAGCTTCCCAATGTTACTCCGAACGGCACCTTGGCCACTCCGCTGTTGCTGTTACGATTTGGTCTAGCCTCCGATGGATCAAGGGGCTACTAATAATCAAGTGAGTGATATTAAGGGCATGCCAGAAAAACTTTTCCCACTTGAAAAGTATGCTCGCAAAGTGTGAGTGTCTGGTAGTTTTTTATCTCGTGTTTTTTCTCTTTCTTCCAGAATGTGGCGTAGGTATTCGTTTCCCGTTTCGACGGAGACTACCCGATCCCTCAAATTGGAGTGACGGGGGCAGTGACCAGGGGCAGGGCTGAGTTGTTGAGCCAGAATCTGTCTTTGATGGGAAAGAAAACGCTCAAATATGTACCGAGGTAAGAGACCAAGATACAAAATGGGTTGCTGACAACCAGATAGCTACTTACACAGACTAACACTAGAAACAGGTACGGATACATCAATGGCAGCCAGTGTTGGTCAGTACATCTCCATAATAACAGAGAGAAAAAAGTCCGTCCATCTGTCACTCTGGTGGGAAACCCACCACAACCACCACCGCCATGCGCAGTGCGGATACAGAGCGGGAAGCAGGCAGGCAACAGATGCAGTAACAATAACGTAGCTGCATCGGACGGGGTCTCTGATGAGTGGACCAGGCGTGGGCAGAGACACCAAGATAAGGTTAGGTCAGGTTAGGGTACGAGAGGCACAACTTACAAGACCTTTGTCTACAAGGTTCAATGAGACTTCGGAATCCTTGACGTGGCTTCCGATGAGGATCCCTCAGGAACGGCGCTTCCGTACATGACCGATGGAAATGGCGGGATCAGGTAAACGACATGCAAGACGCGCAGCCCTGAGGGTCTCTCTGCCATGTCTGCCTCTCTGGCCAAGTCGAGCTCCGTCCACAGTGTCTCGTCTTTGGTGCTGCAAATCGACTAGTTTGAGCCACGGAACGGGGTGACGGAGTGACGGGGGCTTCTGCCCGCAACATCAGTCCGCCGACTGGACCATTCGGCTGCCGGAAAGCCTATGAATGGAGAACCAGAGTACATACGCATTTTTGATCTGGGGCAAGATGCAGACCAGGGACGCGCCGGTCAAGGGGTGACTTGTCCTTGACTAACAAACATGCCCGTTTTACCTATGCTGAACTATTTATTACTCTTGGGTTTGTCAGTCTTGTGTATTGGTATCCGCCTTGTGGTCAATACGTTGCTTGGCTGGCTCCGGTACGTCGTCTTCGAATTCAATACCCATCTCCGTCATCTCCAGAGTACGCTTGTGGTTGTGCATTAACCAGGCTCAGGTACGGAATACGTGAGGTGCTTTTTATTAGCCATGGCGGAACGCCCGTGTCTGGCGCTCACTCATTGCCCGCGGCCACATCGTAGAAAAGACCCGCGGCCTGCGGTGGTGACCGTCTTTGATAATCCGCAGCTTGCGAGAAAAGAGCCTGACATAAGCAACAGCGTCTGCTGACAGCGCTGCAACACCAAGGTACTCCGTACTTTGAACCACAATTGGACGAAGCCCTACGGCCCCTGCCAGCTGCCAGTAGCTTGCTGCTGCGGATGGAGTCGGCTTGTGGCGATGGTCGTCGTGTCATTACGTAGAAAGGCATCGATCATTCCTCCAAGCAGGACCTTCGCCTGGCTCGAGGGCGGCATTGCCAGCGAGGCAGCTTATCAATTTCCGATTGAAGAGAAGGCAAGCGCAAAGATGCCGTGCCAGTTGGCATGATTGTCCCTGGCGTGCGTGTGTGCCTTGGTGCGGGCTTGCGAGGTAAGGTCAACAGCTGGAGGAGCCGTCTGCCGTGGACGCCGGCTTAGCGGCCGTCGCGACTCAATGACCACATTGTCTGGGATGTCGTGTGTAGGGGCACATGTGTCAAAGGGCATGGATAGTCAAGCTTCCCGGATTTTGCTGTGCGGTTTGATCGATGACATGGAAGGCAGGGCGGTGCCGTGCAGGAAGTCCAGCCCTTGTGTGGTCGAATCGGGACCCGCCAAGACGACATCTGCAAAGAGAAAAGCGGCTTTGCGAACGGCAGTGGACAGGGCATGGCTGGCTGCGTCCTGGCGCGAGGTAATGTGAGATTCAAGATGCGACTGCGGGCCAAAGCCGGAGGGGCATCGGCGAGTGAGCACCCACACAGCATCTTTCGGAGCCCTGTTGGCGCACTTTGGAGGGGTTCGCTTCGCAGGGTTAGAGCCTTAGAGTCGAAGGCCAAGACGGGGTCTGCACAGGGTGGACAAGGGCCGTCGTGTGGACTGTGTGCAAGTCTTGGAATGTCTTGGACGACCTCATGGCGTGTGACAGGATTCGCAGAAGAAGCTTGATGGGATTTGTGTGAGAGGGAGAGACAGAGAGAAGGTTCCGTATGTGTTTTGTTGGTTCTGAATGCATGGGCAATTGGTGAGAGCGATTGGCCGACAATTCGTACCGTTGGCCCGTTGTCTTTTTTTTTTTTTTTTGCTTGTATTACTTTCTGTTCTGTGGTTTTTCTCTCTCCATCTCTCGCCCCTCAGCTCGGCTTATTTCGGTACTTCAGAGTTTGTGTGAGGTAAAAATTCGAGAAGGGGGAAACGAGAAATGGCGACGAAAAAAAAGAGGTGAAGAAAAAAAGAACGTCTCCAGGTACGTCTGCGATGTAAAAAGAAGGTATGGGAAAAGAGTAAAAAGGGTAGGTACTCGAGTACGTGGCTTCCTGTGTTGAAGGCAGGTCCTCTTTCCTGCAGACGCCCAGTATCGCGACAAGCGCCGTACTGTCAAAAGATATTAGCCGCATGCTTCCCCCGCACAGTGCCTGCGCAAGCCGGTGACGTTTGCAGGTGCGGGATGAGTACTTGCAGGCCAAAGTAAGCAAGGCCCAGGAAATACCAAGCCGGCAAGAGGTACCGTACCGTTCTCCGTTCTATCCTCTACCTACCTACCTTACTACGTATGTACCTCATAGTAGGTATTTCCGTTGTTCTCCATTCTTCATCGGCCCCAGAACGAGAAAGTCTCCCCTTCCTTTTTATTTTTATTTTTCTAAACTTTACCCCTTGTACAATGCTATGGCCTTGTTGGCATGTTTCTCTTCATTGTTTATCCCGTCCTTTCTTACTCATTTGCCGCAGTTCGCAGTATTAATCCCTCTCGTTTGCAATCTTGGCTTTTCTGTGTAGTTGGTCCGGTCTGACTCTATGGATGACCCCGTTGTCTGTTCTTGCCTTTTACTTACCTCGTACTCTCAATACGTAGTTACATTGTATTACAAAGATGTGAGAGATGGAAGATCATGACCATCCGCACTGATGACAATGACCACCACATTCAGATCTCGAAATTGGGAAATTCGGAAATGGAAACCGCCGCTTCTCCAATCATGTGGAGCCTCCCAACCAGACCGCATTGAA